GGCACAACGATCGTCGATGTTATCGGGTATTTTTGGACTTCATCTCGCTTTCGCAACTGCTGGCTATGCCTTGTGACGCAGCGGCAGAACAGCAGGTTTTGAGGGAGATTTGGTGTTGCAGAGAGACGAGGGTCGCGACAGGTTGTTGGTAGTTGGCTGTGCCTTGTTCATGCGCATCCGGCAAAATGCCATGGCTTTCGCCAAAGTCCATGATTCCCATGTGCGTTCGGAGAGACTAGGCTCGGTCTCACCCGGCACGACGCTACGAAATACGAGTAAGCATATGCCAAGCCGCGTCTCGCTATTAATCCTTCACAGGCGGCATTCGTCAGTTGCGAGCGGCGCCGAAGCTTGTTGAGAGGTGACTGATGGCTCTGCAGCACCGAGTCGCTTACTCTCGATGCTGACATAGCCGGCTTGTGGCTGAAGTGGGCTGGCAGGCCGGGTCGAAGATCTTGGCTTGAAAAGCTTCGCATGTCATTGCCTGTACTAGCACCGGGTCTGCTGCAAAGAGACAGGCGCAGACAGCAGCTTTACCGATTGGGACAGAGGGGCGGCATGTGTCAGCGAAGACAAAGAGTTGCGCATGCGGGCTGTTCAATCGGTCAGAACGCATATAGTCATGATATCGTAACGTCGAAGAGGCATGATTATGGGAGTAGTTGCGGTGTTGTGGTGATTGAGGGGTCCATTCATTATCATCACACCCGCCCTTCCGCTTCCTAATCTACCCTACTGTCTCCGGCACCCGCGGATTCTCTCGTACGGCCAGACACAATCTAGAGCGAAGGAATCCCCTAGCATCTACGTCACGCTTGCGCACGGTCGGTGTTGTGCACAAGCTCGGCGCTAGGAAGGGCTTGTCAGTGAAACGTAGCCCTCTTGTACCGAAAACTGGGGGGTCACGTCATAGTCCATTCATCCTCGCGTCGGCTTCCACGCCAGGCGCCCTTGCCAGCCACGATATACTAAACCTCGCGTCTCCCGGCCTCGCTAGCATATCCATAGCAATTCTTCTTCCCTCGCCCAGGAACACTTTCCACTTCCCCCTCAGCAGCAGCATTCCCCCGCGTCTGCTTGCCCCCACTCTGCGCTCAGGTAGTCTAACCACGCACACACGGGCAAAGCTCTCGCACCACCACCACCACCCCCGCCATGAGTTCCCTCAAGAGAGCGCTTGACAAGCTCAAGCCGCACCACGGGTCCTCGGCCTCGGACGACGAGAAGGGCGGCGTCAAGTCTCCCTCTTCCGTCAATGGCCGCGCACAGTCGCCCATCGCGTCGCCGCGCTCTTCCGTCACCCTGGGCGGCCCTCGAGCAAGCGGCGAGCACAAGCGTGCAGACGTCACCTCTCCCACCGACAGCAGGACCAGCATAGACCAGCCCCGCAACTCCCTCAGCGGCATCCTCCACCGCCGCACCGAGAGCCCGAGCCGCACCGGCACCAACAAGACCAACCGTTCCGGTTCCATCTCGCACAGCCCCATGCGAGCTGTCAAGGAGAAGCTGCACATTGGAAACGACTCGAGCGACGAAGATGCCCCCCTCAACCGCGAGGGCGAGCCCATGTCCCGTGGCCAGCTGCGCAAGCACGAGAAGCAGGCTCAGCAGGAAGAGCGCTACAAGCAGAACATGGAGAAGGAGCAAGAGCTCGAGCGGAGACGGAAGGAGATGGAGGACCAGGCATTGGCCGAGCTGACACCTGAGCAGCGCTCCAAGTACGGTGTCATCAACCCCAACTCCTATGCTGGCGAGTGGAAGCATGAGCCCCGCCAAAGGATTCAAGACTTCTCTGCAAAGGACGTTGGCAAGGAGGTCGTCTTCCGCGCCCGCATCCACCACCTCCGAAAGATGAGCTCCAAGTTTGTCTTCTTGATGTTCCGCCAGCAGCTCGCTACAATCCAGGGTGTTCTCTTGGAGCACGCGGATATTTCAAAGTACATGCTATACTGGGCTGAGCACCTGGACGCCGAGACCATCGTCCTGGTCAAGGGTATCCTGCAGGAGCCCAAGGCCAAGCAGGGCGAGGTTCTTGGAGCCACCATCCATGACGTCGAGGTTTCAGTACACGCCCTCCACGTTGAGGCCGCCGTCACCGACCACCTCCCCTTCAACGTCAACGAAGCCGAGGTCTCACAGGCTGAGGTCGACGCTGAGCTTGCAAATGCAGACCACAAGGAAGGACACACCCGCGTCAAGATTGCGGATCGTACCCGCTTGAACAACCGCGTTATCGATCTGAGGACTACAGCTTCCCAGGGTATCTTCCGCATCCAGTCTGGTATCTGCAGACTCTTCCGTAACCAGCTGGACTCGGAAGGCTTCATCGAGATCCACACCCCAAAGCTGCAGGGCGGTGCTACCGAGTCGGGTGCTAGTGTGTTCAAGATCGACTACTTTGGTCGTGGCGCCTTCCTTGCTCAGAGTCCCCAATTGGCTAAGCAAATGGCCATCTCTGCAGACTTTGGTAAAGTGTATGAGATTGGTGCCGTATTCCGTGCTGAGAACAGTAACACGTACCGTCATTTGACTGAGTACACTGGTCTGGATCTGGAGATGCAGATCGACGAGCACTACCACGAGGTCCTCCGTGTGCTGGACCGCACTTTCAAAGCCATTTTCAAGGGTATCTACGAGCAATACCGTCCCGAGATTGAAGTCATCAAGAAGCACTTCCCTCACGAGGACTTGGTCTGGCTGGACCAGACACCCATCATTCCCTTCGCGGACGGTGTCCGCATGCTGAACGAGTCCGGCTGGAGGGACGATGACGGCAACGAGCTTGACGTGAACGAAGACCTAGGTACTAGGGATGAGGTTCAGCTCGGTCGTGTCATCAAGCAGAAGCTTGGAACCGACTACTACATTCTAGACAAGTTCCCTGCTAATGCGCGCCCCTTCTACGCCATGAACGACCCGAACGACCCCACTGTTACCAACTCTTTCGATATCTTCTGCAGAGGCCAGGAAATTCTCAGTGGCGGCCAGCGTATACACGACTCCACCTTGCTGCTAGACAAGATGCGCAAGCTCAAGGTCGACCCCAGTTCGATGGAGGACTACATCCAGGGCTTCCAATGGGGAGCACCACCTCACGGTGGCGGCGGTATCGGTCTCGAGCGTATTCTCATGTTGATGATGAACCTCGGAAACATTCGCCATGCTTCCATGTTCCCTCGCGACCCGAAGAGTCTGCCAGAGCGACCAGTCATCAAACAGCTGCGTCATCCTGAGGCCAGCACAATGCACCCTCCATGGGAAGGACAAGATCGTGCCGTTGCCAAGATCGACCTTCAGCCTATCGAGAAGCTCATCGCCAACTACGGTGATGCCACCAACACTTCCTGGTTGGAGCCTCGCACTGAGATCTGGCGCGACGAGAACACTGGTGCGGCTGTCGGCTTCGTCCCTCAAGACGGGTTCGCTATCACTGTCGGTGATCCTCTTTGCCACGAGTCTCAATACCTCAAGACCATGGCTGGTTACCTCAAGTACATCAAGAAGGAGCGCAACCTCAAGCCGCTCTGGCTTCTCGTGGGACACGCCACAGAGGAGGTGCTTGCAACCAAGTTCAACTGGCGCACATTCTCCGTCACTGGAGAGCAGCGTGTAGACCCTGTCCACAACCCAGCGGACAAGGACTCTGACGTTCAGCGCAAGATCCGTCACGCTGAGAAGGAGGGTGTCAAGATCAGCGATTATGCCATCGGCGCACCACCACCAGCAGACGTCAAGCAGAAGGTCGACGCTCGTGTAGCAGATTGGCTAAACAACCGCAAGGGCAAGCAGGTCCATCTGACCAACATCCACCCATGGCAAGATGAGGAGCATCGCCAATACCACATCGCCTACACACCCGACGGCACCATCGCTGCTTTTGTCGCCATGGCGCAGCTCTCACCCGACCACGGCTGGCAAGTTAAGTACTCTCTCGACTTCCCCGGCGCACCCGGTGGTTCGATTGAGTACATTGTCACGCATGCTCTCAAGCAAGTCGCCGCTAGTGGCGCAACCAGCGTCACCTTTGGTGGTGGTGCTAGCTCCAAGTTCAGCCCAGGACACAACGTCAAGGGCACTCGCGTCAAGGTGCTCAGCCGCGCCTACCACGCGATTGCGACCGAACTCAAGCTCACCAACAAGACTGAGTTCCGTGAGAAGCTGGGTGCAGTCGACGACCCAAGCTACATTTGCTACCCACCCCACGGGCTGGGCCCCATGGCGATCAAGGCCATCTTGAACTTCTTCTCCGACGATGATGACAACAACTAAGTAACACTTCGGTGGACTATATACACGCTAGGATAACGATACATTGGTGGATGATCGCAGGCATGATACCACAAGGCGTTTGCTTTACGAGTAGACGGTACCATTTACCTATCTGACTCTTTTAGGGACATTTGTAGCGGGAGGACGTTCTTAGGTAGATAGCGTGTTTCTTAATCTGATACCCCTCTGGAATATCTTCTCTTCTTGATGGATGTGAAAACATGATGACTGTTGCAGCTGTCGTAAGCTTTCGTAAGCTTTTCATATATTCATAGGTCAATTTAGACATGACCGCGGGATCTCTGTGCTACCTTCGGCGTATTCTGAGTACTTCCGACATGACACCGCGTCAGCTACGTACGGCAGGCACGTCGGTAAGGCTCAAGTCCCACCACCTCATACTTCACAGCCGTTCTTCAACACCGAAACATCAACATCCATCATCAACGCACAACTCTCGGACAAGATTCTATTTGATCGGCTACTGCGCTGCCTTGGCGTCGCGCTCCCGATGACGATGGACCAGGTCGCGGGGAACATTCGGCGCACTAGAGGAAGGCGGGGTCAAGCGCCCGGCTTGGAAACCTTCGGACCTTCGACACGGCTAGGTAAGATGGTTTTCAGGGCCGTGCGATTGGCTAAAAGAGGGGTTTGGGAGATGGAGTCGAGACGGCGTCTGACGTTTGTTGGTTGCGTGTTGGCGTCGGGAAACAGTGCGCACGTGTGAATGTTGCCGTGGAGTGAGAACTACGGCCCAGAGACTACGTATAAGAAGCTTGTTCCTAGAACTTTTGTACAAGAGGGTAAAAGCGAGTCAGTCTACTTTGTACGATAGAGTTTCGACAAGAGTACGTTGGGCTCGGTGCTATTGCTAGAGCGTTTCCCTCCCCGATAAAGAGCCAAGCTCTTCTCTTGACCGACCTTCTGGCCTTCGGCACGACGCCCAAGATGTTTCTTACGACGCTTCTGATCACGCCGTGGTCTATCTTACTCCTTCCGGTCATCTTCTACATCCTGCCTTACCTCCGTAACTGGCAGATCCGCGACATCCCGTCTCCGTTCCCAGCCGCCTGGACGAACCTTTGGCTCTTGGCCCAATGTCGGCGCGGGAAACGCTATCTCGCCGTTCATGAAGCACACAAGAAATATGGGAAGCTTGTTCGTATTCAGCCGCATCACGTCAGTATCGCGGATGCGGAAGCTATTCCGCAGATCTACGGTCACGGCAATGGGTTCCTGAAGAGCGAGTACTACGATGCTTTTGTGTCGATAAGACGGGGGCTGTTCAACACGAGGGATCGTGCGGAACATACCAGGAAGAGGAAGACGGTTTCTCATACGTTTTCTGCGAAGAGTGTTCTGCAGTTTGAGCAGTATATTCATCATAATCTGGAAGAGTTGCAGAAGCAGTGGGATCGACGGGCGGCAAGCGTTCAAGAGAAGGGAGGCTGGTATCATATGGATGCGCTGCATTGGTTCAACTACCTCGCTTTTGACGTTATTGGTGATCTGGCGTTTGGAGAGCCGTTTGGTATGCTGGCGAAGGGTAAAGATGAGGCCGAGGTCAGCAAAGCGGGACAGATCACGTATGCGCCTGCTATCGAGGTGTTGAACCGACGAGGTGAAGTCAGCGGCACCATCGGATGTTTCCCCGCCATAAAGCCATACGCAAAGTACCTCCCCGACCCCTTCTTCAGCCAAGGCATGAAAGCCATCGAGAACCTCGCCGGTATAGCCATTGCCCGCGTAAACGCACGCCTCGAGAAACCATCCGACCGCGTCGACCTCCTCGCCCGCCTAATGGAAGGACGCGACGAAAGCGGCCAAAAGCTCGGCCGCGAAGAACTCACCGCCGAAGCCCTAACCCAACTCATCGCCGGCTCAGACACCACGTCCAACACCTCCTGTGCCCTTCTCTACCACTGCCTCCAGCACCCAGACGTAGTCCAGAAACTACAAAAGGAACTCGACAACGCACTCCCAGACGCAGATGCCGTTCCAAACTACGCTCAAGTCAAAGACCTACCGTACCTTGACGCCGTCATCAAGGAAACCATGCGTATCCACAGCACCTCCTCCCTCGGCCTCCCCCGCTTGATCCCTCCCGGCCCAGGCATCACGCTCCTAGGCCACCACTTCCCCCAAGGCACCGTTCTCTCCGTCCCCGCATACACGATCCACCACTCCACAGAGATCTGGGGCGAAGACGCCGACGTGTTCCGACCTGAGCGCTGGGAAAATGTTACGGAGCAGCAGAAAGCGGCCTTTATCCCTTTTAGCTATGGGCCGAGGGCTTGCGTGGGCAGGAATGTGGCGGAGATGGAATTGGCGTTGATTGTGGGCACGGTGTTTAGGAGGTATGAGTTCGAGGTTAGGCAGGGCGAGATGGAGACCAGGGAGGGGTTTTTGAGGAAGCCACTTGGGTTGGAGGTGGGCATGAGGAGGAGGACATTTTAGTAAAAGCTGTAGTCACAGGAGGAGTCGCGAATACCTCGTGAGGGTTTGGATTTGGCTGTTGTGATGCCATCATACATTGAATAAGTACGTCAAACAGTGTCACTGGTCGGCGGAAAGAAAGTCAAGGTGATGAGTTATGGCCACAGGGAGAGTCAGAACGGATTACTGAAGTCATCTTGTACACTTTCCCTCCGCAGGATAGTGAAGACATAGGAGAGTGTTACCGTCCGTCCCTGTGAGATAGTAAGGCCGGCCGAGAGATCCATAGAACACACTACTGTCATGGTTCTGGAAGAAGTACAACGAGACCCCAAACCATCAAACACTGTAAGGTCAAACCCCTAGACACTATCTTGTAGAATTCCGTCTACCTATATTTGGTGATATTTCCCATCTTATCAAATCTCTCCGCGATGCTCATTGCACTTCTTGGATTGCGATCTTCACGTTCGGCATCCTCCTGGCATTTCTCCAACTTCGCACTTGTTCCGTTCTCGCAGTGGATACAGTTTCCCACTACCGTGATTGGAAGTGCAGTGGCTCTCCAGTCCGTACAGTCGCACTCCCCTGTATCGCGAGCCGTGAGACATAGGAATTCCTGATCATATTCGAAAGCCATGTGGCCGCAATCATAGGTTTCGTAATATTGATAACAGTGTGCTGGGGCTGGGTTGAGCGGAACAAGGACTTGCTGCCCGGGAACAGTTGGCTGGGTCATGGGGGGGGGGGGGGGGGGGGGGGGGGGGAGGGCTAGATGTAATGCGCAGTAGTGGATGTCTATTCGTTTTTGGGTTGGACGCGAAGTTTGCTTGTTGTTGACAACGATGGCAGGAGAAGACTCTACCAGTGTATGGTGTAGTATCGTCGCCGTGAGTAGAAGTTTCTGGTTTGTACGGATGAAAGAGCCATGATAAGGCCGTTTACCAGAATTTATACTTGTGATAACTGGTTCAAGAGTCTTGGAGGCGTTGTAGTCAGAAGGACAGTGAAAAAAACCTCGTGAGCTTTGCTAATGGGATGATGCTTCAGTGACGCCTCATTGTACAACAAGTGACACTTTTCTGCGGACCTAAGTCGAAATACGGGCTATAAGTACAGCAAGACGACGTGATGTTGATAGTGTTAGGTATAACTGCGATAGGATATCATGATAACAAAACCTTAGGATGATATATAGGGTAAGTGCATCTGTTAAGCAAAGGCATGGATCGGGAAGCACAGTGCTTTTATGATTTCTGATGACTGAAAAGGAACTTGAGTGACCATGGTAGAAGAGAGATGTGAGTGAGACGGACGCAGACACGTTACAAGAAAAGGCTACCTTCCGTAGCTCAAAGTAGATAGAAGAATGCTGGGTTTTCTAGAATGAGACCACCGGTAAAGTAAACCGAAGCAAAGTCAGCTGTGGATCTGATTGAGATGCTCAAACAACAGTAGATGCGGTAAGCCACGAGGACACGTCATGGTGTTGGCCGCGATGCAGTGGTGTCAATTTTCTCTGGTATTCTCAAGACGACCATTTGCTTATTCGCCAACACGCTTGGACTGGTTTGGTTTGGATGAGGCTTACATGATGCACTCGGGTAACATGTGTGACTTGAAGATCGTGAATGAAGAAACTGGCCATTTTTGCTTCATTGTCAAACTTTCTGATCTCGCCCTCTACCCATATACGGTTTCGGCGACGAGTGCCATCACTACCATAGGGACATGCCGATATCTAGTTCATGTCACTCCGGGTTTCCTGTAGCAGCGCGCGGCTATCGAAGAAAAAAAACTAGAACAGTCCTTCATCCTTTCCAACCCGATAGACTTCGTGGCGGTCCTATACTCATGTATTTTACGTTCTTGTAACTGGTGGAGTGGGCCGCGGTGACGTTTACCTAGGTAGTGAAGCGCGGAAGTGCGCGCCCCAGAAAAAGCGCACAGACCAGCGCTTACTCTTAGCGGCCATTGTCGCGAACTCCCGGGCATCTACGCGTATCGCCGACAAAGAAGCTCAGCCAACACCGCTCAACCCTCGACCGCCATCTACCCGTCGCCAACTCGGAAGCAGGATCGCCTGCGTCGCCTAACATGGCGCCCAACGAGCTCGCCGATGTAGCGGACGACGCCTCGTCGGGCGGCTCCTTCACCCTGTTGAAGCAGCAGCTCGAGCTCGACTTCAGTTTTGCACCGCGCCGCGTAAAGGGCCTCACCACGCTCGACATTCAGCCGGACAAAGCGCATCTGCGGGATATCACCTTGAACTGCCGGCAGCTGAGGCCGACGAGCATCAAGATCGAAGGAGAAAAAGCCGCCTTTAGTTACTCGAACCTTCACCAGCGCCTCACGCTATATCCCGGTACCGGCCTCGAACAATATCACTACGCGAAAGAGCGGATAGCGCGACACACACAGGGCGCGGAAGATGAGCTGGTTATTATTGTGCCTGAAAAGGTCAAGATTCGGGAAGTGAAGCCCTCGGAGGCTGGCATGACCGACGACGCTCAGGGTACCTTTTATGCGCCGATGAAGCTGGAGATCGAATACGAACTGGACGACTTTCGGGACGCGCTGCAATTTGTCGGAGTGGAGGATGGAGATGCCCGGTACCCGCATGCCTACACGCGCAACTCGTCCTTTCCCGGTGCGGCCTCGTGTCTCTTTCCGTGCATAGACGACGGCGAAACGCGGTGTCTGTTCGATGTGTCCATCCGCTATCCGCGAACGCTGGGAGATGCGCTCAGCAAATCGAATGCGCAGGTGCAGGCACAAGCACAGGGAGTGGAAAAGGCGGATAGTGTCATGCTGGATGCGGATGACGACCAGGTGGACTTGTCCGAGGAAGAAAAGGCCATGGAGATGCAAGTCATCTGCTCCGGTACCCTTACAGACGATGTGCGTATCTGTATTGTATTTAGCGCGTTCTATGCTAACCTTCAAAGATTCTCGATCCCGCCGACGCTTCGCGAAAGACAGCCAGCTTTTCGTGCGATACCCTCGTCCTCCCACAGCACATCGGCTTCGTAATCGGTCCCTTTGAACATGTCGATCTCTCGGAATACCGCGACACACTTGATGACGAGCGCTTGGGAGAGAACGCTATCAAAGTCCACGCGTTTTGTTTGCCAGGCAAGGAGAACGAGGTCAGGAATAGCGCCATGATGCTAGCCCGAGCTCTCGACACCTTCACGGAACGCTTTCAGAGTTATGCATTCGGCAACTCCTACAAGCTCGCATTCGTAGACGATTTGGAATGGGACACCGCACACACAGCCTCGTTCTCTATCTGTAGCTCTCGCCTGCTCTTTCCGGAGACTGTATGGGAGCCACTGGAGCACACAACCAGGGTCTTGGTACATGCGGTAGCCAGCCAGTGGATAGGCGTCGACGTGATTGCCCACAATCCAGAAGATCACTGGATCATTGTTGGTGGATCTTGGTTCATGGCTGAGCTCTACCTCCGAGAGCTGTTCGGTCGGAACGACTGGCGGTTCCGTCAAAAGTTGATGGTCGACAGAGTCATTCAGATGGACCGCAAGCGCCCGTCGTTACAGCAACTTGGATACGTCTTACAACTGGATCCTGGCGAGGTTGAGTTCATGGAGCTGAAATCGCTCATGGTGCTTTCCATCCTCCACAACCGTCTGGTAAAACAGAGCGGTAAGAACGGTGTCGACAGGTGCCTGTACCGGATGCTTTTCAATGCTCGTCAAGGCAAGTACGCCAACGGCGCGATCGCTACGGACGACTTCCTCGACATCTGTGAGAAGGTTGGACATCAGAAGCTGGAATCGTTCTTTCAGCAATGGATCGTAGGAGCTGGGTGTCCCACTTTTCACTGCGTACCTTCGTTCAACAAGAAGAAGCAGGTGGTGCAACTTACTATCAAGCAACTCCAGGCTGACTCATCCATCACGAATATCGACAGCGGTCTCGCCGCGGATGACTTCATGCGCGAAGCGAAGGAGAAGTCTCGTGACTTACGGTCAGCGACAGGATATCCCACTTTCGTTGGCCCGATGACTATTCGAATTCACGAAGCCGATGGAACACCTTACGAACACATCGTCGATATCAATTCAAACAACGTCAAAGTAGAGATTCCGTACAACACAAAGTACAAGCGACTGAAGAGAAATCGATTAAACAAGGAGCGTATGGCTGCTGCCGCAGGCCTTGATGCCTCGGGGGAGACTCAAGAGGATGTCACCTTCTACATGCTGGGAGACCTATTCACATCTCCCCAGGAACACGATGAATGGCGACTGGACGATTGGCCACCGGAAGACGAGGCCAAGCAAGAGGGAGAGGCTTACGAGTGGATTCGAGTCGATGCAGACTTTGAATGGATATGTCGGACCAACATCGAGGACATGCCGTCGTACATGTACGTCTCGCAGTTGCAGCAAGATAAGGATGTCGTTGCACAAGCAGAGTCGATACAGTTCCTTGCCAACAAGGAAGGTCATAAGCTGATCTCTACTTTCCTGGTCAAGACATTGATGGACAACCGCTACTTCCACGGCATACGGACCATGGCTGCTACGGTCCTGGCTCAGAGTGCGTTGAAGCGCACGGAATGGGTTGGCCTCTTCCATCTCCAGAAGGCTTTCCGCGAGCTTTTCTGCTTACCCAACTCACCCATGACTCGCTCTAATGACTTCTCTGATCGTAGCATGTATTTGATACAATGCGCTATCCCCAAAGCCATTGCTAAGATCAAGGGCGAAGATGGCAGATCCCCACTAGAGGCGAAGCGCTTCTTGCTCGACCTTGTGCGATACAACGACAACCGCGGGAATGATTACAGCGATGACCATTACATCTCTACGCTTATGCGCTGTCTTGCAGAGACACTCACAAAAACTACAGCCAGTGCCGATCTCAGTCACGAAGAATGGGCTCAAGAGCAGGATTTCACAAGCAAAGCTATCGGAGAGCTTACCCGACATCAGAGACTTGACGAATGGATCCCTACCTACCAGAACGTTTATACAACCACCGCTCTCGACTGTGCGCTAAAGTTAGTCATGAGCCGCGTCACCCCGTTCAAGCCAACAGAGTTCCTCCAGTACGCCCAGCTGGGAAATGCAGACAACGTACGCTTAAAAGCTTGGGAGTGCTTGATTCGACTCGGTATGATCCGGAAAGATACGGTCTTGAGATTCCTCATGCATGAGATTCGATCCGATCCTTCGCCGTACTTCAGAAAGCAGCTGCTACGTATCTTTGGCATTGCGATCGGACAAATCGCTACTGGAGACGTTTGGGCACCGGAGAAGGCTGCCGATACTTCAGCAGGCACGCTTATGATCGAGAACGAAGCCAGTAATGCTGAACGTGCATCAGCTCTCGCCCGGCAGAACCTTAATGGGGCTCTGAGAGGGTTGAAGAGTGACATGCAGGGCAACCAAACCCTGCGTATGGTGCTAGAGGAAGCCTTGAAGTCGAGAGTACTGTCTACGAACGACATGTCTGAGCTTTTGGACATTTGCGACATGATCTTCGATAACCTGAAGTCCAATAAGCTGCCTATCACACTGACTATGCCACGCTATTGGAAGGTGGAGCATATTGGAAAGGCATCAGTGGTGTTCAAAAAGACCAATAAGTTTAGGTGGAAAGAGAGGACGCCTCCGAAAGAAGAGAAGAAGGAGGTTAAGGAGGAAAGGAAGGAAAAAGTACCTGTTCCAGCTGCCGCACTACCTACGCCCCAACCCACACGAGATACAGCTGCTCCGGTCCCGAAACCAGCACTACCGAAGCTGTCGCTCAAGATTGGAGCACCGAAGAAGCAGTCTACAGCATCCACACCGGCAACCGCGGAATCTATGCAGGCCTTGCAGAGAAGCCAGTCTACAGTGTTCTCACCTACTGTCTATCATTCGCCATCCCCCGCACCAGTGTCTAAACCTGCATCTCCAGCGCCAGCACCGCCGCCGCCGCCGCCGCCGCCGCCTCCTGCTGCTCCTGTTACAACAGATTCGCGTTCGTCGACTCCAGAAGTGCCACTAATGCAGCCGTCAAAGAAGATAGCGACCCCAGCAGCGACCCCCAAGCCAGCGACTCCGGCACCTGCTCCGGTTCAAGCTCCTACTCCGGCTCCGGCACCAGCTCCGGTGACCAAGACTCCGGTTCCACCACCCAAGGTCCCTACTCCAGCTCCTGCGCCTGCCCAAGCGAAGCCAACGCCAGCAGTCATCAAGGTACCAAAGCCTATGGCTACACCGCCTGCTATCGCATCACCTGTTCCTCTGCCGGCTCCTAAGCTCAAGATCAGGACCAAGACCGCTTCCGGCTCTACCGTACCATCAAGGCCCTCCAGTGCAGCTCCATCACCACGGCCAAGTGCCGCTCCTTCACCTCGGCCAAGCGCAGCCCCTGCTCCGTCACGACCTGCTGCGACCAATCCAGCATCTGTTGCAAGACCTGTTATCAAGCAAAAGAGAAGCAAGATCGTCAAACTGCGACTTCCACCCAAAAAGCTCGTACAGTTTACCGCCGGAGAGAGCAAGAAACGTAAGATGGTTTCTGGAAACGGTGATGACGACAGGCCATCTAAGCGACAGAGCTTCGAGGCAAGCAGCATGTTGAACGGCAACGGTACTGCTAAGAGCGGTCTCGTTAGCGTGGAAAGGGGTGGTAGCAGCGGGCCAAGACTGCTGCTCAAGATGAAGGTGGGAAAGGCCAACTTACCTGGTGAGAAGAAACGATGAGATCGAAGCAAAAAGGGGTTCAGCAAAAGAAAAGTCGACAGCGACGGTCATAACGAGGTACCGAGGATAACATAACATGCATTTTTCAAGGTGTTTAACGGACGGGCATCTCTTTCCCCACAGCGAAATATGGTTTAGGAAAAGGAGGGGCAAGGCCGCTGCATGCATGCATCCGGGATAAACAGCATTCAGCGATGGCGTTATTTGTAGTGTATTTTCACATGGGTGGTGGAATGGGACTTTAGGTGGATACCCCTTTTGCTGCTTTTAACGAGTCTGCATGCCTTAGTCGGGCTTTGTATTGTTAGACCGCCTAGAGTGAGAATGCATAATTTACAAGTGTGTAAGACTTGGTCGTCTACGTGGGTTGAACAGTGAATTAATGACGGATATTGGTAGTGAGGAAACGCTCGCTAGAGAGCGAAATACCAGAGTATTCTATAATGATGTGCACGCCAAATGAAAGGGTATCTACCATTGCACCACGCCTGATATCTATACATGATAATGAAATGGCCTCGCTGTGATATTATGATACTCGCCATAGGAGTTTCTTCACGGATCGTACGCCGGACTGGAAGACTGATTCGCTAAGGGGTACTGGAGCCGGTGTTTTGTGTGCAGTAGTTGGGAGGACTTCTTCCGCAGGTTTGGGACTCAGTGGTGTTGGTTTAGATGCCACTTGTGGTGAAGAAGGGGCCGCTTGTGGTGAAAAAGGCTGGAGACTCGCTGTTGCGTCGTTTGTAGATTCAAGGGTTGTCGTAGCTGTCGCTTTCTTCGCAGATCTGGATGCCGTCTTTCCTGTCTTCTCCACGACCGTATTCGTATCCATATCGTATGTAGCATGTGAAGGAACACACTCTTTCCCTGTCTCCGTTTTCCTATATTTGGCATGCGGCAGCGTAGATTTCTTAGTTGAAGCCCAAGGAGTGCGCTTCCTCTTATTCTTGGATCCGGGAGGACGGCCCCTCTTTCTTGGCACTAGGATGGGAATTTAGTGGGCTAGTCGGAGGACGGTGTTTCGACGGTCTCACCCTTGATCTCAGCATCGCTTGTTGGTGGATCTTTGGCTTCGACTTCTTGGTCTGACTCTGCATCGCCGATGACTGAGTCTGCATCGTCATCTTGGATGGGCGCTTTGGCAACCACAGATGCCGGGGTGGGCATGATGTTGTCCTTGTCGTCTTCAGAGATATCGGAGTTGAATTGAGAACCTGAAGTCTCAGGCACCTCCTTGAAAGCTTTATCGCTGGCTTCCTCTACCATCCCGCCGCATACAAGACATAGTATGTCCACGTCCCACTTGCGTTTCGGCTTCCCGTCGCGTCTTTCTAATATTGTCAGGCGGGCCTTGTTGTCTTGCGTCTTAATTCTTGCATCCAAGGTGGTGGAGGCTTGAAATTGGCTAGGTCGGCCCCGCTTCTTCAATTGCGGTGCTGCGTCTTGAAGTGCTCGCTTCTTGAGACAGTCCGCATGAAGCCACTCTGAACATTGTGGGCATTGTAGAAGAAGCTCGTCCGGATTACAGGGCTTCTTGTCGATGCAGTACGCTTTCAGTTTGCTCAATTGGCTGTTGGCGCGCTTTGTAATGTCGTAATTCTGGCGGAAAAACAGCTGATCTGTCTTGAGGTCGAGGCTGTCCGGGTCGTCGTCCCAATACACCACGTCTGCGGATGACTCCACTGACAAAGCGTCAATGATGTCCATGTGATTGCTCACTATCAGCTCGCTGTCGCCATGATGCGCTTGTCGTCCACCTGGTATGTCCTCGGGCCGGTATGCCCAGTAGACTCTGAGAAAGACATGGGTGGGGTCTCCGCCGCGGACTTCCAGAAGTTTGGCAATCCAATGCTCAATCGCGCCTGGACCTTCTGCGATTTTATCTTCTTCGCTCTTCTTCACAAAGACCATCTGACCGACTTTGAACTCCTCACCGTTAACGGTAAACCTCCGATAGCGCTGCATAGCCTCCCAGTACAGTGCAGGCGTTATCTTAACGTGTAGCTCGGGTAGTTGCGTCTCGGGATATGGATTTGGCTGCGTGGTCTCTGCGTCTAAGGGCGCGTCGAAGTCGCTGACGTGCCCATTTCCAGTGCCCTGCTTTGATTTTGCTGATCTGCTTGGCTTCTTTTGTTTCCTGACAGTGACTGCTGTAATCTTGAAGCTGAGATCTTTGTCTACCGTCGACCAGTCAATCTTTCGTTTCTTCGCACCATTGGGTTGAGGCGTTGACCCATTGGACGTGGGGTTTTCGTCTGCGACTTTGCGTTTACGTGCCATTGTCGAGAGTGAAAGTTGGAGAGTGGAGGTTTGGCGATGGTGGAGTGGGTGACTGTGGTGCGCTGGTGTGTGCTCGGTGCGGGCAGCACTGGCTGTCTGACTGTGACGCGGGATATTAAGCGAGGGTACTATGCGGTGAGAGCTGAACGTTGGAGAAGTGGGCGAGTTGGGTTGTTATTCGAAATGCAGTATCAAACTGAAGTTGAGCATATGCTAGAGCTCGACGCGTCTGGCACCGAGCGGAGCAAGCGATCTCTCGCGCCCGCGTTGTCAGCTGCCATCACGCTACCGCGCTGTGAGAACGCCAGACCCGAAGCGTTACATCACGTGAATGGTCGTCGTCCCTACCTAGGTATCATGACGTCTTCGCCAAGTGCATTGGCAAGGCCGGTCTCTTCTCACAAACATAAGAAATGTCTCGACGGGTGCTCATGAGGCACTTCGGCAGCTTCCCTTCATCTGCCATATGGGCTGGCGGGTCAAAACGAACTATTGAATTACACCAAAGTAGACAGTCTCAGCCTTGATTTACACAACGCCTCGATGGGCGATCACGTTCGTCACTTAATCGATGATGCATACCAACATCAACCTTCGGTACCGTTGTCTGCCATGGCATTGTGGTACAGCATACGACGCGACGCGTCGGTTACTCGGCTAGGATGGCATGCAGGTAAGATGTGTATGCCCGGTCAGCATCCGACACCTCTGGTCAAGGGAAGCACAGCTGGGTACCCCAGATTCCGTGGGCCGCGTTCCGGCCGCTATTGCCAACAACACATTTGGCAGAAACGGCCAAGATGCACTGCCACAGCATCATCGTTACCCAGAACAGGAGAAGTCCGTGCCGAGTGACCGAAGACAGGTGGGCGGCCGCCAATTTAGTCTAGTACGGGGCCTCTAGATGCGCTGGGAATACGACCAAGAGCCAATGAATAAGCGTGCAGTGGCCATTGAGGTCTCCGGGAGGATTGTGGATATGGAACACGCGGCCATGCGTTGATGTCGATGAAGGAGCCCGCTGCCGTCTGCGCGGATATGGAAGAAGTCGCAATGGAATACGAATCTGTCAGCCGGTAGATGGATCGTCCAGCGCGCGGCGATCTCCAAGAACCAGAACCCTTTCGCAGGTTCGCGTCATAGGCACGCTAATCCCTGCCGCGTGCCCAGAAATTCGTCCACAAGTCTAAGTCCACCACGGACCTCAGATATACGTACTACGCCTACCGCTCTTTCGCTCCTTGTAGTTCCCATAATCGCAGCTCCTCCTCCGCCTCTACACTCATCTCTAATCCTGTGCTCTCGTCGCTCGTTCCCGAAGAAGCTCTAGTCCCTGCGCTGTAACATTCCGCGAGCCGGTGTACCCGTGGCTTGCACGCCTGGTTCCGTACCGACAACGCGCCCGCAGAGCACCTGCATTGTGCACCGCACTGAGGAGAGACCTTCCACTTGTACTAATACCGCCACTCGTTGCTGCCATGGGTCGTCCAAAGAGAGGTAAATAATGCGCCGGCTACAAAATGGCGTCCCTCGCTCCTTTGTCGGCAGTGCTCGTCGTTGGAAGAACATTCACTAATGTTGCGCCCGGTTCGCCCCTTCACAGTCCTGTCGTTTATGTCACAATGGGGTGGTTCCAACCAGAATACCTTGCAAAAGAACCCGCCGTCCGCCGGACCGTCTCCGGGCCCCGCGTCCCCCGCTCCGCCTTCACCCTCGACGAAGCAACCCGTCAGCTCAGCCAACTTTGCACAGTCCGCCACCGCTCTCGACTCGTATAACAGCGAGCGCCCTCCCTCCCGCGCGACCCAACGCGAGCGCAGCGACTCGCGAGCCTCGGTCCGTCCCATGTCCATGATCCAGACATACCAGCCGCCAGTTATGGAAGTAAGCCAGGACACACTGCCAGAGCTGCAGCGCATCTTCACATTCCTGAACAGCCATTCCAACAAGCTGTACCAAGAGGGCTACTTCCTCAAGTTCCACGACACCGATACCCGTACGTCAGCCCTGTAGGCCATGCCTGTCTGTGATACTAACGGCAATGCAGGTGGCCGTCCCGCGCCAGATCGGAGATGGCAGGAGTACTTCGTCCAGCTTGTGGGCACCATCCTCTCCCTATGGGATGCGAGCGCGTTAGACCAGGCTGGAGGTGACGCGGAGGTGTTGCCCACGTTCATCAACTTGACGGATGCTGCGATCCACATGGTATGTCCGCTCACGCCCTCACTATGACCTCACTGACCCCGCAGATCCCCTCCATGACCCTCAAAGACGGAAAGAAGCTCGACAACATCCTCAGCGTATCCACGGCCGCGAGCAACAAATACCTCTTCCACTTCGATTCCTACCACGCGCTTACGCAATGGACCGCCGGTATCCGCCTCGCCATGTTCGAACACACCACTCTGTCGGAAGCGTACACGGGTGCGTTGATTGCTGGCAAGGGCAAGACGCTGAACAACATCCGCATGATACTGGACCGACAGTGCGCAAAGTACGAGGATTGGGTGCGCGTTCGCTTTGGCGCAGGCACTCCGTGGCGCCGCTGCTGGTGTGTCGTCTCTCCACCCGATGAGAAGGAATACCTCAAGATGCAGAAACTACAGAAGAAAGGCAACGCTTATGAGCGACCGCCGATACTCAAAGGCGACATCAAGTTCTACGATACCAAGAAGGTCACCAAGAAAACCAAGGCCATCGCCACTGTCAAGGACGCATACTCGTGCTACGCCATCTACCCGCAGTCAAAGCCGCTCATTGACCAGTCTACATTGGTGAAGATCGAGGGCAAGATTACAATTCACTCGACGCCAGAGAGTACAACAGAAGGATTCGTCTTTGTCATGCCGGAGTCGCGTCCTGCTATTTCTGGATTTGAGATTATGCTCCAATATCTTTTCCCAGTGTTCGATACATTCTCACTATACGGACGTCCAAAAAAGTTGATTGCAGACGTTCTAGACACCCGCGGTTTGATGTTCGCTATGCCCTCCGACAGGCGCTACGGATACTTGGAGATGTGGGACGTGGTGGGCTTGATCAATACTGAGGGCAGCGACAAGTGGTCAGAGCGCCACTGGAGGAAGCAATTGAAGGACCTCACGTCTACACGGATGGTGACTGCGAACCAGGACGCGGAATCCATCTACAGTCGCGCCAGCCGCAGGAATACCGTCAGCCGGGCAGGCTTCACACCTCGTAACCTACGATTCGAAGATCAGGGCTCCATTCGCTCCAGCCCGTCCACGCGCGCGTCATCCCCTACACGCAAATTCCCAGACTTTGAAGTGCAAGCGCCGCGTCGTGTTGGAACGGCTCCCGCAGCAAACCCATTCGGTACCCCACGCCATCAACGATCTGTGTCGGAGCAAGTCAACGGACGCAACCAGAATACTCCATCTAGATTCACGCAAGACGACACGCCGTACGAAGACGAGCGACCGCCGACGCCTCCCCAGCATCGTATACTCAACGGTTCGTCGAACGGGGCGGTTCAGCCTTATGATTCGTCTGCGTCGGATTACGATGAGAGCCCGATCAAGGAGCCGCAGAACCTCCCACCGCCGCCTGCAGATCTGTCGGCTCCACCGCAAGGTTATGTCGATCTTCCTCCGACCCAGGAGCACGCTGCCAATCAAAAGCCACCCATTCGTCCCAACATGCCCATGGCAAAGCCAAATCCTGCAGTTGATTCTGCCACGCTCCAGCAAATGGCCGACGCCTCACATGGATCTTTCCCCGGTGGCGTAGCCACCGCTGGCGCAGTCGGGGCTTGGAGAAGCCAGGATACTATACAAAGCAGACGCAGTGGTGACTACAACGCGTACGGTGATCAGGGACAATCGATGTATCTTGGTGTCAACTCAAGGCCGCCTCCAACGAACCAAAACTCTGGGAACCGCCTGTCTACCATTCCCGCATCACCATATGTCGAGCATTCCGAATTCGTCGACTCTCCCACAGGCTACCAGCCGACAGCTCCATCGGTCCCAGAACATAGTGAGTTACCGCCACAGCCCCCCAGTCACGAGCTCCCTTATCGCCCGCACCCCGAAAGCGGCGGCATACCACGTAAACCAGTACCAGGTCGGTCTCCCCTAGCCTCGCAAGAGGATGACACCCTTTCGACCACTAGCTCAAGACTCGACAGTTTACGAGAGGACGTAATCGACCCTGAAGCTCTCGACGCTTTCAACATCACACAGCCCACTTTGCATCGTCAGCCAAGCGCATCTAGTAGTTGCTACGACGATGATGCCATATCGACTTCCACGCCAGACTATGCCAGCATCGCTGAAGAGGAACCTGCGCCTCCTCCACGAAGATTGCCTGAACGACGCACCGATCGACCAAGAAGCGGCGTTCTGACCATGATTGGAGATCCAAACGTAAAGCTTCCCTCAGATGAAGATCCACATGGCTACAAATCTGTTCTGGACCCAGCACAGGCGCCTGCAGCTGTTCCTAGCATTGACTTTGGCCCTACATATGCGCTGGACTTTGACGGCAAGCGTCCGGGCACCAGTGGAACCATGACACAGATGCTGCACGATAATAGCGCCTCACGATCCAAGGAGAATCTTGCGACGACTCCGAACGAACAGCACCGACTGTCTTATATCTCCGGTGCAGGTTCACCTAACCAACCCATGCATGCGCGTAGTGGTTCGAACTCCCCGCAGATCTCTGATTCACGGCAAGTCGCATGGCAGCCTGCTGCAGCCTCACCACAGCAGCCAGACAGGCAAAGGCTGGATCCTGAAGACTGGGTGATGCATCGTGCGGCGCATCAGCAGCAGCCCATAATGTATGGACATGGGAGGAGCAAGTCACATACCCCTCCTCCTTTCGGTCGTACTCATTCTGGGGATTGGACTCGTACGCACTCTGGTGATTGGAGTCAGATTCAGCGGTCGCCTCAGGGTTCTCCAGGTCCCGCACGTCCACCCAGTCGCCCTCTGAGTCGCGGAGCTGAGACACTGCTTGATCAACGGCCTACCACTTTGTCAGCTCGCGAGCAGGAACAGGTAGCTCGCATGACAAACACTCCTCTTTTGGACCTTTCGCAGAACACCAAGAAAGTGCAAAAGCAGCCCCCGACAGGACTCACGGGCTACATCGATTATCGCGAGAAGGAGAAGGCGGCTCACAAGGCTAATCGCCAGAGCTTTACACCGACTATGCAAGCTGAGATTGACAGACGCACGTTGCAGACCCAACAGCGGCAGATGATGGAGGTCCAGCAGCGCCAGCAGATGATGATGCAACAGCAGATGCAGCAGCAATACGCGATGGCTCAGAGCAACTATGCGCCGAGCATGATGGGCACTCCTAGTGTTATGGGTATGGGCACGCCAACCGGCATGGGTGCTCCTAGTGTAATGGGCGCACCGAGCATGATGGGTACCCCGAGTGTTATGGGCATGCCTACCGGGCCTGGTACACCGTCAGGCATCGTTGGAATGGCGTACTCCACACCGAGCCAGATGCACCCCATGTATCAGCAACAGCAACAGCAGTACTTCCCCCAGCAGGCGCCAACCCCGCAGATGAACATCCCTGGAGGTTGGGTCTCGCCAGCACAGACACCGCAGGGCCAGTATTTCCCACAGTCGTCACCGCAAGGGTACGGCAATATGGCGCAGCAACAACAGCAGGCACCGCCCACGCAGGCTTACGGCGCGAGCTTCGACCAGGCGCAGCAGGCAGCCAAGTACGCGCAGCAACAATATCAAGGCCAGTATCGCCGTTAAATAGATGGGTCATTCATTAGAGAGTGTTGAAGTCATTCGGGATCGATTACAATTGGATTGAAGAGTATGAGACGAGTTGCCGATGTTCACTGTATATATTTTGCGTCTGCATCTTCTCGTACATAATACTAAGCATTGAGAGTGGGAGTCTTGGATTGGATTGCAGGCTCGCTCGGTATAACATGGAGATGTTAATGGAGTTTATGATGATTGAGAGTGTGTTTGATTGTTTGATTGCTTGCTTGCTGTGATGTGGTTTGCATGGCAGCTCGCTATCTATCCATGATACATTAGTCTTTGGTGCGCGAGCGGACGAGTAGTAGATGATCACTAAACAGTGGAGAGAATCACTAAACACCACTTGCAAGATCTCGGCTGCTTATGGAAGCAGCATCACCACACCAAAGACAAACCCAGCTGCGAGGAGATATCGAAGGGAGATAAGCCCAAAGTCCAGCTCGTCCTGTGACACGCATAAATTTTTGCGGGGCTTTGCCAACCATGAATGTCCCAGTGATACGAAAGTTTACTGGGGCTCTGAGTATATAATAGATGAGTTACAAGTTTCTTGTCCTAAACCTCAGTACCACCCGTTTCTTGTTTGCCCTTGCAATCTTTCAATCGCCTTCCTTTTGAAATCTGTCTTTTTTCCACTGCCATTAAGCATTGAGCATCGCCATGACGTCCAACACGCCACCCCAGATCCTCCTCACCGGTAGCACTGGCTACATTGGTGGCACCATCCTCACCCATCTCCTAAACTCTTCCTCTCCAACTCTAAGCGCCGCTACCATCACCTGCATTATTCGCGGCCCTGAACGGGCTGCCACACTCTCCTCCACCTATGGCGCCCGCGTGCGACCGGTCGTCTATAAGGATCTTGATGATCTCGAGGCGACGACTGCTACCGCCTCGCAGCACGACATCGTCATCAACACCACTCTCGGCTTTCACACACCCTCCGTGCAGGCGCTGCTCCGCGGCCTCGCACAGCGTAAGGCGTCGACAGGGCGGGACGTGTGGATGATTCACACATCCGGCACGTCTAACCTGGCCGACCAGCCGATTTCACGAAAGTGGGTGGAGGAGGAACCAGAGCGAGAGTTCGACGATGCAAAAGACGATGTTTATGGCTACGAAAAGAGGCGCGAAGCGCTGCATCCGGCTCCACAGCGGAGCACAGAGCTGAGCGTCGTGGACGCGGGACTGGAGCTGGGCGTCAAGACCCTGGTCATTATGAGTCCGACCATCTACGGGCTTGGGACCGGGCTGTTTAACAAGACGAGTCTCCAGCTTCCGATGTATATACGGGGTGTGTTGGATCACGGACGCGCAGTGGTGATTGGAGATGGAAAGGGGGTGTGGGACCACGTGCACGTAGAGGACGTGGCGGACCTTTACAAGATCGCGGTCGCCAATGTATTGGAGAGTGGCGGCAAGGATTTGCCGACAGGTAAGGAGGGAATCATCTTTAGTGGGAACGGCCGACATACGTGGATGGAGGCGGCGCAGGCGGTGGCGGATGCATGCTACGAGGAGGGCAAGTTCACAGAAAGAAGTGTAGAGAGCGTTGGGCTGTCGGAGGGAGTGAAGATCCTGGCGGCGAACATCCCTCACATGAACGAGGACATGATTGAGCTGGCACTGTGCAGCAATGCGCTGACTGTGCCGACAGTAGCTACGAAGTTGGGCTGGAAGCCGACAAGGGGGGAGGAGGCTTGGAGAATGGGGTTCCGGGACGACGTTAAGGCGGTACTGGAGAGAAGATAGTGGCGAAAGTATCTTCTGTATTTGTGATTGGAATCGCCACTCAATGAATCTCTAGACCCTTTTTTCAAAACAAAGCAAATCGCCTGGGTCAGGGGGGCACGAGGACGACCTTATTCCGGAGTCGGATGGCGCTACTATTACTTGGTCTTTCCCAGTAATGGAGTTCATGATGATTGAAAGTGTGTTCGATGGTTTATCTACTTGCTGGGATGTGACTTGGCGGTGTAATACATACTTTGCCGTGCCCGAGCGAATGCATCAGAGAAATCCAACTGTGGCTGGTCATACAAACGGTGATATACCTCGCGTGCTATATCAGAGCTGCAATTGAGGTGGAAGCTTACCTCATCCTCAGGAAAGGGAACCCCCAAAACCCTCTCCAATAGGTACCCGGTGTCATACTTTGAATCATGACCACCCCCTTGACGCTCCCAGCTCCATCGTATTATTTCAAGATAGAATACATCGAGAAGAATATCCTTGACTGGTCTACGATAGTCAAGTTCCAAAACCGAACCATATCTCCCCACCCCCACAAGAGCATAGACTTTGTCTCTGATCTCTGCACACTCGTGATCACCATACATCTGGAATAGCAGGTTGAAACTGAGCTTGTTGGAAGGACCTCTCGTCATGCTTGTATTATTGGCTATACGCATGGCTCCACTTTTCATCAGGACGTTATGGAAAGGCGTGAACGCTTCCTGGTTGGTCGAGAACTTGACTTTATCAAGATAGTCATATAATTGTACTAGTTTATACCACTTGAGTCTCAGTGTACCACAGTGGACCTCTTTGTCGAGGGCGAGTAGTACTTCTTGGATGATCCACATGCGAGACCAATAAGCTCTCCCGCATAGTGACAGTACGCTACGAGCTTCTTCCCTGGTCCAAATAGTCGCGCTTTCGTTTTCTTTGGTGGCTTTTTTACTGTCTTTGTCCTCGTTGGGGAACAGGTTCGGTAAGGCCCTCCCACTGTAACGCCTGCTCCACGTCCAGGTTGTCAACGCCCGTATGGCAAGATCGCTGTCTTCGCCTTCTTTACCCAGCCAGACCAGAACCTTTCGTGCGTTCGAATATATGGAGCCCATCATTTGTACTTGATGATTGCGCTCGTCCACCTCCGACTGCTGTATACAGACTGCCTCAATCCAGAACGGTCCATAATTTTCATGGAGTAGTTGCTGATGTAGGAAGTCCCATAGATTTTCGCGAATTGGGACACTGACGCCGTTGATCTCGATGTCGGTGTGCATTACATCGGCGCCCCAGGTATAAGACAAAGCAGTATACGATGGACAGTCTTCTGGGCTGTAGGTCTGCAGGCTGCATCTCGTCATGTCTTCGTCATTGTTGGGTTGGAGGGTGAGCAGTCTGATCTCTCTGCGCGTCCGATCGAGGGGGCATGACGCATAGAGTTCGCCCATCGTCCGTGGTTCGTATGCGCTGGGTAAAGCTGATGAGCGTTTCGTGGTACACGACGTGAATCTGTGATGTGAGCGTGCTATCGTATATGAAAGAGACGACGAGACAGCTTCAGATATGTTACATAGATGGCTGCCTGAAGCTTCGTAATGCCTGGTAGGGCGATAGAGGCTGTGTCACCGAGCCCATGACGTTGAGGCTGAAGCACTCAGCTCTACATACTCTGGCGGTGCTATCACAGCCAATAGCACGAGGTCAGAAGCTGTTTGGATGTACAGGTCTGCGCGCCGAAGACTATGCTATGACGACAGGCATTCTTAGACACAGGTAAACGTTCATTGGAGTTGACATTACGAGTTTAATATTTCGATTGTCTGATTGATTGGAATATGTGATGATATTTGCAAGATGGCGTATGTCTCCTTGGATTGATGCAAGATACCTCGGAAGGACGAAGTGCGGGGCATCCCAAACGAGGAAGCTACCCCTCCATGCAGCTTTCACGCCGCTAACCTCATCCCACCTCCGTCTCCACACCACACCCTGCATGAGGCTCGTCATAGTATGCATCGCTCACGATCCTCGGCCAACCTTTCTTCCATTTGGTTCCAAGCTTAACTCCGTCCAACGACATTGCCGTGAATGAAGATCGGTGCCTCGCTGCTGAAGTTCTTTACGTCGTCCATGACCTCCTTGGTTCCTGTGCTCTGCAAGGCTTTTCCGACACTCTCCACGCTATCAAACTCCATAACGGTGCTAATAGCGTATGGGCCATCGGTGTTGAGCTCGCTGACGGCGTAGGACTTAAGACCGTGGTCTCCCCAGTGCTTCATGGCGAGAGGCATGTGTGTCTTGAGGTAGTACTCCTTGTCAAAAGTGGAGCCTTCCTTGCGAGGGTAGAGGACGATAGCGTTTGCGCCAGACATGATGATGTATAGTTGGATGGTGTTGGAAGGTGTTTAAAGAGCTCTGTATGCTGTGAGTAGAAGCTAATAGGGACTTGTAAGACGTACTGACTGTTGTAGATGCGATGCGCGTTGCTGAACAGCACTGACGTGGGAATTAGTGTCTTTATAGCTGTGCCGGCGCCTTGGATCGACTCAGTACCCCACTTCGCGATCCTTACATCCGCTTCCGGTCCTTCTATTTTGGACACTCGCCCGAGATTACTCGCAGTCCCACTACGATTGGGCTTAGGATATACAACGTCGACTTTTGTCAGCATGCGGTTATCGTTCGATCACGAGCCAGCTCCAGACACATATTACTCAGGCTTGGCCGGATCTTCCCGAGTGGATATCCTCACATGCATCTGGAGGGACCTTGGAAGATAGATGGCTACTTGCCAAGCTAACTTACTACCAGACACCTATTCCGACATCGTCGCGTTGCACCGCCAGCTGTGTCGCAACGTAAAACTCCGGTACAATTACTCGGATTCTTCTGGTGTAATAGCCTCGAAGGTTCCCATATCCCTATCGCCCAGGCGATTGCGCGCGATCAGGCTGTCCTTAATAACCACAACTCTTTGAGCGCCCGGCTCCCCCTCCTCTACAGAAGGGAGTATGGGGACAGGCACATCGTCTCGTAGGCCAGATGACCTCACGTCTCCCCACACCCTCCCTCCGGAAGGCACCGCAGTCTTCGCCCATATGTACGCTGTTTTGTTCATTCCCCTTAGCCTGAGCCCAACGACTGTGTGCACCTCTTTTGTAATCTTGGGCTGGACAACAATGCCTGGTCGCCATAGCTGGACTTTCTGTGGATATAAAAGCTTCTTGAAAACAATACTCGTGCGCTGGGCGATTACTGCTTCTTGTATGACGAGACCGGTACCAGAATGTGCGAAACGTCGAGGCAGTATGCTGTTAACCACGCGACCTTCTTCTTCGTGTGCACAATCCGTCAGTCTGAATCGGAGCGCGGGATCCAGCCCAAGGGATGCGTCCGGGAACCTCCCGCAGTCGATGGTACACGACGAACCCGACTCGAAGAAGAGCTGCAGTGCGGGAAAGAAAGTGTTCATCGTCCAGTAAATAATCTCTGGGCATAGTCAGCTCTGCCATCCTCTTGCACTACACACTTGGTAGACGCGCTCTCGTTGATCAATTGACTGGCTAAATTGGTTTTGTCCAATTCCGCAGTGTGTTCCAGACTGACAGTCCGCGGTATGAAAGCGCCGTGGTCCGTTGTAGAAACGGTGGTCGAATCCGATCCCTTTGCTTCGTCATCTTGCATCAAGGCCTCGCTGAGCTGGTCCCGAGAGCTCCAAAGCCTTGGAAAACCGCGGCGCTGTGCTTCTGTGAAAAGGTCTTCTGTTGAGCATTGGTAATAATCCATGCGAAGGAAGCAACTCGTGTTACCGATAGGACTTCCACCGGATATTGGATGCTTGTATAGTGGTTTCGGATTGCTATAAAAAAAAATGCAATTGATGTTTGTGGTTGCGATGGAGCCACAGAAAGCTATGTCTCCAAGAGTAGAGGTGTAGAAGTGCGCTTGCGTGCACTACAATTAAGATGACTCCACTCCTATTGGAAGGAAGAAACTTGGGATGAACCACATGATCGAGAAAGGACACCTAAGATTTCATGTGAAAGAGCATTCAGCTCCCGAACTGTTGATGGCGTGGGGTATGGAAGGTAAGTTCATCGGGTCTCCGCGATGGTACCAGCAACGTGTGGACAGGCTATCTATTACCTTTTCAAAAGGAAGGTGTACGCTTTCGGTCTTGCCTTAAACACATCATACCAAGTTTCCATATTCACCTCGTAGGAATAGGTATCCGGCGAAGATCCTTAGTAGATGGACTTCGCAGTTATGCATTCGAGCGGCCGAGAGTGAGCTGTCGCGATCGCATATTAAGCAAGCAGATCGCGCTTCACATCTGTCTCGTGTGACGTTTGGTAAGAACAAAGACAAAGGCCCACGTGCTCTTGCCCATGTCTTACCCAGGCGGAGTGTTGTGGAACATGTCACTGCGTGCCTGCGTCATTTCACTAGCGGCTCTTGGCGGGTGCTCTTACCTTCTCTATCTGTTTACTGTCAACTCCTACCGCTCAACTTACTCTAACACCAACTCCGCTGCGTCGTAAGCATCGCCACTGGTTGCAAGACTACTGATGGCGCCCACTACGTAAATCATCTCCCTACTCATCGCGCACTCCCGTGGTCATTACCTAACCTCACTTTAGACGATCCGGCAGCAATCGCGCAGGCGGCAAAGCTATAGACAAGCAAGTCATCAAGAAATCGAAGCAATCAGTCAAGACGGCCACGAAGCCCGCGAAGGGTACGGAGACCGCAAGTGAAGCTCCGCAGTACTTCCGCTTCCTCGATCTTTCTCCAGGTATGGCTTCTTGGCTTCTCGAAGTGACTGTCAAGTGCTAACACCGTGTAGAGCTACGCAACAGAGTCTACGGCTATGCCAAAGAGGACGACGCCAGCCGCTTCGCTCCACAGCCTAGACGACACCTCTCAGGTGCTTCGCGAAAGGGATATGCAGAGCGAACCTGGGGGTTCTTCGCTCTGACTCAAACTTGCTCACAAATTCGGGCAGAGTATCGTCCTCTCTGGGTTCAGCATCTTCGTGTTGCGTTGATGTCGACTCATCAGTTGGCCAACTTCCTCGATACATTTCTCCAGTCTGAGAACGAGCCCAAGCACGTGCCCAAGCTGGTACAGTTCCTATGGGATCATGGCCACGATAATGGAATGATCTTCGATCTTACGCGCATTCTGCGCCTCCATTCGCACTCTCCATCATTGCAACTTGAATTCGTTCCTGAGAATGTCGCACTCGGACAAACTGTGGATGAAGACATGTGTCACAATTGCATGATGCGATATCATAGAGAAGAACACGGCCTGGATCCCGACAGCGACGACGATGACTGCGACTGTCCACCCCTGCATATGAGCAACAGCGCGTGGAAAGAGTTCAAGGAAACCCAGATGGAGTATACTTTCGACATCCCTGAGTTTGTCCACAACACAAATGAAGCTTGGATGACGGCTGTGAAAGAAGACAAGGTGACCGTCACTTGCTCGTTCTGCCAGTGGAGTCACCATGCCATCTTCAAAATTCTCTACAAGGATCCGGTCTGTGAGACGACCACCGACTCTCAACCGGCTTGGGATCTACTCAAGCAATGGGGCATTCTCGATCTTCAAGTAAAGCGAGCCACGCATTTCATCTTGGCGTATGAAGAGGACCAAACCATGGACCATGATGGCTACAGAATGATCAACTCCGTCAAGCGCCAGGTTCTCATCCGCAAAGTGCCCTCGACGAGCTAGGTACCGGATGAGATGGTTGTGCGGTACAGCCAACTACACACAGCTTCAAGATTATATCACGAGTATGGTTGCGGCGGGACTGTTCAGAATCTGTGGGTACCGCATGCCTACGCAGGTCTTCTTTCTTTCAATACGTGCGATGGTACTGAAAGTCACTCGCTGAGGTCAAATTCGCATAGAACATCATGTTTAGCTGTTAATTTCAAGGTCTCATAGTACACTAGTTATCATTCGCGGTTACGCCAGCCCTGAATATAGCTATTTGAACGTTCAACATAAACCGTTACCATCGCAGCGACTTGATACCATTTCGCAGTGTTCAGGACGACCATTTGACACACTTGCAATCCGGGGTGTCGGCCAGAGTTACTGTTGCTTGCTCGACTGTAGACATGCCGTTTGCTTATCATTGTCACATCATAGGAGGGGTTGACAATAGGCAAAGCATAACTAAGTGTAGTCATGCTGATTCCAGTTAGGTTTATCAACCCTTCCGTACACGCATATAAGATCCCAACTTCCCCACCTAGGGGAAGGTTTCTGGAAAGCATGATCATCAACATTCTTCCTGTGAAGAGTATCATCGAAACCACAAAGGACATGCTCCCAACACTTCCAACTGAGATACTTCGTATGATATCTGAGGACAACGCTGATGATGAAGCCACGCTGAAACGCCTCTCAACATTGAGTCGAGAATTCCGAGGACTCGCCCAAGAGCTCCTCTTTCGCAAGATTGAGATATCCATACGATCTAGTCAACGTCCCAGTCGCTGCGGGCTACTCGTGAGACTGTTCACATCGTCCTTGAGTGCACCGCCGTTGCAAGAGTGGGTTCGACACTTGAGCCTTAGCTTTCCCACAATCTCCGACTCCCGCATCGATCCCGGTTTATTACTCTCCTTGCACATCTGAACCGGCTCACACATTTGACTATCGACACACAATATACTCCTGAGCCTGCAAGAGCCAACGACGGAACATGGGAATATTCATCATGGAAGCGTCAAGGGAACGACGTCTCTAGACCCGTAACCTGAGTTCGTCCAGCTTGTCCAGGCACTTACCACTCTTCCAAAAACTCCAATCAACCTCATCGACGTACACATTCTGCTTGAAGAGAGAGATCACAACGGTACAGACCTGTTCCAATTCTCTATACCTCTCCAGTTTTCTCGCCTCACCCTGGACATGCCAAACTTTTGCGATCCATGGGCAACACGTATTGCTCCGCGCATTGCTCACGTCGCGCAACGTCTAACGCATCTTCACATCAAAGAGACATGGCCAGGAGGGAGACGAGAACAGTGCTCACGGGCTGACTTCTCAGGCTTCAGCAGCCTTGCAGATCTTCGCGTCCCGGCAGCGATGTAGTTTGATCATGCTGTACTATGTGTTAACATAACCTCGTGGAAAACTTCGAGTGATGGGCGATTGGCACCAGCGCACAACATGCCTGCCATTTGGTGTTCTTTTGTTCAAGATCAATGTTCAAAGCCAATCGACACATGAGCTCTTCTAGCATACCTTTTTGTGTCGCCAAACAAGGCGGAACAGCGGAAGCCATGACTTTCTGTCCTTGGTGTTTTGTAGAAAGCAGGAGGAACACACACAACTATGCCGATTCGTCGTCAGACTTTTGGAGATAATGAAGACGTTGTGATACGAAGAAGAGAGAACGAGAGGTAGAGTGTGGGTTTATATACCCGTCGACCCTGCTAAGCCAGTAACCAGTCATGCCAAATACTACCTCCCTACAATCGAGCAGGCGGCGACATGAGCATTCCATAACTCAACTTTTACCTCATTTTAGAAGTTGAAGACTACAAACGCGACGAGAGCACATCGCTTGCTTCTGCTGTCCTTTCGGTAGGCGGCAAACCATGGGTAGCTCATAGCGATGCGAATGCATAAACTATGTGTATTCGGCAAGAGTGAAAGCCTGGAACTGCAACATGAAATGCATGTTCGCATCCTTCTGAGTCCCCAGACCAGGAATGAGACATGATGGTGGTGATGGTGGAATTTTGGAATGTCTTTTTGGCATACCACTAGAAGGAGCGGATCCGAAAAGCACCACATAGAAACGAGGGGTTGCTTTTTGTTTGTTCATATAGAAGAGACGGAGGTTCCGCACTCCCTCATGGGTGATACAGAATGTGATTTTGGAAAGAAGAATGTTCTGAGGGAAGAAGAACCAGGCCGCAAGTCATGTAAAGTCTCTTCGGAGTTTTTGGAAAGGGCCGGACCGGACCGGGCAACAATCCATCGCACTTTGGAAAATTCGTTTTGGAAAATGACTGGCAGACCTGGTGATAAAGAGAAGAAGAAACGGAGACAGGTAGGAAGGAGGGGTTTATATACGCGAAGGATGGAGCCAGAGCACGTGAGACCCGTAGCTGAACGATGGAAGACTGGACGGAGATATTCAGCGTCAGCGCTGCACCACAAGACAGAGAGACTTACCTTCCAACCATCTCAGTCTTCATCACTGCCACCTCCACAATCCATACCTACTAGCACCAAAACGCCTGATCTCAGAACGGAACAGTTTGTCATTCCATTTCCACTGATAATATACACTTGGCGCGAGACCCTCACTTAGTCCCGCACCCATAAATCCCATGCCTGTGAAGAACGCCACAAAACCCTAGCTTTCGACTTGCTCGACAGTATTTATAAGGGTATAGAATCTGGAAACCCCGGCCCATGTTGTAAGAAAGAAAACACTAATTTCCACTTGCACCCGTCCCTGTATTCACACCACTCTCCCTCTTCCGTCTCCGTCTCTGCCGCGCGTTGTCTTTCAGGAACTGCGGGTCTATGAAACCTTCTGGGAGTTCAAACTCCTTTTCTGCAAACTCGGGTATGGGCTGGCCGAAGGCAGATGCGTTGCGCCCGTGTCTATGTTTGCCGAGGGCCGCAGCGCGGAGGTGTGGTTTCGCGTAGAACGAGCTAAACGGTGCCGCGGGTTCAGGCGGCACGAAGGGGAGGAGGAAGCCATGCGGACGCGGCGGCCGCCGTGGTTTCGGTGGCTCGGGCTCCTTGGGTTGCTGTCGTGGAGGCGGAGGATCGCGGCTGCGGACTACAATGTTATCTGAGTCTTCTGTTTCCTCGCCATCCTCTTCTTCGTCTTCTTCCCTTGCGGCAAGGGCTGCTTCTTTTTCAGCACGCAGGCGCTTCTCCTCTTCTTTCCAGACGCGGAACTTGTCAACGAGGGCTTCTACTTCTCGGACAAAGTAGTCGCGCTTCGCCTCCCAGTCCTTTCTTTCGCCGTCTGTCACGCCCGTTATGCCCATGACCTTTAGCCAGTCCGGGCCCTGCAGTCCGTCGAGGAGCCTCTCTAGTTGCACCTTTTCGTGCATGGCGCGCTCCTTTTCGATATTCCGCAGCTGCTTCTCCTTGCGCTCGGCACGTCGGTGTTGTGTGAAGAAGACCGAGTCGGCAAGCGGGTCTTCGCTGTCATTGTGGGAGATGGCATTGGCTATGGAGGCGTAATTGAGGACTGTGAATGTAGTCGACGACTGGGCCGGCGGTATTGACGGATCCGAAGCATGGCGCGGAGGGGACGAGTGTCGTGCTTTCCGCGACCGCGTCGGGCTCACTGAGCTTCGTGGGGGCTCTGGTGTCTTGGACTTGAGCGGCTCGTCGACAATGTATATGGGCGTGTCGACATTGAGAAATTCTGCACGCGATCAGAAGCTATACCCGGCATGTGACAGGGACAGTGACCTACCATCCTCTTTGGGCACGCCGGCAATGATGTCGTCGTAGTTGGCAAAGTAGACGGCGAGATCGCTCTTCAGCCGGGAACCTCCATCGTGGCTCCGCAGACTCCTCTTATCTGTGGTTGTCGAGGAAGCTGTGGAAGCCGGGGCGGGGACAGCTGGGGGCGCAGCAAGCTTGCCGGAGCTGCCAGGCCGGGGCGTGGACCTCGCGGAGGGCACGTCGTCGGCGTCGATGCCCAGGGGCGCGGCGACGCCATTGGTGATGCGCAGAAGCTCGCCATGTGGTTGTGTAACGGTAATCTTGGTCGGCGGTCTCGTGTCGGTCGCGTCGGGCTCGAGGGCAGTGGCTGGCCGCTTCCTGCTGCTGGTGCGCGCAGGCGGCGGAGGTTTTGCAGGCGTGTGGGTGACGGGCTTGACGGGCTTGACGGGCTTGACGGCGCCGTCGTCATCGTCGTCGGCGCGCGCAAGCAGGGGGCCGCTTTTCGAGGCTCGTCTTGTCGCGATGGGCGCGTGGTTGAGGTTGCGCTGGGCTTGTTGGTGGGCGTCATCGCGCGACACGGGCAGGAAGTTGAGCCTGGTCTGCCGTTCATTCGAGCTCCGCAGCAGCGAAGGCCGAACGGCGTTGGCCATGGTAGTGAGCAGACTCGAGATCATTCGCGATTCGCTGGGTCATCTTCTAGCTATTCATTGTGGAGCTGCCATTGATGTCGCGCTGAGATGTGCCAAAACGCGAGCCGTTAGGGGGTCGTCGAGTGGCAGAGCCCGCGCAGTTTGCCAAACGAGCTGCTGCACCCACGACGCTCCCGTACGCCTCACCAAGACACTTGCAAACAGGATGAGGTTCGATTAAGCTCTATAGCAGGCCCTCCCCTCTCCATATCGCCATGTACATCAGAAGATTATTCAACGAATTGCAGTACAGCGCATGTGAGATACTTGGAAGCGTAGCGCCACTGACGTTGGTAGCCAATCAGTGCGAATGGGCGACATCAACTATCGACTTGAACACCATAACGCTTTCGCTAGAACTGACTACAGGACGTCCTTCTATTGGAAGGGCAATTGAGAGATTGAGAGATCGTGACATGTCAGTGATGATTTACTTGCTATAGCTGGGCACACCATAGCACCACAACAATCAATAGCATACCTAGGTATTCAACTCCTACATACCACACTGAAACATCAACGCGAATGTCAACACAGTGTCGAAGCCAAACACGAGACATCACGAGAAGAGAAAGTCCTTCAGGACGGGCGACCCAGCAAACTCCGGGTTCAGCAAAACGCAACTATTAATAGGTCAGCCGATGTACGCTAGCTTTGTTATCGATAAACACACTTGAGAAAGTACGAGAGTCCTTGTTTCCGCTTTTCCAGAAAACGGGGCCTAAAGCGAGCTATGCCGGACGCGTTAGTACTATATTGTTTGGTGGAGTGATGCTGCAGGCGGCCATGTGACTTACATATTACGGATTTGGGTGGGAAGTGCGGCATGGAACCCGCGGCATGAGGAAACGTCTGGAGCAGCTTGGTGTGCAGATCTTCAAACTCGGAGTATCTGGTACGATCAGCAGATGAAATGGAAAGTGACAGAAGATAGCCAACCTCTTGCGTATCTTCATGGGACCACCCTGTCACAGTCAGCATATGCATGATGGTTCATCACCTGGAGATGGCAGTCCACCACGGGCCCTCTGCATGAAACCATTTTTTTTGAAAAACAATCTCGCGCAGATGATTGGCTCCGAGGACATCGCCGGGCAGACTAGCGCATCTTCCATGCGGCTGGGAACTTACATCCAGTGTCTCGACCGTACAATTAAAGACAACGTAAGCCCCAAAGCCCGGTGATGGCCCGCCGATGACAACGTAATCATCTATCGTGACACCCTTGGCCCAGAGGACTTTGCAGTGGTCCGAGTCCTCATCGGTATGGTCCTCGAGGCCGATGGGGGTGGGGCGGCCGTTGTCAGCAGAGTAGTTACTCAGATACGAGGCATTGCGCTGGTGGGATTGCCAGTAGGGTGGGACCACGCCCACGCTGTTGCGGTCTGGCGTAGCAGTGGCGGAGGTTGGCCCATCTCGGGCTGGCGACGAAGACGGGTCTCCAGTTTCAAAGCTCGCCGGCTCCATCCATTTACAGGAGATGGCTGGGCAGGTGGCGCGTCAAACGGGAGGGCGGTTGGTATCTGGAATGCCGCGTGGAGGTGTGAGGGGTAGATATGCTCGCCGGTGCATGCAGCCAGATGCAGTCGCGTCTAGTGTCTTGTTGACGATGTCTGGAGAATTGGCGGCGCTGGCCTCGCTCATCTCAACCGAATGATGCGCAGAGCGGACTAGGATGCGAGACCCTGAGAGCCGACTAGTGGCTGCAGCCAGTGGCCAATACGACCAAACGTCCATCCCATCCCTGTCCGGCCGAGGGATTAATGGCAAACTTCCATCACGCAGTCTGCGATCTTCCACGGAATGCCGCCCTTTCCACGCCGACTCCACCGCAATAACATGGCTCGAGTCACGCCAACCCGTCCCCGACAGGCATCGTCCCGGGCGAGAAGGTAGGCTGAAGGCAGGCGGGGGTGCACGTACCGGACCGTGAACTTTCCTATCTCGAACGACCACTAGCTCATTGCTTCCCGTCGACACATCCCTCCCTTTATATATCGGACGCCGCCTTTCCCTCCAGCCTCTTCATCGCTTTCGCTGTTGAGGTTTACTTTTATCTTTGATCGTCCACCGTCTGTCGCTGACCGTATATCATCTAATACTTTCGCTTCAAACCTTCCGTCAACAAACACCATCAACATGCGTTCCGTCTTCGCCCTCAGCATCGCCGCCTTCACTGGCCTGGTCGCTGCTCAAGACACTCCCCAGCAGAACTACCCATACACCATCGACCCCGACACGGTCGAGCAGTCTACTAGGGGTATGTAGAACGTGTAATCTGACCTACGACGCGTCGTCTGACATCCTCCAGATTACTGGTGTGACCAGAACAGGGCCCAATGCCCGCTCATTTGCCTTCAACAGCCCGGCATCAACTCCATGACTACCGAGCAGAACGACTGCGACTCTGACGCTCTGACCTACACTTGCGTCTGTGAGAACGGTGTTGCGCCCAACATCACAGAGTACTCCCAGACACTGCCATACTTCATCTGCCAACAATGGGGAAACACTTGCGTCGAGAACTGCAACGGTGACAACTCCTGCCAGAGCGCTTGCCGGTACGTTTTCTCAATTCGTTTACTACAAACACAACTAACATGATCAACAGTGAGGACCACCCTTGCGGAGCTCAAGACCCGTACCGCGGCAACACCTCTCTCCCCACCACCATGGCCTCCACCGCCGCCGCCACTGGCACCGACGGTTCCGCCTCAAACACCATCCCCGTCACTGGCTTCGGTGGTGCCTCTGAGACCGGCTCCAGCGACAGCAACAACAACGGTGGCTCCAACGACCAAGGCGGCGCTGGCTCCATCTTCATGCCCAACGCCGGCCTCGGTCTCGCCGCCGTCTTCGGCAGCGTCTTCCTCGGCTTCGCCGTCCTCTTGTAAAATCCAGGACTACAATCTCGCCGCGCAATCTAAGCTTCGTCCATCTTCTGTCCTTTCTTCATGCATAGCGTCTTTCTGCATAAAAAGCTTCACCAGTCCTTTCGGTTAGCTCGATACCCAGCTTGGGGCTTTTCGCTCATTTTACATGACAGCCTGGCAAGGCCCGTCTTTTGGTTACACTGCATGGGGTTTATGGCGTATATTTCTAATGGATGATCGTGATGGGATGTTGGTTCACTTGCCCCAGGGGTGTGAAGGTAGCATTAGTATGCCGTTGTAATACATTGAACGCCGAGGTGTTGTGGATGAGGAACTACTATATCTTTTTACATATGCTATGTGACTATGAATTGTCTGATGCATACAATTTACATGTGCACCACAGCAACCAAAAACAAAACGCAATCTATAGATACACTTTTGGAGGCGATTCATCCCACCAACACCCCCCCTGTAGACTCTTCCTCGGACTTCGTTGGCGCGGAGGACAGGTTATAACGCTCGCTCTTCCCTGTTCAATGTACACAGCGCGAAGATCCTGACTCCCCTCCAAACTCCCCGTTCGTCGCTTGACTGGCGATGGTACCGCTTCCAGTGGTGGAGAATCAGAGACCAAAGGACCAGGAGGAGCAGGATGCCTGATACTGAAATCCGGTGTATCATCAGCGTCTCCGTGCGCCATGGCTGAACTACATTTACTGGCCAGCGAAGAACACGCACTGAAGCGCAAGATCGGTTCTGTAGGTTTGTTGGCAAGAGAAGAACAGGCGCTGAATCGCGAAACGGGTTGTGCAGGCGTAGGCGTAGGCAGTTGCTCGACGGAAACGTGAAACATGCGTGATGAACTACTCGAACCGGAACGCTGGAGCAAGGCTCGTTGAGGCGGGCCTAGATGTAGCGTTTGCATGGTATCCAGAGAGGGAACGAGGGTAGGATCGAGAGAAGGTGAAGAGGGTGCTGTATCTGGACGGTCGCTATGACGAAGGAGCTCGGTTGTTGATGAGGTGAGGGATGGGGGTAAAGTGGGCGAGTCGGCCATGGGTCTTGCTGAGCCTTCTGGGAGTATGGATGAGCGGCGGCTGTTGTGGTATGAAGATGGAATGGAGATGGGTTGTGAGTGCCTGTTTGCACCTACTTCGATTGTGGCCGTGCCGGATGTGTTGACGATGTCGCGTGCGCGTTGGAGGAAAGTGCTGGTCGATTCTGGCATTGGGTTGGTCGAGTCGAAACTAGAGGCCGACGAGAAGGAAGCTGTGGAGCTGGTCGATAACCGCCGCTGAACTCGCGGATGTGCAGGTGTCGGTGGTACAAGACGTACGCTTACCTTTCTCGTGGCAGGCTCTGGTTTTGAAGTTATGGCACGCTTCGGCCTTATGGGTATGGTTTGCTCCATCGGTGATACTGCAGCTGACGACGGCGTTGAAGGGCCAGTAGGCTGGTCAGATGATCCAAGAGGCAAAGTCCCATGTTCCGTTAGAGGGAGTCTGACTGGATCTGACGAGGTCTCTCGATTGGTATGGAGGAGTTGGTCCTGGGAGGTTGATCCAGCTTCTTCATCGTATTCCATCCGCCCCTTCCCTTTCTCTGCTTTGCTGAATCTTCGAGGTTTCAACAAATCGCTTAAGCTGAACTGAGAGTCTTTTCGCTTTCGTCCTCCATATCTCGTACTTTGTGTGCTATACGATTGGAGGCTATGAAGCTGCTCCAGTTCGCCATCTCCACAGTAGTGTAGGTCGGAGTTCGACTGCGTCTGCATGATGCTTCTTCGTCTCTTCTGGAACGTTGCCTGAAGAGTGTACCAGTTAGCAGTGGTGTGGAAGCAGCTAGGACTACTTCGCCGTTGACATGAATGTGTTCGCTTACATTTGGCAGGGAAGCCACGCTCATCCCAACAAAATCTCCAGGATAACGCTGGTTATGCGAGTTGTCTGGCGGTCCACTCGGGCGTTCACTGACAGTAGCGTTGAGCGATGTGTGTTCGTCCTCGACTGATCCCCTTCGACTACCAAAGAGGCGCCTAAGCTTTGCGTTGACCTTCTCTATGATCTCGGTGACTTGTGATGGTCTTCGTAGATGAGTTTCGTTTTCGGGTGTAGGGGGCGTGGTAGGAAGGGTAGAGTAGGCACTGTGGAAGTTGGAACTTGGTCCAGTCATGGCTATGTTGTATGCTGGTGGTGGTAGGCAAGGACAGTCGATTGCTGTCCCATGACCACTTCCTTGTATTCTTCCTTGTTCCTTAATGTAGCCACGCGTTTGGAGGAATGATTCCGATACTTGTCGCTTCAATGAAAACTTTGGAGGCTATGGTAGTTGGAAGGTTTCTGGATCCACTTCTGTTTCGCTGATGTTGAAAATCACGCAGGGCTCGTCGGGAGGTGTGTTTCCATGTGCTTGAGATGTCATAGCATTGTAAAGTTAGAAGCTGATGGCAGAGATGACGATGAGAGCGAAGCAGACGAGAATCTTGTTGACCGATACCAGTGCTCGATAGTCGGATAACTCTTATTACTTTAATAGCCTAGCGATAAGTACGGTACGATCAGCAAGAACATGTTGGTGCCGCCAATGACCAAAGTCCTTCACTTGTACCAATGAATTCCACCAATGAAGTTCGATTGAAAGATACCAGATTGTTGATGCAATCGTACGGATCTGACTAAACAACAAATTGTGTGGTTAATGGCAGTGTGGAAGTCCAGCGAAGTAATCTGGAGCAGATAAGAGGATCCTGCACGCTGCACATGCACGCAAGAGAAGCGTGCACCTCGAGCGTTCCTGGGAAGACTGGCCTATAAGAGTCACACGTCTTACATCAGTGCCATGGTAGAGACCGCTACCGTGCTGACTAGGTGGAAAATCACCGTGCCTATCATCTCCAACGGGCGATACTCTGCAGGATACAGGTATACTTGTCATGATTACCACGACAGAAGTCGTACAGGATGATCAAACAGCAGGAACCGGGCGGGTTGCGATGACCTCAAGTGTGAAGAAACTGAGAAACCGCAGAGAATGGTGTGATATCCTGAGTAGCTCACTGACAGTAACCACTGCCTGGCACTGAGCAACGGCCAGATGATCAATTGAGGGGTGTTAACATCATCTGTAGGGACGATGCGCAACACCTTGGATAGCCGATAGCATCGATTGGACTTGGATGTCTCCTTTCGTCATCGTCGTCGTGGTTTTAAGCGTCCTTGGAAGAGGTCCGGGAACTTCAATTGGAAGCGAAGATGTGGTTGTGGTTTGGCTGTGGAGAAGGTGGAAGAAGCCGGCGCTAACACTGCGGCAGGTCGACGCGAGTTGCTTTGCTGACATAATCTTAGCGCGTCTGAATGCAAACATATCAAACACAGCATGATGACACCACCACTCCGACTTTCACGGTTCGCGAATCGAATTCGTCCCTCCATGTCACTATAGTCCTCAAAGGCTCGTGATGCCGCCTCGAATATTACCCAGAGGGCCCAGGGCTCTATCGTCACGATCGGCGGTCTGGGTCCATCTGCGGCCTCAGCGGAGGTTTGCTTCGAGCTCCGCAAATGCGCCAGAGGTCTACGATGTTGTCTGCGTAGGCGGTGGTCCCGCAGGATTGAGTCTTCTGACAGGGCTGAAAGCATCGCCAATCACAAGTGGGCTCAAAGTTGCGCTCATCGAGGGCCAAGATCTACACAAAAATCGACTATCACAAGATGCGACCTTGGAGAGCTTTTCGAATAGATGCAGCTCCCTCACTCCAGCCTCTGTGAAGAACTTGCAGGGTATGAATAAGCGTGTGAAATGTTAATAGTTCCAATCTGACATGTGCGGCGTAGAAATTGGAGCATGGGCGCATGTCAACACACCCCGAGTGCAACCATACCAAGAGATGCAAGTATGGGATGGCGTCACCGATGCGCGGATATCCTTCGATTGGCACACAGCGAAACCTCTCCTTACCCCTCGTAACCCGGCGCAACCTACAACAATCGCCTACATGATCGAGAACGTCAATACGGTCACAGCTCTCCTAAACCGGCTCGAACAATTGGGTGGTGTCGATTTCTACACATCTACAAAGGTCAACTCGATAGACCTGGGTACAGATACAGAGAAAATGGACTTCTCGTCGTGGCCAATTCTCACGCTGTCCAGTGGAAAGACACTGGCTGCTAGGCTGTTGGTCGGAGCTGATGGTGCGAACAGTCCAGTGCGGACTTTTGCAGACATTGAGTCACGAGGCTTCGACTATAGCAGACACGGCGTGGTGGCTAGTCTGAAGCTTGAGGGGCAAGGCTGGGGCGGTTCAGATCACAAGATCGCATACCAGCGGTTCCTGCCAACCGGCCCAATTGCTATGCTTCCACTTCCAGGCAACATGTCGACACTCGTATGGAGCACTACGCCGGAACGTGCTGCGAAGCTCAAGGCGTTGTCACAGACGGATTTCGTCGCAATGGTCGATGCAGGATTCCGACTTTCACCAACAGACTTGGAATACCTACATACCCTCTCATCCGGACAGGCAGAGGAGGTTGCATGGCGAGAGAAGCATACGCCCGTCAACGAACATGCGATACCGATGCGAGTAGCAAATGTGCAAGATGGCACAGTCGCGTCCTTCCCACTCCGAATGCGGCACGCCGATACCTACACTGGTGAACGAGTCGCACTGGTGGGTGACGCCGCGCATACCATACATCCACTAGCAGGTCAAGGTCTCAACCAAGGCCAAGGCGATGCTGCTGCGCTTGTACGAACAATATCACATGCGGTGCAGACCGGACAAGACATCGGATCGACATTGGCGTTGGAGAGCTATACCAGTGAACGATATGCGGAGAATAATGCAATGCTGGGCGTGTGCGATAAATTGCATCGTCTGTATAGCGTCGAGTCGGGTCCACTCGTAGGGCTACGAAGCCTCGGATTGAGAGCAGTCGATGCAATGGGCCCGTTGAAGGGTTTCTTCATGAGCCGGGCTGCCGGCGGATCGTAGGATTCTGTACCTGTATCTGTAGACGTATAAGTGTATGTATATAGCGTGCCAACGCAGCACCAACACAACATTCTCACACGACAATCATTCCCGAAATGTTGTTCCGCGCCTCTCTACTGCTTACCTATCGTCCCGAAGTTCCTTGCAAAGAGCCCCACAAATAATCTAGCCTACGGCACCTCGAGGAAACGTTAAAGAACAGACTTGTCCTACCTCAAGCGGACATCCGATTTGCAGCGAGCTTTCAACATTGACCATGGCGGACCATCAAAACGAAATTGAGACCTTCGGCAGCAACGACGACTTCTGGATCTTTGGATATGGGTATACGCCACCCATGAGTTTCGACACGTTTAGCCGAAAAGCTAACGCCTCGGTCGTAGGAGCTTGATATGGAAACCACCGCCACACTACGGTACGGCCCGAACATGGCATAGCGAAAAGCAAACATGCTGGCTTGACTTCCATCTAAAAGAGAGGATTTCTTTTATCTGACAGTAGGACCCAGATCAGCGAATTCCAGGATACATTGAAGGATATGTGAGGAGATTTTGGCAGGTATGTGCTTTCCTTGGCTGGTGCGAGAGATAGGACGATCAAACGTACGACAAAACGTTCTTTGCTAACGCTGGTAGGCGAGGTATGGAGACTCTCCCACTGGATCGTGGAGAAGCGGGGTCCGAGTGTGTGCTAATGCGGAGGTAATACAGTGAAGATCACCGCGGAACGCCCGAAGCCCCGGGACGTGTTGTCACGTTGATTGATAAAGCGCATTGGGAGACTTTAACGGATACTGTAAGCAATCGTTCACTATATTCAATCTCCTCAGCTTGTGGCTATATGTCCAGATGTGCCTCATCATGAAGGTTCAACACTAAGAGGAACAGCATGCGTCCACCGAACGCGTCTGGGGCGCCGCATACCACATTCCGGCCTCCAAAGTCCAAGAAGTACGCCAGTATCTGGACATCCGCGAGATAAACGGGTATTCGATCCAGTTCACACCATTCCATCCTGCAATCAGTACCTCAGAGGTCACGTCTCCGCCACACGACTCGGAGCCGACTGAAGCCGAAGCAGGCATGCGAGCTGGCATCAAGGCCACCAACACCATCGCCGTGAGAGAGGAGGCGGGAAGTGTTAGATGTTTGGTGTATATTGGGTTGCCGGAGAATCCGCAGTTTTTGGGTGCGCAGGATCCGGGTGCGTTGGCGAGGAAGATTTTGGAGAGTATGTTTCATCTCATTGCTCTGTTTGCTGGACGTGTCTCCCTTGCCATGATTTGTTCATACTGACCTGATTACAGGCAAAGGTCCGAGTGGCGAGAACAAAGAGTACCTTTACAACCTTGAGACCGCACTGCTTGGTTTGAGCTACAATAGCGGAGATGCTCACGTGAGCGACCTAGTAAGACGGTGCAAAGCATTAGAGAAGGAAGCTGGGATCGGGAGCGATCACGAAGACGGTGGCGCTGAAGGGCTGTACAGAGTAGGAAGTACAGAAGAACAAGAGGAGGTCGAAAAATAAACCTGGAATGCAACGGACAAGTCCGTAATGTCACATCGCATGTGGCGATACGCATATGAACAACAAGATCAAGCCAACCGAGGCTTCTGCGAAAGTCACTGGTGATTATGATTACGAAGCAGGCTAGCCTGCATGTGACCAGCCATAACGCCAGATATATGCATGATGCGCTTAGTATATACAAGAAGAGAACGTTGGGAACTATGCCCATGCGCCGACTAGTGCCATCAACAATGCCCCTGCTACGACACTGGCACAGGCCTGTAGTCGCCGCTTCCCCTGTAACGTCTCATAGCTCTCGTCACTTAAAAAATCTTCAGCAAGTAGCTCCACCAAGCCAGCAAATAGCAACAAGCCGCTGGATATGGCGTTCATGAAGCCCACAGTTAGTAAGCCAGCTTCACTTGCTGGGTCGTACAAGGTGTGTATAGCTAGACCTATTGCTTGCCCAATGGGTGTGGTGGTTCCGTAAGCTAGGGCCATTAGCCACGGCTTCGGTGATCCAGCTGGAAAGCGAATGGCGCTGATTCTGGAGCCGAGTGCGAAGCCTTCGAAGGTTTGGTGGAAGGAGATGGCTATGAGGAAGACGATAAATGCGGTGCCAGTGGCGACCGAGAGCGCCATGCCTATGAAGATGGAGTGGAAGAGGATTCCGGCTTCGAGCAGTAGGCATTGCAAGAGAAGTTTTTTATTCTGGGCTTCGGTTTTCTCCATATCTTCAGAGGATTCGCCGCCAGGTTGGTGGGTAGGATTGTGAGCATGGGGCCCAGGCAACAGGCGAGACTCGTCTTCTGAGTTGTCCTCATCTTGACGGGCGAGCTCTTCTCTGCTTATCTCCAGATCTGAGTCATTGTCGTCGTCAATGGATTTCCGGCCTATAGAATCATTGGGCGTCATCGGCGATGCCAGGGAAAACGACGGCGATCGGCCTGCCATCAGATTGGCTGAAGATTCGACATCGTGCAGCATGATGCCCGGTATGTGGCCATTCGCTCCTGGTGTGCCGTTGCTGAACCTCCCATAGCTATGGCTTCTCTTGTGGCCCGGGCGCGCAGTCGCAGCATGGTCGTCAAGGCCTAGGTTTTCGTAGCCAGTCGAGTGCGAATGGCCTGCTCCCCTTGATGCGAAGAACATCTCAACGCCTACTACTACAAAGACTGATGTCATGGCTATCAAGCCCGGCATGGCCGAGTAGCCCTTGTTCCAGAACGGGGGTAGACATGGGTCGGTGAGGGACTCGAAGGCGGTAGGGAGGAGATGGACGAAAGCGGTCGCTATCAGGACACCTGTGCCGAAGTGCCTAGATATGAAGAGGAATTGGTGGGGAACGGGTATCGAAGGAAAGCGCTTGACGACCACAGGGAAGGAGCAAGCTGTGAGACAGTCAGCAGTGCATTGGAGGGTATGTGAAGAAACGTACGAACCCGCAGTGCTAAGTGTGAGTATTAAGAACAAGGCGAAGACATGTATGGGTGTATTGTAGTGGCCCTTCGCCCCTTTGCTTCCGCATTCTGGTCGCTCATCGTTGTCCTGTTGTCTACGGAGCAATTCCGCATGAAGGATATGCGCAGGTATTTCCGAAAGGCCTAAGTTACAATGACGTGGTCAGTATACGAGCGCCACGGTCAGCAGAATAAGCACGCATGTCATACCTGCTAGAATGCCGTCTGCCTGCATGGCGGTGGTTGACAGAGCTTCCGAGCATCAAGGTACGCGCGGTTCCGTCGCGCTTGCCCAGTAGGTGCCGGGGTCCGGAGCCTCTATTGTTCCTCGGCCTTTCACCTATTCACGTCCTCGTCGGGTCCGCATTCTGGTAGATTCATTTCCTTTCTGACTGCAAACCTATTTGTACGTGTGTCCGGGGGTCCAACATGCACTCTGAACAAAGAAGTATTTCCGAACGCGCCGAAAGCCAAGACTGCGTCATACCTGGTATCTCTCAAACCTCAGATAACCATCTACCAACAATCGAAGATCAAGTGTCCATACAAGGCCTGGGCCCACGCTTGAGAGTCTGCCTTGTATCATAGGAGACTACCGTGCCCCGGCTCCTGTTAGCATCGGTTGTGGCGTCTTTCATGTCCATCTCCAGTTTTTTGGACAGCACGTCCTGTAAACATCACGCAACGTTAGCCACCGGCCATGGCCGGTGCTATTTTTGATCCTTCGGTAACAGCAATCCGCGAGCTCCATCGTCTACATATATAGACAGAGACCCTGCGTTGTTCACCGTGTCGTGGAACTATCTGGAGTACGGGTTTGGGACGGCACAGCTGCATCATCATTCGAGAGATTGGCATCGGCGCAGGCACCCCGTCACACCCGACTTCGCTTCTGCAGCCTAACACGAATCGGGTCCTTGATAGTTTCACGTCTCGCGCCCCTCCATCGCCTCCAGTAACACCAAGGACGATACCGCCGCAGCCCAACATCGTTACGGCACATGTCGGTACCAAAATGTTGACCCACGAGCATGGACTGGGAAAGCCTGGACTAGTCACCACGCGCAACGTCGTCCCGGCTACACCCTGCTAAGCCCCACCATCTACATTCTCTCTGAACAGGACAATACGGCATATTGCTAGTTCTGTAACGGGAAGAACCGCTGGAGGGCCTGAAGGAGCCACCAAAGGGAGACCGGGTGGCTCTAACCGACAATGTCTGATCAGCGAGACTTTTTGTTCGTCGACGCAGCTCAAGCGAAGACGTCCCGCCAAGGTCGCCGCAATGCTCGTTCTTTTGTCATGCAGAACGCGCGCAGGAAAAACCCATGGTCAACAAGCAAACATGCTGCGAAGCAAAGGAAAACTGGAAGCCCAGAAAGCGCAAGTCCTAACAGTACATGTGCGTCTACGTCAAACAAGGCGACGCCAAGCCCTCCAATTGTTGCGAACAGGTCTGATTACTTTTCTTCCCCAGAGTCTGAAGATTATGCGATAGCCCAGAGGGACGTTTGCCCAGAGTGTCAGATTTTCCTGTGCCGCCCGGGTGAGGGATTCTGCCAAAGATGTTTGCTGGTCAAGCCTGCGGCGCCTGCAGAAGACCCAAACAATCAACTTTTCGATCCTTTTCGGACTTCATCCGTCGAAGTTACCCGCAGCGTATCGGAACTGCTGAAGCATTGTAAGTGGCTGCCCCTGCATCACTCTTCCATCAAGACTTTCCAGTTGGCTGGGTTTGTGGCACGGCAACTCTGTACAACGGCGTGGAGAGTGCAAGGTCTAGATTTCATCCGATTGTATGGCGCCAAACATACCGACGCCTGGTGGTATTTGTTTTCGTACGCTGACTTGAACTGTATAGTTTCCACGGAGATGGCGCCTGGTATCATCGCAGTCGACGTCCGGCATCGTTCCACTCTGATGAAGTCGGACTGGTTCGGCACGGCGATAAGTAATCCAGGCTTCATGCACAGTCTGCTCGCTACAATCGCGCTGCACGCCTACGTTTTCGGAAAAGATACCATGGATGCCGTCTTGCACCATCGAGCACAAGCTATTGCTGCTGTCAATGCAGCGATACTGACACCGGATGGAATTTCTGATGCGAATATTGGTGCTGTCTTCAACTTACTCACGATAGAAGAGGGTTTGCATCTGCCACAATTCGACTTGCACGAGGACCATGCGGTTCAACTCGATATCCACAGAAGAGGGCTGCAAAGAATGGTGCAGCTGCGTGGAGGACTAGGAGCAATCAATACGAACCGCATTCTTCAAGCCTTTATGCTTTGGTGTGTAGCTTCTACTCCCGCGTTCTGCCCGGAACCGGTTTGGCATGTGCTTACTGAGCATCAGGCATTCGACGGCTCACGCTATTTACGATTTCCAAGCGCCAAGCCCCTCTACTTTGGATTTCATCAGCACAGCAGGCTTTCCGCGCCATCCACCAGGCTATGAATCGGGCATTTCCCAACATCTGACTGATTACTGTCGGAGTGCAGGTCTCAAAGAGTCGCTTAATGCCCTGGTGGAACTGGTACTTTTCCTGATTGCCGATCTGAATGTCTGGTTCAGTGATCCCGAAAACCCTCTAGACCCTCTCGACATTCAGAACTTCGCATGTGTCTTAGAGTGCTCTCTGCTAACATGGGTACGCAAGAACGAACATCTTGTCACCCCTCTCGAAGACGCGCTATGCGTTGCGCTACTCATCTTTACCGTGCGGACGACGGAAGCGTTCAAGCGACAGTCTCACGTTCACCTGCTCCACTTTGCAGCAAGTAAGCGGCTGGAGAAAGCGCTGAATTGCACCATTCGTACCGAGTGGCAACATTGCCCCGACCTTCTACTCTGGATACTCTCTATCGGTGCGATATCAGCGGAACCCTCGCCAGAGAGCACATGGTTTGTGTATCAGACCTCGCTCGCTTGTGCGGAATTCGACATTCTATCAGCGGAAGCGCTCCTCGAACGACTTCATCTCTGCGGCTGGGTTAGTTACAAGCTCAACGATGCTGTGTGCCAGCTGTGGGCCAGGGTTGTGAATCTCAGGTTAGACGACCGTACCTTCTTGCCTATGCATTCGCTTGCTTATACTTGAGTTTGTCTTGTACATAGGCTCGCGCCATTCTTCGAAGCGCCCTTGAAAGCTGAAGACGCCAACAGCCCTGTTGGGCCGTTGCAACACCACGTTGCTGAGCCCGATCTCAACGCGTGGGAAAGCATCGACTGGGCGGCTCTCAGTTTGGGTCTCGACGATATGAATCAAGGACATGCAAACAACCTGGGCGATGGAGGCAAAACATCAGATCCTTACGATTCCGGAGTACCAGACGACCAATCTTGTACTTTCGGCAGTGGCTACGGGTTCACATGTATGTACAACTTCGAGCGCTCTCAACTTTTACTAATACCCGCATTGCTGGGTGCTAACCTTCTTGTCGAATACGCAGGGCCTACAACGCAACATCCTTACGCGCACTGGATGAACGGATCGCAAAACCATCACGAACAATGAGCGAGGGCTTTGAATGTGTTGCATCCTCGACTGGGTGTGAATATCTCTTCGTTTGGTCAGTCGATCGACAGCACTCTAGTTCACAACTACCTCGCCGCCGGCACTATCGCCAAGCCTGTCGCAACAGCCTTGTGATCGATATGCCACATAGCTTGGACGCTGTCCAGCTGTAGTCGATTCGACGAGGACCGAAGCGCTCGCTAAGTAAATGATACGATAGCGCGACGATGCGGTGAACTTGGCCTACACGAAAGAGCATTGAGGATCGAGGTTGCTTGTAGGCAGCAAATTTCTGGCATGGTGCTGAGGATTTAAATATACTAGGACTCGGTTTTGGAGACGACTGATAGGAGAACAGATGGAACAGGTGCGCTGAAGTCTAGATCATCATGAAAACATATGTTGACAAAATCCCAAGGCAATGTGCAATTTTAAGTTATCTGCCTTGTGTGGGTATTCATTTTTTCCCTTAAATGGGGTGGATAAGTCCAGTCGCATTCCCCTCAGCCCTACGAGGGCTAACATGTAATTGACAATCGCATACAGCTACCTAAACTCTATCAGTCTGGTGAATGTACCAGCGCTCATACTTTCGCAAGCCGAATAACAAGCTCAATGCCCGCGTCATCAAACACCTCGCTAACAACTCTCGGTGGCAAATACTTATCAAACGCCCCAAAAGCCTGCCTCGTACCCCCAACACCCGGAAGTTCCGTCAACCTCAGACACTTGAGCTCAGTCAGAAACCCTTGCCCCCGCAGCTTCATCTCCGCAAACTGCGTTATCCAGCTCAACCCCTTGAACGGCAAGGCCTGTGGCAAACGACGAAACTGCGTGCGGCCATCGCCCGTGGCGAAGATAGCCTCGGGCCCCATGAATTGGACTTCGAGTTCGCGCACCGAGGGGGGAACGAGGGTGTATGCGGCTGCGGCGCAGCGGTCTTGTTTTTGCCAAATCCATGTTTTTTTGGCGGAGTTGGGGAGGTCGATGGCGGTGTTGTACCAGAGGGATGAGGTTACTTTTAGGACCTGGAGGTTTTTCAGGAAGGAGAAGTCGGCGGGAAATATGGGGTAGGGATGTTCTCTGAATTGGGCGTTTGGTGGTTCGAGAAGGGATAGTTCTTTCAGGGTGGAAGGGAGTTCTGGGTTGGCTTTTAGGACGTCGATGATGGTGGGAGGAGTAGGGGGCGTGGGTCGCCAGGATGGAGGTATGATGTCGTTTTGGTAGGCGTACAGGCAGTCAATGGTTAGGAGCAGCGATTCGAGGTTCTTAGCTTGGCCCAGCAGTTTTCCCAGAGCGAGAGGGCTGATCTGGAAGGTTCCAGAATTGAAGTGTGAGAGGTTGGGGAGGGAACCGGGTTCGAGCCAGTTGTGAATGATGCCGTGTGGGCTGATATCAGAACTAGGGCTTTCATGCCAGGGCGCGATAGTCTCGATCAAAAAGGTCCTCAAAGTAGGGATCTGGATGAGTTCACGGAGAACCCTCAACGTAGGTGTCTTCAAGGTGATGGCCTCGATAGGAACATGCTCGAGTACAGCCCAGAGTTGCTTGATGCAGGTATCCTGCTGAACATACCAGACTGAACCCATGAGCCGGTCTTTGATCGTGACCTCGATGCTTCGCACGTTCGATAGTTTACGGAATATGGTGATGGCTTGCTCGTGAAAGAAAGACGGTTCACCCCACTCAGAGTCTATTCGCACGTGGCGTACGTGGTCTGCAAGCTGCGGTGCCTTGGTGATAGCCTGGAGAAATAAGGCACATGTGTTCTGCCGGGCCATGACATTACCATAAGCTTCGTGTTCCCTGTAGTTTCGTGGGATCTCATGGTCCGGTAGTGGCAGTAAGACCGGAGGTAGTATAGGACAACCTGTCCGCCAGTTCCACTTCTCGCGATCTTCATACATCCGGCGATCCTCGGGTGTCGGTAGATGACTGACTTCGGCGGAATGCCCGCCTTGAATGAATGGATAGGCCAGGGTCGATTGTACAGGGAGGGCAATCGACTGGAATAAGAGGCGTTGAGCGGATTTGTAAAAGACTCGATGCGTCTTGGTCAGGTTTAGCAGATCCTCTCGATCCACATCTGCAAAGATTTGATCCAAGAGGTCGTTTGAAAGCGTGGTTAACATAGGTTTGGACATGTTTCTGGCGACTGAAAAATTGGGTTCTGAAAGGTAAGATGGGGTATTGGGTAAGTTGGAGGGATTGTGGTTGTGTTGATAATGATTCTCACAGGGAGGAGAAGGGAACTTATGTAGCTACTAGAGTGAGTGTGTGCGCTTCATTCACACGGACCTCAGTAGTTATTCATCGTACGGCCCTCACTGTAAATGAGGTGAAAGTTGAACATTCCGTATAATGTAACGATTCGTAGTTGAAATCGCCCCTTTTTCTGTGGGCGTGATATCAGTAGCTTTAGGCCCGCAATGTGAATATAGGTTGTGTGATGTGTAAGGCTCATATGTTAAGAGATGCCAAAAATGAAAGAAACCGTGTTGTTTGACCACAGCTGACTCAGCATATCGAGAGGAAGAATCCGAAACATGGCTATCTTCAACAGTATACCACACTCCTGTGTTGTCGGACCGATCTCCACGAGGAACTAGGGTGGTAGTGTCATGGGGTTTGTATAGCGGTAGGAATCTCCTGGACTAAAGGCAAACAGAATGCCGAAGTAAATCATTACTACGTGAGTAGACTATCACGTTGCCTGCACATTAACTTGCTGTCTTCCCTGCGTCGCCTTTCTAGTTTCCGTTTTGCCCCGAATCTGAATCCTCAACCTGGTCTTCCTATCCGCAAACGCCTTCTTCAGTTCCTCTGGCGGATCCCAATCCACTGGCTCCTCACACTGAACGACCCTACCCCTATCACTAACCACATGCTTCAGCTCCAGCACCTCCACCTTCTCCAAATGAGGAAATTGCGCAGGATCAGCAGCGGCAATCTCATATATCCAGTTCCAGCATGGCCTCATTTTCATCTTGATCTCGTCGGACGTCATGCCGGAGAAGGCGGCGCGATAACCCTGTCCAACAGCAAAGATAGCCGCACAGCCTGTGAAGTCGACTCGGAGTGAGGCAAGTGATGAAGGGAGTAAGTGAACGATTGATGGGCGTACACCTTCGCGCTTCCACAGGAAGCCCTGGGGACCTGCATAGGCACCGTATGCCGCTTCAGAGAACCAGCAGCTAGCGGGTATGTGCAGTCTTTTTAGGGAAGTGAGGCCAGAAAATGGCATAGGAGGGGGAGATACCCAGTGGCATTCCCACGGGCTCTTTTGGTCCTCCAGTATCGTGAAATCGGTCAGGGTTTTCGTTGCGTAGAGCAAGCGCTCGGCCAAGGCGACGAGGGTGTTGGGTTGACACAAGTATATCTTGATGTCGAAATCTCGGAGCGTGATGTTGGGGTATTGTTGTGCGATGATGGGGGAAGCACGGAGTATGCAGTCATTGATAATGAGACTGAGACCGATTCTTCTTGCGGGTCGAAGCGTGTTCAGCATGTCCATGAGTTTCGAATAGTCTTCCACGGCTCCGCGCGTCTTTTCTTCGAGATTCTCGATTTGCTCTTGACGGGGATTTTCAGGAAATGGGCGAGCGTTGATCTTGAGCGTGACGTGTTGGACTGCTGGGAGGGAATCCAGGACTTGTTGCGTTGCGTCTTCTAGGCGGAACTCTGCCCGGCTGTCGAAGACGAGCTCAAGATAGCGTATGGGTCCGATGGTGTTACCAGATGGTGTCTGGGTCCGACGAAGCTCTTCCGCAAACTCTGTGCACGCTTCTTGCGCACCATTTCCGCGGACAAGGACTCTTCGAACGCAGTTGCGTACTGTGTTTGCCGATGGAGCGAACTCTGGATGGGTCTCGCAGAGACCTTCGAGCGTTTTGTGATCGTCTACGAAGTACTCGAAAATGGATGTGAGGATTTCGGTGGGTATCGTGGTGATGTTGTGGGTAGCCATGTTGGTCGTCTGTCTGTAAGGGTGGCTGCCTAGAGAAGACGTCGGATTCTAACAAGCTGCACGCCAGACTGGAAGTTGACGTGCAGAATACAATGCCTCAGCTCTAGACTTTTTGAAAGAGAATGCTTCAATGTAGGCGCCTAAATACTCTATGGGTGTGGAGGTTGTTAAAGGCGAGATGTGCTGCTGACTTGCGTCATGGACCGCGATTTCCCTTTTCGTTCACCGCGCTGAATCTAGCGCCTGCTTGTGGAACACATAGTAGAATTAGCATCACTGTTTTGGTTCGAAAAGCGAGGTCTCAGTTGCTTCAGGCATCTTGTGTTCCATGTATCTATTCCTCGCTCGCTAACAGATCGCCTAGTATATGCTACATAATGTGCCAAAAGGCCTCCCTGCTCGAGACCCCCGCGCCTGCAAAGCTGTAGATTATACTATCTACAATGTTAGCAGTCCAGTCCAGAAATATAGCATTGTCGCGACTAGCGACTATTCATATATAGCCCATTCTCCCCGCCTGCCAAATGCTGTATTGAGAGACCCCGCTATGCTCTGATAGGTACTGTGTGCGCGAGATTACACCAAGACGAAAAGTTGCTCAGGATATGGATGAGGAAACGCCTAAATGTGGAAAAAGGGAAAAGTGCCTTGAGGATCGGGTACACAAAAGGTGGGTATGGTAGTCGTTATTGGGCGTGAGAACGATCGAGAAATCTGGGTGACAACAGGACAGCATCTATCGGCTACCTGCTTCAAGTTGTCCTGGGGTTGGCTGCTGCGAGACAGGGGCTTCTCCAGTGGCACCGGCGCCACGATTGCGGCCGAACCAGCTTGAGAAACCAGGGCCTTGAGTTCGGTTGAGCGCCATCCTCGATCGCCATCCTTGGTTCTCGCCAGTCTGCCCTGTCGCTTGGGGTGCATTCCCGGCCACCCGCTCGCGGCGAGTAGGCCGATTCAGTCGTCCGAACCGATCACCGCCTTGTCGCTGCTGGAAGTCTGAGTTGATGACCATGACGCGAGACCGAGAGAATGGGTTGGTGGATGTCCAGACTGCCTGTGGTGGTGACCTAAGACCAGCAACTGAGCGGCGACCAGTAAGAGGATCGACTTCTCCTTCAGGGCGGGGCTTTGGCACGTAGTAGTCGGCTTTGCAGAGAGGGCAGCAGGCGCGGCGACTCGTAAGCCATGGGTCGACACAGCTGGCGTGGAAGGCGTGGCCACAAGACAGTCCACGTACATCGTCGTCATCTTCCAGGGTATCCAGACAGATGGCGCACGTGTCTCCTGGCTCGGCCAACATCTCCGGTGCAGCGGCAGTGCTTATGGGATCCTCTTCGTCGTCTGAGTCGTCCTCGCGCTCGCGCACGTTAGCCTGGGGTGTAGCACTTTGCCCTTGAAGATTGTCCGTCTTCTCCGAGTTCAACTTGTCGTCAACCTGCTTCTCAACGTCTTGCACGTGCTGGCTCTTCTTGCTTTCGACACTTGTTCTCGGAGGAGCGACCGGGTCGGTGGAGGAGGCCGGGGCGTTGAGGTCGTTGCGGGCCATGGAGAGGGCAGTGTCGGTTCGCGGTCCTGGGCCTTCATCCTGCGCACCGATAACACCTTCGACGTCTTTCAAGCTTGCTGCTCTGCTCTGGGGTGCCGTGGCAATGCCGCCGTTAGCTGGCAAGCCCTCGGTCTCGCGACTTGACTTCCATTGCTTATATTTGGTCAGTGGGAACCGCTCGTTGACCTCATCCATGGTCATCAGCTTCTTCTCCCTCCTCCTCCGGTGCGGGCGAGGCATGTTGGTCATGTCGATTGGCTCGCCATCTGCAGCAGCCTGGGCCGCGCGACGGCGGTTATATCGGAAGCAGTACTTAACGCCAACGATAATCCTGAGCCCAGTCAGTACGAGGAGCGGCAGCGGAGCCAACTGCCATTGCCTACCATAAGTTTGTAAAGACGACACCGAAACCCAGGGCAACGAAAAAAAGCAGCGGCGAACTGGTGGGCCCGTTGCTGTTATTGCTGCTGCTGTTGTTGTTGTTGGCGCCGTCTGTTGGGGTGGCCTGCTGCCGCGGATAGAGCACAACGTTGGACATGGTGGGCTGCGACGACTCTACTATTCCATACGTCGGTATAAGCTCGCGCTGTCGTGGAGGACACCGAGTCAGCGATGCGCGAGTGAGGCCGGATGCGGAGAGCCCTGCTAGAGGTGAAACGGATCAGGAGGCGACTGGACACGACGGCGATAGAGTATCTATCGCGCGTGGAGTGGTTGCGATAAGTTGGAGGTGGCGGCGGGAGGGCTAAGGAAAGGGCCGGAGTAGATGATGAATCGGTGATGGTGACGGCAACGACTGCGGGCGTGGCGATCGAGAGTCGGCTCCCTAGAGGCTGTAGTCGTTCGCAGTGACTGCCCGTGCCACAATCGCTAGCGGTGAATTGGGAACGGATCGTTATCGGCCATGCGATGCGAAGAGAGCTGGTGATCAAGCAACAGACTCGCCGGGATGGTCAAGGAAGGGCAGTGAATGCTGGATGCGTGGCCGAGGGACTGAACGGGGGAGGTGCCGGTCTTCAGGCGGATAAAGGCCGCAGAGGCGTCGCTAACTCGCCGGCAGGTGCCAAGGATGACCGGCAACCAGGCCCATCAATGATGACAGTACTGTAAAGTCTACCAGTACGCCAGTGTGGCGTTTGAGGCAGGAGCGAGTGGTAAGAATGAGGTTGTTTGTATGATGAGGGGAGCGTCGTGAATGCGCTGGGTGTTGCTTGCGATTCCACCATGCACATGCCACAGGCGCTGTCCGCGCAATGCACCCCAAAGCAGGGTTCCTGCTTTGCGCTGCATGGATGCCGTCGCATGCAGGTGCTATCACAACTGTAAAATTGCTGACAGCCTGATGCGGTGATGCATAATCAATACGACTGCACTCATTCACTCCTACAGCTGCATCACCGTCTCAGTCTCACGTCGCAGGACCAGAGTGCAGTGTCGCAAGACAGGCCGTCTGCTCACTATTGCGTAGACATGTCGGATCCCTGCTCTTCCGGTGGAGTCTTCCCCGCTAACAAACTGCGCGTATCCACATGAACATCGTCCACCACTGGCAGCAGCCCGACTCCCCTGCTTCTGCACCATTGTCTCTGCTCGGCATATCTTGGAACCATCTGGACGGAACGCCTTTTTCACTTACCGTGCGACTTCCTCGATCATCACTGCCAAAGCCCGTCCAACGTCACTAGCCCGCTCTTCAAGCACTACACTGCCGCAACCATGGCGGAGACTGCCGAGCCCAACCCAATCGTCTTCTTCGACATCACCCTAGGAGGTATGCATCCACCCATGTGACCCAGTAGTGGCTCTACCCCTCACCCCGCGCCATCTACTACGCGTCTTTCTTGGCCTAGCCCACAGTTGGGCAAACGCCCGCGACCCGACCATGGTGACTGACATAAGCGAACAGGGGAGAAGCTAGGGAGGATCAAGATGGAGCTGTTCAAAGATGTAGTTCCAAAGACTGCTGAGAACTTCCGCCAGTTCTGTACGGGCGAGACCAAGAACAGCCGGGGGCAGCCGCAAGGCTACAAAGGCTGCAAGTTCCATCGCGTTGTAAGTAGCATTCCAGTGCACTATCTTTCACATGCTGAATGAACACAGATCAAAGGTTTCATGATCCAAGGCGGCGACTTTGTAAATGGCAACGGAACAGGCTCAAGAACCATATGGGGAACTGAGAAGTTTGCCGATGAAAACTTCACCCTGAAACACGACAAGCCCGGTCTTCTATCCATGGCTGTAAGTCTTCACAGGCTACATGAACAACCTTATCCTAATCGTTGCAGAACTCAGGTCCCAACACCAATGGTTCGCAATTCTTCATCATCACTGCGAAGAATGGCACCCCTCATCTGAACGGCAAGCACGTTGTCTTCGGCAATGTCATCGAAGGCATGGACGTTGTCACCAAGATCGAGAATACGCGAACAGTAGCCAACCCGGAAGGAAAGCCAGTGCAAGACATTGCCATTTCACAATGTGGTGAGATGTGAGCTCGTAGATCATATAACAAAAAGATGCCAATCCTCGAGGTAAGATCTCAGGTAGGATCTAGCGAACTATAATAAGCCTGAAACGCATTGTTTAATCAAACGAAAGCTCGAAGAAGAACAATGCGTGGTGGGGTCGGCGCAAGCTATCAGTCTGTATCGACTTCATAAAGCTGTGATCGTCCAATCCTGATACAGGCAAGCGAAGGACGAGAAAACCAAATTAATTTCTACAATGTTAAACGTATCGTGTCATTCATTGTTGCAGTGATTTGGTGTTGGATCGGCGAACCATGGTGAACTACTGGCTTACCTAAGTGACCCGCTGAAATTCTCTCGGGCTCAATACTTCGTAGCACAGTCGCGTGCGTTCACCCCCGCTGTCCTCGCTGCCAATTGCACCAGCCCACCGACGGACGACAATCTCTCACACCTCGCGCTCCTGCTCAGATGTAAACCCTTCGCCTACCATATTGCCCACAACATGGTCGCTCTTGCCACAATGAACAGGACTCTCGGCACCGTCGCTCCAAGCGCGGGTGGCAGCCTCAAACGCAAGCAAATCGACAACTCGTCCGACGCCGAGAACACGACGCCAGACACCCTCAAACGCCGCCGAGTCACTTTTGACCCCGAGGTCAACGTACGGATACTGAGCGAGCACCACGAGAAGAGTCTGGAGCTGGTGGGGGAGGAGGTGCGGCGCGCCATCGAAAGGCATGCTACAGGCGACAAGGCGGCCTACGATGGGCTCAAAGCCCTCTTCAAGGAAGCACCAACGTCCACAAGCGCACCGCTATCGCGACTTTTGCAAAAATACCTCATCGCACTCACCGAGCACACGCCAAAACTCGACGGCAACTGCAAGGGCCTGGTGCATGCCGTCATCGATTGCAGTTGGATAGCGCGTAATGAAGACTTCCTGCGCTCCTACCGAATCTTCCTGCGCAGGCTACTCTCAGTGCAGTCCAGCTACATGTCGACTGTGCTGCAAATGCTGGTCGACATGTTCCTGAGTGCGCCTTCCGTCAACGCCAGGCAGCAGGACGACCCACCGATCCAAAGAGTCCGCCTACAAGCACGCATACACGAGACCCTCATGGGCATATTACGATACAGCCCGATGGCGAGTTCCTTTCTCGCGCCCGTCATCTCTAGCACCTTCCCCTTCTCCAACGACACCGCAAAGGTCCACGTCGAGTACATCCGAAACATCTTCAAGGTCACAGAGTACGCGCCGGAGATCAGAGGCGAGATCTTGGCACTGGTGACGGACAAGCTATGCAAGATTGACGCGCAGATGCAGGTAGACATGGAAGAGATTGACGACGACTTGGAGGAGCGACTTGTGGGCGAGGCCATCAACGATGAGGAAGACGACGACGATGTGAGCGATGACGGGTCCGTGTCGAGCGAGGACAGCCTCGACCCGGAAGAGCAGCGACTCAAAGATATCAAAGACATGATGCTCAAGCTCGACACTGTCATGGACGTGCAGTTTTCCTATTACGACTCCGTTTTCGAACGGAACGACTATCAGGAGATGGATCGCACCTACCAAACCCTCATCGCGCAGTTCCAGTCCATCATCATTCCGACCTACCGCTCACGGCATACTCAATTCGTGCTCTTCCATTTCAGCCAGATCTCGACAGAATTCATGGGCCGGTTCGTAGACACCTGCTCGCACCTGGCTATAGATCAGAACCGACCCCCGTTACTACGTTCAGCCGCATGTGCCTACCTCGCCTCCTACATCGCGCGCGGCGCTCACGTTCCTGGCTCCATTGTTCGCGACGTCTTCGACACACTATGCTTTCAGCTTGAGCGCCAGCGGGTATTGCACGAGCCCAAGTGCACCGGCCCAGACCTACGCCGATACGGCACATACTACGCCATCGTACAGGCACTGCTATACGCCTTCTGCTTCCGATGGCGCGATCTCATCGTCACACCCGACGGCATGTTGCCCACCGACGCAGACATCATGTACCACGAAGGCGACTTCCAGTGGCATCGGTCGACCCTCGAAATCATACGCCGCAACATCTTCTGCAAGCTGAACCCACTCAGAATCTGTGCCCCGGGTATTGTGAAGCAGTTCGGTCGCATTGCGAAGCACCTCCGCTTCACATACATCGATACGCTGGTAGAGACAAACAAGCGTGTACGACTGTCCCGCAGTCTGGCCAGTGGATACCTCAACGGTATCGGCGGCCGAGAGACTGCTCTCACAGGCAAGAAGGGCGAGGAGGCCTTCCTCATGGACGCATACTTTCCCTTCGACCCATACGTGCTCCCACGGAGCAAGCGCTGGGTCGAGCACGACTACGTACAATGGCGGCCGGTACCCGGTATGCCCGTCGAAAAAGACGACGATGATGAGGATGAAGAAGACGACGAGGATGAGGATGAAGACGAAGATGATGCTGATGACGACGATGACAGCTCATCAGAGCAAGCATCCGAGGACGAAGATGATGTCGCAAACCCCGACGACCTTGACGATGGTAGTACGGAAGCTAGTCTATGATGATTCTCTTGTGCATTGCATTTATGGCGTATATTGGGAGCGGGAAAGCATCAAGCGCAGCAATCGTCTGCTCGGCGCTGGTCACGGAACAAAAAGCGCATAGCTTGGGAGCGTCTCTTATATTTGATAGCCTGGTTAACACATGGCCTGGGTATCTTTGCTCGTTGATCTTCTTTTCATGTATGATTGAGCGTTTGAGTTTGGGTCAGCTGGTTGATTGCCTGGTAGAGGCACATTTACCTTTATACTCAAGAGAGAATGAAATAGAAAAATTTGATAATGAGAAATACTCCAGATCCCCGCCCTTTTGTTGTGTTGAATGCACGATTCGAAAGACCCCACTTGGCATTTGCTGCTGGATCGAATCACTGGTATGCTTGCATCATTCAGTTGCTGCGACGTGGAGTTATCCGTATGCGTACGGTATTTTACGTGATAGTGTGACGACAACAAGTGTCTTAGGCCGAACCAGCTCAATAACCTCACTAATGCGGGGAGGGCACGCGGCTTGTTGCTAGAGATGATAGATTCGAGTATATATGTTTTTTTAGACAGCGTCGTTCAACTCCCGAAAACCCATGTTTTAGCCCAGTCGTCCATATACTCATACAAGCTCAGTCCATATTCCTGATTTCGTCTGGGTTATACCTTATAGACCCAGAGGATTACTAGCCGAACCACCCCCCTTACCGGATCCTCCTGAGAGGCCAGGCACACCGGGCCTACTGGCCATGGAAGCCATACCTCCGACACCGCTTGTACTCAAACCGAGAGGATTCTTGTTCGTGGTCGATCGACTGCCGGGAGCGCCAGTGATGTCTTTGAGGGAATTGCCGTACTCGCGTACCATGTCGCCCCAGGTGCGGGATGAGTTTGCAATACTATGGCATGTCAGTGAGGGAAGATATTGCAGAATGTGTTGTATTACCTTGCACCAGCGCCTCTTCCTGCTCCAGCAACACCACTGCCTGCCGCTGTCACGACTGCACCAGCAGCATTGCCGATGCCAGTCGTTGCAGCACCAACGGCACTCCCAATGCCTGATGATGCGGCACTGAGACCTTTATTGATCCAGCCCTGTTGTTGTGGCTGTTGAACAGGCTTCTTTGCGGGTGCTGGTACAGCTTTCTTTTGACCAACAGCTGTGACGGGCTTCTTAGGGGCCGTGGTCACAGGCTTCTTCTGCATGGCGGTGTTGACAGGCTTCTTGGGAGGCTGAACAGCTGGTGCCTTGACAGGTGCTTTCTTAGCTGGTGCGGTTACTGGTGTCTTCTTCGCCGTCGACGTGACGGGCGTCTTCTTGGTGCCAATGGGTTGCGCGACCATGGTGAGACGTTGATTCAGTGCTTTTCTTAAGGTTGTTCGGGTGGTATCAAGTGTATTGAGTCTAATCAGGTCTTAGATCGAATATTGAGTATGTATGGAGATATCCAGGGAGCATCTCGACCCAATCTCTCTCGATGCACAGAAAGTTGGCAAGCTGCTATGCCTGCCGCACGTGTGGCGCAGATGATGTCAGGCACGGGAACGTGGGGCGCGCTTGCCCCAGATCGAATTAAGGTTGCCTTAGCGTGACCCGCGCGCGAAACGTCGAGACCCTGGATCCATGTTTCGCATCTTCAACACTTCGGTGTCTGCCAGATGGCACCGCCGTCCCATCTCTCTACACATGCCAATTCTTCGTCCCGCTTTGTTCAACCATCTCCGCCTTCTCCGCTACCTTGAATTGTAATTGTGTCTGGCTGATAGGCCTTCCAAACCTCCGGAGTGTGGAGCTGTGAATGTGAACGAACAGCCACGCTCACCGCACGCGACCTTGCCCGCCATGAGCCGCATTCACCTCTGGTAAACAACGTGAACGTCATAACAAATCTGTAAGTGCGATCTTTCTCCAAAACACCAACATGCCGCAATAACATCACAACACCATGCTCGGCGACGAAGCGGTGTTTAAGTTGAAGCGGTCGGTGAGCGATGGCAACCATCTCATCCCTATGGGAGAGGTGACCCCGCCTCCCTCGATGGACAACACACCGGCGACACGATACAGTCGCTCCTTCTCGATATCCAAGCTGACAGACTCAATCAAAGGGAAGATAGCCAACTCATCCCGCTCTTCACGCTCCTCTCGCACCCCTTCCATCGACAAGCGTGATATCTCGAGTCCGATATTAGACCACAGAAGCCCGCTGTGCCCGCCTACGCCGAAGCCAAGGCTTGCCGTTGCCCTTCCGGAGACGCCTGTCACGCGACGACCTCTATCACGATCCAGTCCCGGCACCATCAAGCCTGATCACCCGAAATCTACCACCAGACACTCATACTCTGCCTCCGACCCCACCAATTACATATCTCCCGGTAGACGCCCACGCCAACCTAATCGCCCACCCCCGCCTTTACCCATCGCAACCAGCTTCGAGAGTACAACCGGAACCCTGGTGGACAGTCCGTTAGAGCGCATAGCAGAGTCGCCCTTTGAGCCGCAAGAAGACGCCCCAACCGAACGGCTTCATATCGAAAAAGTATACAGATACCTCAAAGACATGGAACCTGCACGACTGCAGCCGCCCATGATGGGTGGCACCAAAGGGCGTGCTATGCAACAAGCAAAGGACATGGAGCTCCTAGTTGCAGAGAGAGCTAAGCGGGGTGGTGAGGAACCACCGCCATACGACTTCTACGAGCTTATTGGCAAGGGTGCATATGGTCGCGTCTACAAAGGGTGGGTACTACGAAGCGAACCCAAGAACACTCGCTGACACTGCAAAGAAAGAGTCGAAATACCGGCGCGCTCGTTGCCATTAAAATCATCGAGATCGACAAGGTTGACTACGAGGAGATGACCCACAAGAACCTTCAGGACACCCTCAAGGAGATTGACATCCTGCAGCAGCTCAGAGACAGTAAGGCAAGGCCCTACGTCAACATCATCGAGGAGGCCAGGCCTGTCCATAACGAACTCTGGATTGTCAGCGAATATGCCAGTGGTGGTAGCGTCAACACGTTGATGAAACCTACAGCCATGACCAAGGATCCTGGACCCGGACTGGCAGAGAAGTTCATCATACCCATCGCTCGTGAGCTGGCGCAGGGTCTTAAGTACATTCATGAAGCTGGTGTGCTACATCGAGATCTGAAGTGTGAGTAATGCTGGTTTTGCCGTCTTCAACTTTTGCTGACCAGATCCAGCCAACAACGTTCTTATCCTCGAAGACGGTCGGGTGCAACTTTGCGACTTCGGTGTCTCCAACACCCTGGAGCCGGAGAGATCGAAACGCTCGACTATCGTCGGTACACCTTTTTGGATGGCGCCTGAATTGCAGAAGGAGTGGGTCAAGGATGCAGATCCGCACAGCTTAATGCAGCCCAAGGAGATATCTTACGGAAACGAGGTCGATATCTGGGCCTATGCTTGCACTGTCTATGAGATGGCTTGCGGTTACCCACCTCATCACAAAATTGGGCAGTTCGACTTGCCAACGGCCGGTGTTCCTGTACTCGAAGGTGATCGCTTCTCCCAAGATTTAAAGGATTTTCTATCTTTCGTCTTCCAGCCAGAGCCGCAAGATCGACCAACACCCGACCAGATCTTGGAGCACCCCTATCTTGCGGACACTACCAAGATGTATCCGACTGTGTCGCTCGTCAAGTTGGTTGAGGACTATTATGTCTGGGAGCAGCAGGGCGGTGCACGCCAGTCGCTCTTCAATCCATACGGTGCTCAAGCACCAGATCCGCTTGCCCCAGAAGCGGAAGACGACGACGACGACGACTGGTCTTTTAACGTATCAGAAGAATTTGAGCAAGAACATGCACCACAGTTTGGCGATCCCTTTGCGGGTGGGGCCGGACAGGGCTTCAACGGAATGGGTTTACCACCTATAGCGGACATGGACCGTTTCGAACAGCTCCAGGCTAGGTTCAAGGAGGAGTCTATCGTCCGAGGACAGAAACGTCTTAACAAGCTATTCGATACGAACACGACACCATACCGGTACAGCGCAGTCGATATGCCAGATCCTCCAAATGGCCGTCCACCCTCCGATTTGGTTCTTCGCGACTTCAATCCTGGCGCGCCCAACCGCGAGACCGTCATTGACTTGGACTTTTCGATGCCATCAGCAGATGAAATACCCAGTATTGATCTGGGTGAGGTGCCGACCATCCGCGCAAATCGTATGAAGAGTATCATACGAGCGCTGGAGGAAGAAGAGGAGCGTCGAGACGCTTTCAACGAGGAAGATGAGATGACCAAACGAGCCACGAAAGACTGGACATTCCCCAGCATGAATGACGAGAACCGTAAGACTATGGAATGGTCTTTTCCATCGGAGCAACCAAACCGAAAGACGATGGAGTGGTCGTTCCCTGCTGAGCAACCTAACCGCAAGACGATGGAATGGTCTTTCCCAGCTCAACCACAGAAGCCAAATCGGCGCACAGTAGAATGGACATTCGATGCCGCGATGGCAGAGGCCAATAACGAGCCCAGGAATCGCGCATCAAATCGGATCTCCCGACGACGCGAGACGAAAGAGTGGACGTTCCCCAAGCAGGACGATAATCGCAAGACTCAAGACTTTGCCTTTCCCATGGGTAGCCCGAAGGAGCCACGGCGCGGTCAGCATAACAAAACGGACTCATCGTCACCAATCCTCGCATCTGGTTTCCGGCCAACCCTGCGACACGCCCAAACAGCACCTGTTGATCCTATTGATGACTATCCCGAGATGATCAGCTCTGCGCCTGGGTCTCCTCTTCGTTCGTCCATGATTGACCTCGATATGGCGATGGTGCAGGACTACCGTCCATCCACATCTGGCTCTGATATCGTCACAGCGGGAATCGATCGCATGAATGACAACCCATTCAACCTGGAGGACCAGGTACAGCTATCAGAAAACAACCACCGCGCTTCTTTCCACATGAAGTCGCAGTCAGAGCCGAACCAGGCCGTGCCGGGCTTGTTAACACCTCAACAATACGATGAGCAAGGCCATCCTACAAACCAGGACCCACACCACCCCAGCATGCACGCTCGAGGCGTCAGCTCAGCGAGCCAGGTACAGTCACAGGCGAAGCCGGCACCCGGCTCCGGCCAATATCACCGCGGTAACCAGCGCTCCCAGCAAATTATCTGGGACGGCTGGTCACACAACATGGCCTATGGACTAAGCAGCGACGACCAGTCACCTCCCATGAGCGTGACAACCGATACCTCGCTTGAGGAAGAAGACGTAGACGACCTCTGGGACACATTTGAACGTCTCAATCTCGCCGCACAACGTCGTCCAATGGGCCAAGCTTCCGCTCCTCTCCGTTCCTCGCGCAGAAACGACTCCACATCCACAACCCTCACTTCCACCACCTACACCCTCGATTCCGACACCGATGACTCGTACCACCACGGTAACACTTACTCTTCCTCCTCGGACTTTGATCAGCAAGACGCTCCGCGCTACAGTCGCAAGTCCACCACCGTCAGCGTCGGTCCGAACGGGAAGCCGCTCGTCGATTTCCCCGTTCCCACTGGTCCTGAGGTAGAGGCGCTGTTGGGCGTAGACATGGATGCTCGGATTATGGCTGATATGCTACTGAAGAGTGCCGTGGAGTTGAGGGACGGCACGAGGGCTAGCAGGGACTTGCTGAGGGCGATGCGATTACAAGATGTGGAAGGGGAAGACGAGGATGATGAAGGTGCGGATGAAGAGATGAGAGGGGGTACTGTTAGGCTAAGGGGACCTGGATGATTTACGATTGCATGACGGCATTGATTATAACAAGGCGTTGGGCGACACAAAGCGATCCTTGCTGGAGTTGGGCTGGATATCATACAGCTTTCAGCGACTGAAGAAGTGGCTCACATTGTGTTTTGAGGTCTACATGCAAATTTCAGTGGTTGAATAGGTGGTCGAGAGTGTGGTTAAAGCTCTATAGTTCACCAATAGCACTTCGAGGACAATCGGTGACTGACATTGTATTCTCCAAACACATATTTCAGATAGGCCACCGATGGGATATTGCTTCTGAAGCCAGCTCGCTCAGACATCCGCTGCTGGAAACCAACATCTTCTTCCAGTAAGGAAAGTCGTGGATGAGTGCCTGATTGACTAGAGATCGCGCGAGACTAGCGTCGTGGCCTTAGCGCAGAGCGTTGCTGTCCATAAGTTCACCTCTGTCCTTCCCTATAACTCCCTCTCCTTCTTTACCAACGGGCCAGCTTCTCTACCAACACTTCGGCACATCGCAGCACAATCGCAATAGAACAATCGACTCTTCAGACTGACTTAGTAGATCATGGTGAGCAACACCCTCCCTCACTTCAACTAAAAGCACAGAAATACACTCAAGAGATATGGTCATCCGGATAGCCTTATCGTATCACACCTTCAATGTCTCGACTATGCATTTGGGCGAGCGGAATATGGCGCGTATATCGAGCACGCCATGACGCCGCTGGTGGGCGCTTCATTAAGTGCTTCACCGTCGAGTTCTGTCGTGGGCTTCCTGTCGTACGAATGCCTTTGGGCGCTAGTTATGTGGCCATGGCAACTTTGGCGCCGATTCTGCTTTGAACTGGGGATGCTTACAAGCTGGCTCGTTTGAAACATGGTCTCTTGGAGAAACGAGCATATCCGTATGCATAGACGTCTCCCTGCCACGTCTGGAGAGCGTTTCACAGGCCTCAGTGCCGGAACGTGTTTCGCTGGGAACTTTTGTCGTGATGGTGCGTAGTCTGCTAGCGCAATGGCCTTGTCCGTTACTCGACTTGTGTTGTGTACAAGGTCACTCTTTTTCCATTGAGCTTTCACCTATATGTGGTTACTCGAGGAAGAACTGAAATCGTCTACAGGACAGTGTGACAACAAACTCGAGCAATTTGGCAGACCGAGAATGCAATGCCCACATAGACTTGACGTTGGTGTTGTGCGCTGCTTGGCGTCTTCCCAATCAGGTAACTTGTGAAAGCCGTCCATCACGGTGTGGTATGTTTGCAGAGTTACCACAGGCGGTCTGAAGGTGCTGTTATCGATAACGCTAGCGCCATCTGAACCTTTCGGCGGACGAGATGTGCATAGAACATAGTAAGTCATGGCTGGCCACGATTCTGTAATTCTGTAATTCTTCGAGTTTCGTAATCCTGCAAACATACCCATTAGATGCGGTAAATCTGATACCGCCCCTCGCCCTTGCTTCCTACAGAAAGCGCTTGCTCATGCTTGCGCTCCATCGACTGCGATGCCTTCCACACTCCACTCCATTGCAAGCGCGCGCTCTACGAACACTCCCTCGAGAAATACCAACATACGTCCCGCGATGGGACCCCACTCTGCACAAGCCTGCGCGGCCTGCTACGGCGTTGATTGAGTCAACGAAGACGACCGAGAACCTCCTCTATGATCCCGACCGAAGTTTGGAGCGCGAGCAGCTCAGAGATGCACACATCTCCGTTGTTACGTCTGGGCTCAGCGCTACTGGAAAGCGTGTAGCTGTCAAAAGACTGGACCAAATATTGGAGTTAGTCAATAGCACCAATGGCCGCGACGCCAGCCTACGCGCGCCCCTCTGGCGGGCATACTCTTTGGCCAAGGCCTCTGACCCGACACTCTTAGCACGTCTCCCAGAAAGAGCCTGGGACCTGCTCTGGAGTACGCAATCCGTCGAATCATCCACCAATGCGAATCGCACGGCACACATGGCACAACTATACCGTGACATGAACAAGGCTGGAAAGACTACAACGGCCGGGCAGCGGGCCAGGTATCTAGAGAGCACCTTTCTCTGTGGTAGGGAAGATCAGGCTCTCAGAGAATGGCAAGAGGATCACACGGTGGGATTCGACGGCGTGCGACTGGATTACAAGCCAGAGCACCTGGAGATCGGGGCCAAGCTTCATGCGCTTGCGAGGAATCCGGACCACAGCCGAAGCATCATGGAAGAACTATTCAGGTTATACCCGAATTGGGACACTTCCGTCATGATGACCGTCTTCCGTGCTCACACGAGTTCCGAACTTCAAGAGCACCATGATCTGGCAAAACAGATTTATATCGAAATGAAGGAGAAGAAGGGCGGTGCTCGCTCGATCAAGGACTACGACGCTTGGCTCGTGGGTTTCTTGGAATCCAGAAACCTAGGCTACGCCAAACAAGTGTTCCGGGATATGGTTAGGGATGGCTATCTGGCAACCAGCGGGACAGGAGAACGAGTCGAACAAGTCCTGAAGAGACTGCACATGCTGTATCGACTTGGAACTGACATCTCCGCAATGACGAGCATCGCTTTCGATGCTATCTCCGTGCTCCCTCATGCTTATCACGGCCACCTATTCGGTGACTGGATGAAAGCGGCCGTTGTTAGGAAGGCGCCGTTGGTGGCCGCTCAGGTCATGGAGATGATGCTCAAGCGAGGCTACAAACCGCAAACGTTTCACTTCAACATGCTCCTCAAAGCGTTAATACGGACGAAAGAGAGTCCGAACATCTTGAAAGCCGAGAACATCGGTTGGCACATGATCGAAGCAGCTCACAGATTACCACAACAACGGGATCTTCCTCGGGACACAGCGGCAGGCATCATCAACAACAAAACAACCGCTGATGTTCATCATGAAAGCACCGATATTGTCCAACGTGCTCCTCCTGCAAATGTTACAACGTTCGCGCTCATCATGCAGCACCACGCTAAGAGTCTGCAATGGGAACACGTCGATTATCTGTCCCGTCAGCTCAAAGAAACGGCAGTTCAGCCCAATGCAACTATCATGAACGTTCTCATGGACAACAAATGCCGCCAAGGTGCCTACAGCGAAGCATGGGCAATCTACAAGACTCTTACTGAACCGCAAGAAGGCGGCGCAGGTGTTTTCCCTAATGGTGCAAGCATACGTTGTCTCTGGAAAACGCTCCGTCTCGCGCTCGGTGACCCAACCAATCGCGACAAACCAGGACTGCCCACCCCTCGTGAGCTACTAGCAGAAATGATAAGCTGGTGGACGCTCAGTCGCAGTCGCTACGACGCCGACCGCTTTCGTATGGGCCTCGCAGGCGCAGATAGTGGAGCAATCACATCACTAATCATGCATTGCTTCAGCTACACTCAAGATCTGGCTGGTTCCCTCATCGCTTTGCACGTCCTTCGCCATCACTTCGACATCTTTCCCACCGACGAAGCAGCGCAAATCTTGCAAGGACAGATAGCCTGGGTAGACATGACCCGGGAGACTGAAGCTGTGCGCAGCCAACACTTCCATAGTCGTTCCAACAAAAAGAACACTGATCGCATAGCCATGGTCTACGATATCCTACTCCAGCGTCGATTAGCAAGAATGGATATGAAGGAAGGCGAGGAAGAGATGTTGACGGATGAGCAGATTGGCGATGTAGGATTGAATCTCTTGAGCGAGTTCGTGAGAGTGGTGCTCAAGAGAAGCTATCCACCTGAGGTTGTGGAGGCGATGATTGATGCAGCGCGATGCGCAGTGGGCGTACCCGACCTGCCGACAGGGGACATGGATGCTTTTGAAGTGGCTTGAACGAACTCTATTGCAAGGCTGGATGATGATGGACTGGACAAAGACATCTAGGTCGAGCGCATATGAAGTCAATACGATAGCGCAACAAGTGATGTCTTTAGTATTTTCATTCACAGTGAAGACACCTCAACGGGCTACAATCTATTCATAGTTCTGAAGTCCAGCCTCGCAAGATGTGTCGTTGTGGTGAATTGACCTCATTGGCCATGGCTGCAGGTAACCGAAACATGGGTTTATCGATCGAGTACTCCGCGGCGGCGATCGATGACGCTCCAACGCTCAGATGTCCACAACGCGCCCAAACACGGTTAAAGGTAACGGCTGCTTATTTACGATGACGCCCACTGTCATGCTGAAGGCTGGGACGCGACCCTCAAAATTCTTTGGTTGCGCTGCCTCTTTGCGACACGACCACATCCCATCCCTCGAACCACGGTGATCATGTCTTCACAGGGCGAGCGCGCACCGTTGCTACAACAAAGATGGAGTGAGGAAGGCGAGCCGCGGACAGTAAGTTCTCTTGCGCACGCGTTCTCTCTGCGTTTGCTAACTCGTGACAGCATCTTCGCATCGAAGACCTTTCAAATAACGAAAACCCGCGAGAATGGGCGCGATGGCGGAAGATGGCCAACGTGGCTGTCATAGCCCTCATGTCCAGTACATACACTCCCGTCGCCTATACATATCTTTACTAACATCCGTGGCAGTCCTCAGCCCCCTCGTATCCTCCATGTTCACGCCGGGCATTGCGCAAATCGCCGAAGACCTCAAATGCAGCACTACGGCCGTCATTGGAACAACCACCGGCTTCGTAGTCATGCTCGGAATCGGTCCCTTGATCCTCGCGCCGCTGTCCGAGACGTTCGGACGGAGAAAGATATACCTCGTGTGCTTCTCTATCTTCACCCTGCTCCAGATACCCGCTGCGCTCGCGCCAAACATTGCGTTCCTCATAACGGTACGGAGCATTGCTGGCTTCTTTGGTAGCGTTGGCATAGCGAATGGTGGTGGCACGATCAGTGACATGTTTGTACCAAGTGAAAGAGCTGGAGTGTTTGGCTGGTACCTGTTAGGCCCATTGCTTGGACCTACCCTGGGACCGTTGTTTGGCGGTATCATCGTACAGCGGTTGAACTGGCGCTGGGTCTTCTGGATCATGACCATTGTGTGCTTTGTCAACACACTGGCTGGATACTTCTTTCTCCGAGAGACGTATGCGCCTGTCATCTTGAATGCTAAGAAGGCGGAATTTGAGTCTCAGAGCAATGAGTGGGATGGCACAAAGTACTCGTACGAGGGCGAAGACACACGGCCGTTGAACGAGAAGCTTACGCAGGCTCTCAAGCGCCCTCCGAAGATATTTGCTCAGCCCATCGTCGCGGTCATGGCTGTATACCAAGCGCTCATCTTTGGCACGACTTACAGCATCTACACGAACATGCAGCCCATATACCAAGACGACTATGGTTTCTCCACCGAGAAGGTCGGCTTGTTATACCTCGGTCCTGGGTCTGGATTCCTCTTCGCAGTCTGGTTCCTCGTCCCACGAATCGACACCGTGTACAAGACGCTCACAGCGAAGAACCACGAGAAGGCACGACCCGAGTTCCGTCTCCCACTGGCAAATATTGGCTCCGTCTTCATCCCCATGTCGCTCTTCTGGTTCGCTTGGGCAGTACAGAAGCACACGCATTGGTTTGCATCCATCTCCGCGACCTTTTTCTACGGCATCGGACAAGTCATGATTTTGAACAGCACGCAGAACTACTTCATCGACAGCTTCGAGAAGTACGCAGCCAGTGCTATCGCTGCTGGTACCGTCTTCCGCAGTGTTGTGGGAGGTGTTATCCCGATCTTTGCGCCCATGCTGTTCGAGAAGCTGGGATACGGTTGGGGCATCAGTACGTTTGCATTTGTGAGCTTGCTCCTTGCGCCTGCTCCGATTCTGTTCTACATCTTTGGTGAGAGACTTAGGGAACGCTACCCAGTCGATCTGTAGAGTGTTATTTACGTAGGTATCTTCTTTATATTCATGGCGCAACTTTCCGTTCCTGGTCACTTTTAAAAGACCTCCCCTCTATCTCGTGGCTTCCAAGTGGTTTTGGACAGACTCAGTCTGTCACCATGTCTACTAATAGAGATGCATGTGAACCGTGATTTCGTTTGAACAAAGCAGACTGTAAACACGACGTAGGCGCCTCGGGTCACGATCGGCCTCCCTGTGCCATCACATCTACTGATGGCATTCATGTGAATGGTGAGTGCGTTTGCACGATCAGCCCATGGCTGTGTGCGTTACTCCACTTGTATTCCCAGGCAGTCACTTACATTCACTGCGATCGAGTGGCGAACTTGGCAATCGCTAGCGCTAGAGCACTGCCTTGATACATAGCTCGGGTCCCTCTCACCTTTTCCCTGATCTTTGTGTAGTGTTCCCTTGGAGATTCTGGATTTACACCAGAATGTACTCAGACACCGTTCACATCGGGAAACACCGCGGCAGTCGCTTTGCTACTTGCCTACATTCCGCCCGGTTGCATTGCTTGGGCTAGCACAACAATGCAGTATATGAACTGTCTTGATGCCCTGCCGCGTCTAGCCCTTCAATATTTGAACGAGTAAGTTTCTTGGGCGCAAGAAACCGGCCCTTGTGTGTTCAAGCGGCTACTGCACGACACCACTGAGACAAGAGATATGTCCGTGGTCACTCGTGTCTGTCAATAGCAAGTTCCCGCTCGTCGGAGACCTGAAACCTCCGTTGGCATAGGAGGGCTGGTCTGCCAGTGTTATCAATGCGACGTTGCGCCCCGGAGCGCTTCTGTCGTTGTCAGTCGTGGGGAAGGCGGAGCTCGCGGAGGACTCCCCCGTGCCGCTGGCGGAAACATCATGCGGATAGCTTGCCGCCGTCCACGATGCAAGCCCTATATCTGCTGTTGAACAGTTTGTCTATACTACTCGTCCTCCATATCTGTTTCATTGGGCTGATGCCTTCATGGCGTCGCTTGAGGAAGAAGCGCGAATGGACGTGAAGTGAGGGAACATACTTCAGCAAATGCCCAAGTTCCGGTGAGCCATGAGACTACGGTGTAGATGTGAAAACGGCAAGCCTGGATCTGCATATGGATAGCCCATTGGCTATTTCTAGCAACTAAGTACCTCTACAACGCCCGTAGCCGCTCAACGGGTAACACTCGTTGCAGAAGACCATATATGGCTTTCAACCCCGCTTTCCAGAGCCATTGGACTCATGGAATAGTGACATCCTGTGTTCCCACACAGTAAGATTTACGAAGTGAGATACCACCGTGAGAGTAACACGCCACTTGGCATTCGTCTCATGATCAGACGGATGTCTTAGTTACGTCGTCTGTTGCCGACGCAGGACGTGTATATAAAACTCTAGACAGCGCGCTTCAGATCGTTATCACTGTTCGCCCAAACATCACTTGAGAACTTCCCGAAGATGCATATCCTCTCATTCCCCACTATGTTTCTCACAGTCTCGGCCGCAACTATCGCGATCCCCGCCGAAACTCCCTCTAATTCTACCGCTGCTCAGGCCTGTCCCGGTCGACGCATCAACTGGCAGGGCGGAGGTTGTGAGCGCAATTGGGGAAGAGACTGTCTAAATCGCTGCTTGAATGCTGCAGGGGGTAAGCGATGCTGCCCTCGTTCGGTCGGTTGGTATCAAGATCGCGGAGGATGTTGGTTGGGCTGGGAGACTTGCCGGTGCACCTGCAATGCCTAGGCAGTGAAGGTACGCCATTGAAACGGTAAGAACTCATGGCGGCTATTACCTGAGCTTTTGGAAGATCTGCTGACATTCCATTCGTAGTCGGGACTATCTTGAGGTTAGTGCGCTGCCATGGTATTTGGTACGTGGATAGTAGTTGTGTCGATTGGTGGGCGGTGTATCCGTGGCTTTTGTCGTCTACGTTACGAGTAGCTCAAATGTGACACCAAAGTCCACTCTTTGGACGCCTGGCAGTACAACGAAGTCTATACGATCAATGCGAAAATTGGTCCGTTTGTTATGGTTTCTTGACGCTAGATTCGATGTCTCTTCGAATTCCATCACGCATGCCATGACGCTCATCTGTAGTCGCATGCGATTGAGGCCACGATAGATGCATAGTGTGATCCATGTGATGTCTATTGCTATCGGAAATGCAAGAAGAAGCACTAAGCCCAAGGTTGTTGCGACGGCTCTCCATGTCGCAGCCGTTACTGGCATGATGTCATCAGACCCTGTCTGATGTTTCGTCCAACTACAGAGGCACTCGGAGTGTACTTGTGATTTACATGATGCCTTTACATACAACTCGAACAGGCGCAATGTCTTCTCGTATTCGATGCAGAAATTCTTCCCGGGCTTCCTTCTTATCGGTATCAAGGCTGACTTCAAGATATGACGTCCACCATATGCCGATAGTCACTCTTGCTGACAACCCCCTGGCTTCTTGCAAGGCGTCCCTAATATAAAAGTCGTACGCCCTTCCATGTCCTTGAATAATGCGCTTGTTTCTCGTCATAGGGTGCGCCTGTACATTGCGATCGTGGTATCGGAAATCACTTAAACGCGTTGCCTCATAAGTGTCAAGTCCCAGATCGAGTTCTTCCAGCGCAGGGAAGCGTTCGAGAAGGGCGAAAGCACCTTGCATCTCATCGAGAAGCTGCATGGACCTAGCTTGATAGCTGGCGAAGAGCGCAACCATATTGCTTGGATGCATAATTACACGATCGATACTGAACTTGGGAATGGTGATGTATTTAACAAGCTTCCTGTTCTCGGCACCGATTTGGCGGTAAAATTCTCGTACTACGAAGCGTATGGACTCTGACCCGTTGTGGAGGAAGAAGTTGAAGCGGCTGAAGCAGTAGCTGAGGATCTCGTCGAGGAAGGTGCGGCTGACGAATACCAGGCCTTGGATGCTTTCGAGGCCTTGTAATTTGTAGCCACCGTGTCGCTGTCGGACGGTCATATCGACGCTTCGGCTCTGGAAGTTTTGCGCGAGAAGATAATGGTATATCAGCTGGCGAATTTCAAGCGGTAGCCTGAGGAAGCCGGGGATCGTGGGCACCATTGTTGATGACGTTGATGAAGTTGTCGATGTTCCGGTCTTCGTATGTAGCGTCGACAGCGGTCACTGCGCGACCAACTTCTTGTGGAATGTTTACGGAAGATGCACGTGGAAGAGATGTCCGATAAGACAAATGTCTATTCGTGGAAAGCTGGTTCGGATGTAGAGATCTCAACGCATGTGCATCAGAAGGGACCTAGGTCTGTGCTCATGCGGCACAGTAACCCCGCAAACGGCCTACTAATTTTTGTAACCAACGCTGTTGGTAAGATATCTAGCTATGGTCGATGACAGTATCGGACTTCCACCGCCTGATTTCCGGCTTTGTCGCAGCATCCATGCTGCGTCCAAATTGCGTCCCACCGAGAAGATTACCAACCGCCGCTGACCCACAGTATGAGTGATTTCACGGATCCGAACATTGCGCACATACCAAAGCTTGTTTCAACAGGATATTGCTATTTGTTGGCAAATAGATTAAACACTAAAAACTACCTCCAAGCCACCTTCGCTATCGACTTGCAGTAAACATGTTATGGTCAGAATGAAGACAGATGCAAGACATAATCGCGTAACGTAGCTATAAATAATTGACAAAATAGCTACGAGCTACATGGGCACTCTACAAGGAGACATCGACAGAGATGTTAAGGTCCTCGAGAAGGGCGTCGACGCAGCCAAAGTTCTGCTCAACGTTAAGGTCACCGGGCGCCTTCCAGCCGTCGTTGGCGAAGGAGAAAACGCAGGACTCGGGACCGACGGTCTCGAGAATCTTCTTCATGGCAGTCTTCTGCTCCTGGACACCGGCAACAGCCATGCCGTTGGAGTTACCGGCGCTGGGCCAGCCGATCTCAGTGATGAACTTGCCCTTGGCAGCGGCCTCGGGGCAGACCTTGGCGGCTTGCTCGAGCTGCTGAGCGGCGAAGTCACCAGCCATCTCAGCGGTAACGGACTGGGTGAAGTAGGGGTGGATCTGGACGGTGAAGATGTCGATGTGGGAGCAGAGAGCATCACCGATCTCCTCCCACGAGCCAACAGTCTCAGTGGTAGTGATAGCGATGTCGGAGGGGAAGCCGGCGCCACGGAGCTCATCACGGACGTAGTCGAGGTAGGAACCAAGCTCGCTGACCTCGCAGTTACCGTTGAAGACGCACTCGTTTCCGACAATGACCATGGCGACGGAGTCCTTGGGGGCGTTCTCCTTGATGTCGTTCAACTGGTCGTTGGCGTAGCTGGAGAAGGGACCCTTTCCGGCCTTGCCACCAGCCTCGAGGAAGATGCCGTAGATGACCTTCAGTCCGTACTTGGTGCACTCAGGGACAACGTGCTCGAAGACACCGCAGTCAGTGCTGTAAGAGCGGATGGTGGTGAAACCGAGCTCAGAGATCTTCTTGATGTCGGCAGCAATCTGCTCGGCGGTCCTGCAGTTACCGTCGTTGGCGTAAGGAGTGTAGGTAATGGCCCACTTGTCGCCGTTGGTCTTGATGTGCTCACCGTTGTTGTAGCTGCCGGTGGGCTTGGGCTTGTCAGAGCCGTGGGTGGCGCTGGGAGTGGGCTTGGGCTTCTCAACCTCCTTGGAGGAGGCAGGGACCTCAGGGGTGTAGGCAGGCTTGGAGGCCTCGGGAACGGTGGGGTAAGCTGGCTTGGAGGGAGCAGGGACCTCGGGAACCGCGGGCTTGGAGACCTCAGGGACGGAGGGGTAGGCGGGCTTAGTGACCTCAGGAACAGAGGGGTAAGCGGGCTTGGAGTTCTCTGGGACCGGGGCAGGGCCAGTGGGCTTTCCCTCCTCCTCAGTGCAGGTGGTGGAGGTCTCCGGGACAGCGGGAACAGCTGGGGTGGAGTGCTCTGGGACGGGAGCAGGGCCAGTGGGCTTGGGGGCCTCCATGGAGGAAGTCATGCCCTCCTCCTCAGTGCAGGTGGTGGAAGACTCCGGGACAGCGGGAACAGCTGGCTTGGAGGACTCAGGAACTGCGGGGTACGCAGGTGTTGAGGACATGGGCACCTCAGGGTAGGCGGGCTTGGAAGACTCGGGCATCGCCGGCTTGCTGGACTCAGGAACCGCAGGGTAACCGGGCATGGAAGATCCGGGTACTACGGGAACCGGGCTGGAGGGAGCCGGAACGACGGGAGTGTACATGGAAGTCTTTCCCTCCTCAGTGCAGGAGGTGGAGGCGGTCTCCGCATGGACGGAAGTTGGGACAGCGGGCATGGTGGAGTTAGGAGCCATAGAGGGCACTGGATCATGTTAGTCGCTGTAAGATACTGGCCATGACTATTCTTCTTCGTTCACAGCTGCGTCTTGTATGGGTATCACATACTTGCGGTTTCGTAGACGGTGGTGTAGACCGTGCAAACCTCCTCAGGGGCGTAGGCTCCACGGCGCATGTGGAATCCAGCATGAGCCTTGTGCTGCGCGGCAACAGCAGACCCAACGAGGGCTGCTGCAACGTAAGAGTAACGCATCTTGAACTTGTTTACGTGGTTTGGGGTGGCTAGGGGTAGTGGTGATCGTCCGCTGAGCGAGTGAAGCGGGTAATATTAAGTAAAGTGTGTAATGAGTGACGGGGCACAAAGGCCAAGGGTGCTTGTCAACGAGGCTGGTGATGCGTAACTTGAAAGCCTTGCGTAGTGAGAAAAAGAAGGAAACCTTGGGGAACACGGCGGTTTTGACCTATGTGCCATGGCCTGTGAGTACCAGTTGGTGGAGAACTGCCTCTAAGGCGTTAGGTTAGGGGTCCTGGAAATTGGCGTTCTCATTGCTGTACAAGAACGGCATGGGCGCCATCCTACGGCTCTATTGAGATCGTGATGTGCTCCGAGCGGAAATGAGTCTGGGGTATAATTGTCGTGTTAGGTCGAGGGTGGGTCCAGTCTAGGTGAGGATGAGGTTAGCCTACTTTCACCCTGAGCAACCCTCCCGTGCATGAAGTGCCGTCACGGCAACAAACACCACACCAAGTCTTCGCGCCAACACCGCCAGGAAATGGGTGAACTCTATCGCAACATGATCACTCGTTGTATTTCCTTAGCTGCCATGTGCCCGTTATCCGTTTTGGTAAGGTCATCCTCGTGTCGCTAATGACGGCCCACCGAATGGTTCCCATCTTCATCAAATCCACGGCAACGCGCATATCAGCAATCACAAACAGCAATCGCGAACGGCTAATCTTTGTGCAGCTCGCAGTAGAGCAAGGGCACAGCTTGCGCCACCATGCAGGTACAGAACGACTTGTGCAGGGTTCTACCTACCGGGCGTTCTTTAATTGGCCGAAGGTTACATCGAAGGGCTGGGGTGGATGTTTAGGCGGTGCTGGATGTTGGTGCGTGCCCCTTTCCTCTCACGACTCAAGACCAGCACGGCGCGTTATTACCGCTTCCACCGCTATTGATGGACGTCACTAAACTCTCCGCTTGTCGATGCCGCGTTCATCGGAAGGCAGAGATCCGCAAGCTGCTAAACATAGGTGTGGGCAAGTCGGTGATTTCGTCCGCATGAATACGGTGTGTATGTCAACTTTGCGAGCGGCGATCCATCGCAATTACAATGGCGCGTATTCAGTTGTTGTACCAAGCGCTGAGAGCCTTGGATGCCTGGTCGGCATTGGCTACATAGCTCGCTCCTGAGCGATCGAACAAGTGGTCAGGCGACCACTCGGTACCCGCGCTGACAGCCCTTCTGTCCTTTAACAATAGGCACTCTTCGCCAATTAGCGACCATTCAAGCTAGAATATGTAGCAGGCAAGTTCCAGTATCCGTCGCATCGTGGCTACAACTTCCTCCTGTCCTAAAGCTATACCCATAGTCGGGCACGTTATACCCCTCAGATTTTGCATACAACGTGAGATCTGTAATGAGTTGAGTATATCGGTGAGTATGTATGTTTATGCTGTGAATTACCATAATGTAGATCCAATTCTTCCAGAACATATCCGCCACCCAGTCTTCCTGATCCACCTCCAGAGTCTGGACTCTCACCTCCCTACTGAGCACCACCCTCTTGCTGCCCGTAGTAATGCGCTTTCATCATGTCCGCGAAATGCTTAGATCCATCTCCACTGAAATGCTCCTGTTTCCCCTTTGCCGTTTTGATTGCCGCCTTTGTGGACCGTGGGAACATTTCCTCCTCGTAGTCCTTCACAGCAACATCCAGATATTTCTCTCCATTGCACACTTTGATGATCTCTTGTGCCAGTACGAGTGCGTCTTTCATGCCCACGTTGACTCCTTCGCCGGCGAAAGGCGTGAAAACATGCGCAGCGTCACCAATGAGAGTGACACCTGAGCGAGAGGGCCAGCGGAACCCAATCGGTAGTTCGCACAGGGCTCGAGCGGTGAGGCTTTCTGTGGAGGAAAATATGATACGCTTGAGATCGTCGTGTATATGAGAAAGGTAGCGGTCCACAAGAGTCTTGCGCGCCGTCTCTTTCTCATCCCAATCAATGCCACACGTCTCCAGGAAGTCTTCCGGCACGCGCAAGCTGGCATAAGTCCGTAGGCTGCCGTCACCTTGCCGTTGAGACTGCACCGCACAACCCTCGCCAAAAGCCATCATCGAGCCCTCTCCTACGTATTCAAGCAGCCAGGGATCGGCCTTGACGTCTTTGCACATCATCGCCACAGAAGATATGCCAGAGTACTGAGGCATTTGGTTGGTGAGAAGTGTGCGAACCTTGGACCATGCGCCATCTCCGCCGACTACAAGATCAAACCCCAGCTCTTTCGTGTCGTCTGCGAAGTGTAGGTTGTACTTCCCCTCATCTTCAGTGGACGGCGCGACTTCCTTCAGTTTCCTATCAAACTTCACGGACCCCACCTTCAGATTCTCGAACATTAGTGTCGCCAATGCCAATCGATCAATCTCAGGTCTCCCGTCAAACTTCTCCTCTTCTTTGATGTCTTGCTTATCAGCTCCATTCTCATCCCAGAGTACCTCTCCATCCAAAGTCACAATCTTCATCACATCACTTTCTGGTCGCGCATGCTTGACGAATGGTTCCCATAGTCCTGCTTCTTTGAGGGCGAGCTGACCAGACTGGGGATGGAGGTCTAGAGAGCCACCTTGCGTGCGGAGTTCTGACGCGGACTCGAAGATGCTGAAGGGAATGGAGTGCTTCTGAAGTATGTTGGCGAGGGTGAGAGAGGCAGGGCCAGCGCCTATGATGCCGATCTTCAGCTGGACAGGTCTTGTGACTGATGCCATGGCTGTTCAAGGGTTCTGCAAGTCCTGTAAGGGTAGCGGACTAGTGTTTGCACTTCTCTAGTGATCGCAGGTCCTTTAGGTGTAATCGCAGACGCAAGAAGAGTATATGATATAACAATCGTAGCTTCGTGAATTGAGATTTAATATATCGCGCATCCTGTCTTCAAACCTCACGATATATACTTCCATACTTATCTTGCTGCCTAGGCGAGTGTCACGTTTCTCATCCCCGCACGCGAAATCTCGGGTCCTAATTGGGTCTGCAGCGCGTCGAGTCTGACATGTCGGACCCGAAAGTACACGACATGCCGAACATTTGCGCCTCAAAAGCCACACGCCACAAGTATGGGTTCAGAGACTGCGAATGCACATCTCCAATGTACACAAGCACGTGCACTGCTGGCGCGTCTCCTGCGAGAATCGTTCGAGATCAACGTGGCTCGACGGTCGCGTGAGTCCGGCCAGTTTAGTGCTTACTGAAAGCAAATAAGGTTACACGTAGCAACGCGCCTTATTTGCGTCAAGCTTCAAGCCAAGTGATGTCCGGTGAATGATGTGCCTGGGGCCGCAGGCCGTTGGAACGAGATGCGAAAGGAGCAACCTCATGATGCCATTGTTCTCCTTCTGCCAAAAGAACCAGTATGAGCTCCATGTGTTGAGATGTGATCGCATTACTTTTTCTTACACAGCGCGATCGCTATCCGCAATTACCTACGTCAGTCTGAATATACTCTACGGCGACTCGACCTGTTCTCCCGCATCGCATCGCAGCTACAGTCGCTGAGTAGTGGTAGGTTCTGTACAGTTGAAAACCTCCACGCTCAAAGTTGTGCGCACGTGAAATACCTGTTCGTATGTGCCGTGTTGTTGTTGGAACGTGCTGCCGGGTCCATAATTCCTGACACCCAACAGGAGATAAGACCCTGGCCAGCTTGCGAATCCAGAACCCGGCACGTCATCGCAATGCGATGATCATGCCAAACCCAGCCCTCCTCCGACCCTCCCAAGACCGGCTCTCTTGCTAGCCAGGGCAATGTTATGGACTGTGTTTCCAATCCTTACTTTGACGGCATCAAAAGCAGCCTCAGGTGCCTGAACGAACTTACTGGTGTCGATATTTTGGACCAGAGCAACCCACTCGGGGTCAGGCTCAGCCAGGTTCCAAGCGATGCTGACGTGGAAATATTGCGAATAATCATGGCTTTGAGGCTCGTTCTTGTCGACCTTCCTCCGCTTCGGACCGTCGTTAGAGTCATGGCTCTCCTTCGGACCGTCTCCCACTCCGCCTGTATACAGACCTGGATGACCGCTGTATTGGGTCGCGTCGTTACATGCTTGTAGCAGACGGTTAAGTTCGTTGAGTGCGGACTTCTTAATGCCAAGGACCAGAAACCATCGATTGCGTTCGAAGTTGGACACCCACTTCAAGTTCTGAAACTCATAATTGAAAGCGCGCACTGCGGATCGCCGCACAGCAACACTCAACGATTTCAGAAACGGCTCTCTGTCATCGGTGTTGATCTGCAGGGTTCGCGACAACGACACATGAAGAGGTAGCGACGCACCCAGTTCTGACTGAAGAGATGGTATGATCTCTGGTATGGGCAGTATCTTCGTTCGCTTGGTATTTTCAAGAGCAATAGTATCTCTCACATGCTGTAGTAGGCTGTGTAGAGCATCAGACTCATGCTGTGTAGGTATCCCTCGAACGCGTTAGTCTGTTATCCATATTGGCGATGAATAATTCTGGGCACCCTTACACTCTAAGTAGACATGACTGGGCCACTTGCCCTCGACGTGAGGTACAGCCCGTTTCCGTCCGCCATGTAGGCTTGGGTTGTCGCTAGTGCTGACGCGCGCATTTGTCGCGTAGAGGTCGTGAAAGGCTGGCGGAAGCGGAGGCAGGGCATCCCCAGATGCGCTGTGCTTGCGCTTCGATGTAGCTTTGGCGGCAGATTGTGCCGTCTGGGCAGAGGCATCGAGGCTCTGGTCATCATCATCCGAGGCAGAATCTGGATAATCCACCAGGGACATGATGGGCTGGATCGTGATGGTGAGGGATCATCGTAGCTGTCGTCACTCGTGGAGAGGACCAAGCGGCGGACCCACTTGCAGCCTAGCGCATCCGCATGACGTATGGCAGCGATTGGGCCGCTCTTTCCACCAAGAGCGGACAAGAAGAAATCTGACGCAGGGCCGCGACTGCGAACCGATGATGTACGCGTCCCCGGTACCTGCCAAGTCAGGCCTTTATGTACTTCGCTCTCCCTCTCGTCACCTGTTCATTCCTCTCGTATCCATTTAGCACCTGACATTCGTCTGACCACTAATCTCCAACACTACAACTACTCCAATCTTCCTGAGTTCGCCAACTATCAAACACTAGCAACACAAACCAATCATCATGGCAATGGAGAGTGTGAGTATCCCTCTTGTTACATCTGTTCCGGGCGCGTGGGTGATCCGTTCCTGTGCCTCCTATGTGCGCCGGCAAGACCCATTCAACCCGTCTCAAACCAGTTCAGCGCAATACATCATCTTTGGACATTCAAGCTAACTTAGCAGGCCCATCATGCGTTGATTGATCCTCTGATCGAACCAGACCCAAGCGACGAGACTGGACTCAACAGCCACTTCCGTTCCACATATGCTCCCGCAGCACCCATCACACCACCCGGATCCGCTGGAGAGACCAAAGGCCACCCAACCGTCAGTGTCCACAATACCGGTAGTTCCGTCGAGACCAACCCATTCCGCCGTTCCAGGGCTTCATCCGAGTCAAAGGGCGCTTCGGCTTCAGTATCGCAGGTTGGACAAACTACACCGCAGAGTAGGAGGTATGATTACCCATCCCCTCCCGCCTCTGCAAGCCCCAGACGTGCCCACTTCTCCGACAACCACCGCGCGGAAATCTTCGGACCCATGAACGGAAGCCGGCCTCGACGATCCAGCGACAATGCCCCTACATCCATGAAGAAGAGCGGAGTTACGCGCGACCGCTCTGGCTCATTGAGAGAGCGCTATCCTGGTGACAAGTCACACAGGCCTCTTGACCAATTGCGTCATGATGAGAAAGTTGCTCACCGTGCTCCTCATCTTAGGAAAAAGAACTTCCAAGGCGCCGACGTCATCGATCGTCTCGATAAGACACCCTTCGGTCGGTACCACCACGAGGGCCCGTATGACGCTGCCAGTCTCGCTCGCAACCGCGTCGAAAAATACAGTCCCCTCGCGGCGGTCAAGGATTCAAACGAGGAGGCTCTGAAGGCTACTCCACGGGAGAACATCGTCGACTCTGTACAGAGGCACCGTCCTTTGGAGGGTGTCGCTATCGTACCACCTGGCATGGCAGATCGTTTCGGAAGGGTTCTCAATTATGAAGAGGGAGCTGACCTGATGCGAGAGCCTGGAGCTGATTACCGTCGCTGGCCTGGTGTTGTATGTCCTCCAACCATTCCTTTTAGACTGAACCTCTCTAACACATCGCAGGAATACCACCCAGACGATCTCAAGGGCAAGGGCGAACCCTCCTACTCCATTGACAAGGCCCTGAAGGACCACAAGCGCTTCGGCGACAGCGGTACGGAGATGACCACCCGCAGCTCTCGCACTCGCAGCGTTGGCCATGCCGAAGCACCCGGCATCGTGCCCTCCGTCGCCACCGACGCCGAAGCCTCTGGCATCGGCCGCAGCAACACCACTGGCAGGAGTGTTGGCGGCGCAATCAAGAGGCGCCTCGGTAGCATCCGTCGTCGCAAGCAAGAAGCCGAGATCTAGGGGATCCCGCTCTTTCCACGCTCCAAGCGCTTCTCTGAAGTTCCACACACACACGCAACGGCTTGATACCCATTCCGTTTTGAGCGACTTTCCGAAATTGTACAAATACGCATCGCATACTGACGCATATTGAGCGTCCTTGTTTTCCTTTCACTTGTGGCTCGACAATATTAGCGCATAGATGACGTACATTCATGGTATATCATAGTTTGCACCGCATATGGGGGCTTGATAGGAGCCGTGTACGATATACGAGTAGTTTTTAGTAGGTTACGAATAATGACACATAACTTGTCTAAGCTTGCGCCAAATGTTCAAAGTGTGTGGCATATGTTGGTATTGTAATTATCTACTATCTGTGACACCTCTCCTATCCCTACGCAAACAATGAGCACGAACGAATACCCAATCGCATACCCAATCGCCTACCCACCCAATGCCTACGCCAAAGACACATCCCCCAACCCAACGAACGTAATACAAAACGCCTGCCTGGCAACATAACGACGTTCAAACTCCTTGATGCGCGCTGAAATATGCAACAATGCGCCAGACAAAGTCGAACAAGTAACAGCCGGAACCAACCCAATACGCCACATTAACAGCAAAAGGAAGCCCTCCCCTCCCATCACATCGCAACGCATCACATAAAACTCATCTTAACCTCCTTCTCCTGCCCAAAGTCATCCTCAAACTCATCAGCCCAAGCATTATGCCCCAGATCACCACCAGTGGCCTGCGGCCCCAAACTACTCGCGTGAGACTCCGTTTTCGCCGAGCGCAAAGGCGGGCGTTCAGCGGGGCCCGGGGTATCGTCCCAAGACGGCTGCGCAGTAGCATCTGAATTCCAGGACTGGGCGGTACCAGAGTTATTTTTACTGGGTGTGCCCGAGTCCCAGGGCGAGGAAGTGCCGGATCGACTTGGTTGTAAGGGTAAGGGTGATGCGGGGAGGGGGAATTTACTAGGGGTGGTAGCGGATGACGGGGGGTCGCGGAACGAGGTGTCGAATGTCATTTCCATTTGACCCGCGCCGGGGTCGTCGAATTCGTCGTATTCGTCGTAGTGGCCGTTGGATGGAGAAGAGGAAGAAGAAGTTTTCTTGGGGTCGGTGCTTGGTATACCTAGACTGTCGTTGTAACTCTTCGTTTCCCTAAGCGTAGAGCGCGGACTTGTTGTCTGGGATGGGGATACGGTTGCGATGTCGATTTTCATGGGTGGTAGCGTGCTTTTGATTTCTTTGATCTCGAATTCGGCTTCGGCGTTGTATTCTTTGCTTTCGGCGGCTAGGGTCGCTACTTCTTTTCTGATTGCGTCGATATCGAACATGACTTGGTTTTCTGCTAGTTTCGCTGGGTCTTGGTCTACGTCTAGCTTCCGGTGGCCTGGCGGAGCGGCAGTGGAGTGTTCGTCGTAGACTTCCCAGTCTTTCTTGTCGGCTTTCTTCTTCTTCCACCAGCTCAGTTTGCCACCCTTCTTCTCCTTTTCTTGCGCCTTCTTCTCCAGGTCTTTTCGCGCTTCTTCGATCTCGTTGATGAGCTCACGCTGGCGTATCTCGTGATTCTCAGGGTCCGGGTCTTCAATCTCGGCGAATTCGTCGGATTCAACTAGCCAGCCAACTTCGCGGAGTAGCTTGGGCATGGCGGCACGGTAGGCCATGTGGCCAGGAACTAGCTCGGTTACGTTTACATTCTCGATGGTTGGGATTTGGACGGGCGCGAGGCCAGCTACGCGCATTACACCACCACTGGTAGCACGGAAAAGGTAGCCTGGAAGTTTGTTAGCAATCGGCAACAAGTAGAAGAAAGATGTGCGACATACCCAAGATCCAGTCATTGGTAGCATACCCATTGACAAACCTTCCAGGCACGACAGATCTTGCCCTGATGTACTCGTCATGCTTGGCTACTGCTGGCGTGCCGAACATGTATACATTCTGCACAATACCAAACGCCCCTCTATTCGCAAGTTCCTTTAGACACGAGAAAATGACTCTTGAGCCTAACGAGAAACCGACAAGAGTGACCGGTCGTGTCCCTAAGTTGCGATCGATGAGGGAGTCTGCAAGGATCAATCCAGCCATGTCTGCTCGTGCTTGCGAAACGATCCACGGATTATCGATAAGGTAGGAAAGCTTAGTCAAAGCCAAGGGAAGTGTCATAGCGGCCATGAGAGCTGTAAGGATGGTACTTCCCAAGACTTGTTGGAGACCTTGTGTGAGAGCCTGATGTGGTCAGTAAGCACCTTGGCAGTTTACATATATAAACTCACTTCAGTGGCAAGGATGTTGATTGTGTCACCCATACTCCTCAGCATCTCAGGTTCCCATAGCACGGAATATATATCGCCCATGATGGGATCGACCGTACTGTACGGAAGACGGACATCGTCAACCTTTCCGTTCATCCAGCCTGCCAACGTAATGATGAGATGCGTTCTTTTGTTGTTGTGAAGCGGACGGTACTCAAAAGTCTTGACAGCACCTGTTCGCCTGTTCATGGCCCGCACGCCGACAGTACTACCCGTGACTACACCAGTCGATGTAATGATAGCAGCACCTCCGGCACCAGCCAGGAAACTACTTGTACCTGCCACACCGATTGTTGTAAAGCCTGCAGCGAGACCGGCACCAATGACCGGAGCGAGAAGTCCAGCAGATAATCCAATGACGAGACCGCCACCAACAGTCGCAAGGCCCATGAACGCCAATCGCTTGTTCCGCGCCCGCTTAGCTCGGCTGACCATGTGTTCGTCCTCATTCCAGTTCTCTTTGTCTGCTTGCTCCTGCATTTCCAAAGCATCGGTGACGCGCTTTTCGAAGCGACAAGCTTCCAGCCAGTCTACGCTGAGATATTGCCCGACTTGCTGAAACAGCTCTCGTGAACGCGAATCATAGACAGAGTCGGCGATGAGTACCAAGAACAGATCACACAGTACGGTCCACCGTAAATCGATGTCTAGGTTTTTGCTAGTGGGGAGTTGTGATGGCGACCTAACTTCTGGATAATCAAAATCGTCATCTTGGTGTTCCTGGTACGGCGGAGGGGGCGGAGTTTGCAAGTCGTCTTGCGAATCCATGGTCGATGCCCTCTTTGGTTTTGGCTTCCCTGCAGGTGATTCGGGGCGCGGCGACGATATAGACGGTCTGGTAGAGTCTGATTCGTTTACGGTCTCCGCATCTTCCGCTGCTGGATTTTTTACTCGAGCATTCTGCATCAGTGCTGGTGTAAGGTCTCCAGGAACCACGCCATGCTCGGACAGTTGCTCAATCATAATCTGCTCAGAAGCATTGATGTCCATGTGCCCGTAAATCTTGACCATGATCTTCTGTGCCCACATTTTTGTCGTTCCTGACTGGAGCTCGAGCAGCTTCTTCATCTTCTTGTTGGTCGTTTCGAAGTTCGAGAACTTCCGTTCCATCTCCACCATGGCCAATCGTACCAACCCGACATATGCAACACGCTGTCCTTCGGTAAGGAGGTTCTTGGTCGCCTGCATTTGCGAGAGCGGATCCCGACCCTCCTCATCTTCGTCGGCCAGTGCAGTACTCCTCTCCTTGAAAAGGTAGGCGGTATTGTCGTCCATGCTCGTTTGCGAGTCAGCATCGTCGTCCATGATAACTCTGGTATATCCTTTGGCGGCGCCTCCGACGTTGGCATAACCGTGCATGTCTTCCAGCTCTTCCGTGTTCTCCTTCGCAATGAGCCTGTTGTCGTCGTCGTACATGTCGTATCGAGCGTATGCTGGCATGGTCTGCCACTCGCCGTCGTCCTCTTCCTTCTTCTCCTCCTTGACCTCTCTTTGTGATTGTATGACTGCATGCTGGTGTGAATACTCGGATATGGCCGGGACGCTCGTTTGGTGGAGATGTGAAGGCGCGGCACTCGTGCTTGTGCGTGTTTCCGTGATCTCAGGAGGCTTTGTAGGTTCGGGTGTGTCTTGCTTCGTTTCTACCGGCTTGTCTTCAGGTGCCTTGGGGTCGGTGACCTCAACGGGCTCATTCGCCTGCCCATTGACTTGCGGTGTCGCATCGCTTTCCTTCACGGTAACCTCAGATGCGACCTCAGGAAGCTTCTCCACCGTACTGCCTGCCTTGACTTCTTCCTTTCCTTGTGCTGGCACCGCGACCTCCTTCGGACTCGCTGCCGTAGAGACTACAGCATCCTCAAACTTCTCCCCTTCCGAGTCGGAACTGTCCTCCACTGGTGTCCGCGGCCTCCTCTTCCGTATAGGCAGACCAAAATCATCGTATTCGACGGCTTCATTGGGTTCCTTCTTCACCTCCGCGGTCTCGGCATTATTTCCCTCATTCTTGGGGGCCGCGGCGGGGTTCTCGCTCATACTGGTGGGGACTACCGTGAGAAACGCATGGAGAGGCAGGTTCGCAGTCGTGTCAACAGGGAAAAGCGCAGGGGCCGCCGTAGGAAACAAATCAAGTATATGTGCGGGTATGTACAATATGTACAATTGGGCGTGGGATGCCCTGAGGCGGATTTACTAAAGCGGAGAGCAACGGGGGTGTCTCCAAGCCGCAGACGTCGCATACGGGGCTAGCGTCGCACGCGTGGCTGGTGCATGCGTTAGATTCCGCGCTCTGGTCCAAACTTTTGGCCGCATAGAACTTTTTTCCCCGCGAACAATCAACCGTTCCCAAACACACAGTCGCAATGAAGTTAAAGCGCGCAAAGGTAGGAGATGAATCCTTGTTAGAGACATTCACAAAGTATACTGATCGCACGGCAGGCGTACAAAAAGCAGCTCCATCAATACGAACTCAACTTCGGCTTCCGCGAACCCTACCAAGTCCTACTTGATTCACAGATCCTCGAAGATGCCTACTCCTGCAAAATCGACCTTCTCGCGCGACTCCAGAAGATGCTCGGCGGGCAGGTAAAGCCCATGATCACGACGTGCGACATGCGACACCTCTACCTCGCAGAACCGAAGAATGAGACCCTCATATTACAAGCCAAGGAGTACGAACGTCGGCGGTGCAACCATCAGGATTTGGAGAAGCCGCTGAGTACACTGGAGTGCCTGAGCTCCGTGGTGGATCCCAAGGACAATGCGACAAACAAGCATCGATACGTGGTTGCGGCCAACGATCCGAGCACGCGTGCAAAGATGCGACAGATCGCCGGTGTGCCCATCATATACCTTTCCAAGTCTATAGTGCTCATGGAGTCTATGGCTGATGTGACGGAGCAACACCGTGAGCGAGAAGAAAAATCAAAGTTCAAGTTGGGACTCAAAGGGCAGCGGAAGCCAGACGCGGCCTCGGCCCCAAAGAGAAAGCGAGAAGATGAGGGACAAGCTGGAGAAGGCAGTCAATCTATTGAAGATCAGGCTACGGGAGACGCAAAGCCCAAGGCGAAGAAGCGCAAGGGCCCCAAGGGACCCAACCCGCTGAGCGTCAAGAAGCCGAAGAAGGACAAGACGACCCAGCCCAGTGCTACCAAGAAGTCGCGGCCGTCTACATCTGAGACCAACGGGGGAGACAGTCAGAGGGGCGACCGGGAAGAATCAGCACCTCGTAAGAGGAGGAGGAAGCACAAGTCCAAGGCTGATGATGGCGGCGATGCGCCGGATGGAGGAGAGCCTGCTTCGCCATGATAGCCGGAGCAGAAGATCTGGGTCCAAGTGTGGACCACATGCGATACCCGACATACTGGAGGCTGTCACGTCTGAGAGCCGAATCGGCGGGACGGCATACCCTGATCGTATGTCATGCATAGTATAGGTCAATTGGGGCGAGAGCGTTGGAGGCAAGGACCTCGAGAAGATAGCCCTATACTCTCTTGCCTTGTGCAAGGAGATCAGAGACCTTGGGCGGAAGAACAAGCGCACTCCGGTCGTTGCGCTTCACAAACTCGACCACAACTTCAGCAGTCTTTTCCGGGAGGTCCTCGTGGAGGAAATGTCCAGCGGCAGGAAAGACCTGGAGTTGGAATTTACCTACATTACATTAGATACCTCATCAAAAGCGACAAGGCGTTAGACATACCTTGCATTTGCCCAATCATCAGCTCCTTATCCAGCCTGTCGGTTCCAGCGAGCAGCAACAACTTAGCACCCTTCCCGCTCAGGAACTTGCCGCTCATGCCCGTGAACCAGTTCTCCCAATACGGCTCTGTGCTCGCAAGCTCTGTCCGCCATGCCCACCGCCCATCCGAGTTCTGCAGTAGCAGGCTTGGTACGCTTGCTCGCGCCGACTGAGGGTTACGTATCGTTCGTGATCGGATGTGCCACTCGATAGCAGCAGGTAGCGAAGGGAACGACTTGGGCCTACTCGCAAGGTAAGTGTGCATATGTGCCAGTGTTTCCATGGCCGAGCCTTCGACAACATCAAGCACTCCAAAGCCTAGCAGCTTGTTTCCTAATAAGCCCTTGTTTGCAGCGTCGGTGACGACTGCACCACCCAGACTGTGTCCTATCAAAACAATCTGTGGGAGCTCTTTCCAATTCATCTTGCTCTGGGTCAGCGACAGCATGTCAACTAAATCTTGACTGAGCTGCCCAATGCTCAGGTCGTTGTCCACCTCTCCACTAGCGTTCCACACTACACTTCCGTGGTCGCGTGCTTCGACAGCTAAGATCCCGATTTCTGGCATGGCCCTGCGAATCTCCTTGGCTGCCAGCGCAAAGGACATTGCTGAGCTTCCGGCGCCATGGTGGAGCACTACCAAGGGTGCTTTCACTGTCGCCGGCGGTGTGAGGTATACATGAAACTTGGCATGCCCTGATCCATCCCTGCGCTGTTCAAGATAGAACTCCTGGGCGTAGTAGTCGGACCAATGTATTGCGGGGGCGGGTCTTAGTGTATGTGACGGTCTGACAGTGCCGGTGCTAGACATTGACGATGCCGAAGACGAGTCATCTTCGTACTCGGGAGGCTCCTCCTGCACGGGCTCCGGCGGTGGCAGGGAAGAAAGTTTAGTCTTTGCGAACTCTCTAGCCAAGCTGGACATGGTGGCTTGGGCGAGGCTGTATTCGTGTCAAAAAATCAGGGTTTCGTGAGCGTGGAGATCCGCCCGTCAGTGATTGGCCGCTAGCTTCTCTTCAGCGTTCCAATATGTCGTGGCCTGGAGGCGTGAGGGGAATTGACGCAGGCGGGGTGCTATCAGATAGACGGCAGGGATAAAGGCCAATGTTTTAGCGAGAGGCCGTTCGAGGCAAAAAGAGATGCATCGCGAAGCCCGTTTCGCAGTCCAATGACGTAGCGGCGTTAGACGACAGTGAGATACGGCACGAGGCTGGGCGGTACCGTGGAGATGGTTGGTACGTGGTAGGGATCGCTTGGGGGTTTTCGCGGGACGATCTAGCCTTCTGATTTGCGCTAGTCGCGAACTTGGATGAACTGTGATGATGACGTCGGTCGATCTTTGGCTTAGCGCGTCAAGCATAAGTAAAACCTCCACGCCCCCGGTCACCTTCCTGGAAGCTTCACGAGCTTTGAATAGCTCCAATCTTTTCCAATCTTTCCTAGGACCTCTACAGACACTTGCAAATCACCGATAAGTGTTATCGTCCGCTCAAACTACCATATCGCAGGTGTTTGTAGCTCCAAGAGCTCGCAATGACCAGCATGTGGAAAGGCAATGACAACAACGACAATAGCGGCCAGGGCCTTCTGTCAGCTCAGGAGCCCACACCAATTTCCAACGACGATGGAGCGTCGAGGTCGTCGCGCAGAAGTAATGGGGCATCGAGGAGAAGCGAAGAGCCCAACGAGAGGACGCGTCTTCTCGACCGTCCGAGACCACCACCCAATTCAGATGGCTACCTTGATCCAGATGACCCAGCTGTGAGTTGTCTGATTGTTTTATCGAAATCTATCTAATGATGCCAGGTATCGCCATACAACCTATGGACAGTTCGTGCTATGCGCTACTTGACCATCCTCTTCCTAGTAATCACCTTCTTGTGGTGGGTGCTTTTGCTAGTATCCATCTTCGTTTCCCCTCCTGGCCTACACACTCGTGGATCCGGCTTCTTCGACTTCGCCTACACATGCCTCACCCTTGGCAACCTTCTCGTCGCAACCATCTTCTTCGTTACTCCTGCCAGAGGTCTGCGCATCACTACGGCCATCATCGCCGGACTCCTAGCCATCGATATGATCCTCATCTTAGCAATTCCTCGCATCAGACTCGAGGAAGGCTGGGTCGGTATCGCAAGTGTTGTCTGGGCTTTCGTCATGGCTGTGTGGTGTATCCTGACCGATCGTGTCGTCGCATACGGCAAGCACGAAGAGGAGGAGCGTCTTACTGGCCGCGCCGAGACGCGTCGCACACTCAAGGAGTGGCTTGCTATTACCGTCGCTACGATCCTTACCGTCATCTTCATCATTATTGTCATCTTGATGACTGGAACTCTCGGCATGCGTGGCCGCGACGCAACACTCAAGATGTATGGTGACCGCATTCTTGTAGACGGCGACAAGTACGCCGTGCATCTCGCCTGCGTTGGAAACGTTACCCAGACCCACGGCGTCAACGACCCTACCATCCTCCTCGAGGCGGGCGAATCGCCATTGGAGTACGACTTTGAGCATTGGGCCTACGCAGCTTACAAGAACGGTACCATCTCCCGCTACTGCTACTGGGACCGCCCCGGCTATGCTTTCTCTGACAACGCACCCTCCCCACACTCGGCCGGCATGTCCGCGGACGCATTCTCAGAAGCTCTTGCTAAGGCTGGAGAAGAGGGTCCTTATATCCTCGTGTCTGCTGGTACAGGCAGTATCGTCTCTCGTATCTTCAGCTCGCGCCACCTGAAGCAGGTCGTTGGTATCATGATGATCGATCCTCTCCACGAGGATCTTCTTCACCGCATCGGTGGCCCCGGCCGTGGTTTCATCCTCTGGGCTTGGGGTATCATTTCACCAATCGGCACCGTCCGTCTCGCAGGCGCGCTCTTCAAGGGACGCACTCGTGAAGACCGTGTCTACGGCCGCAACGCATACCAGTCCGGAAAATACATCAAGGCACAACTTCAGGAGAACCTTGTCGCTGACAGCCTCACCAAGAATGAGGTCTCGTCTGCTAGGAACATTCAGAGCGCCAACACCCCGCTCGTCGTCGTCTCCAGTGGTATCAAAGTCAAGACTGATTCTGAGTGGGAGCGAAAGCAGAAGGATCTGACTACTCTCACTGACAACCTCGTCAGCTGGGACATCGTCAACAAAGCGCCCCACCAGGTTTGGGACACACTCGACGGACGCACTGTCATGGAGAAGCGTCTCAAGCAGCTTGTCAAGGCTGCGGCCAAGGTCAAGAGCGAGACCCAGGAGGAGTAGGAATACAGTGAACGGGCTATCACGTGTTAGCGATGCAGTTTCGGAAAACTCTTCTCCTCTCAAAGTTGATGCTTAATTTCTATTGTGTACTGGGCTTTCCTTGGCATACCCTACGGCGTTGCATGGTTAGGTTCATTGTCTTTCTCACGAGCACATATCAGATAGTAGTCTAATGTCTAAGACCATGCTAAACGACGCTTTCGTATCGCGCGCAAGAGTAATTCGTTTTTTTTTCCGTGTTGTAGAATACATTCATCGTATGCTTTAAAACCCCAACGGCACGGGTAACATTGTAACCCTGGAAACCAATTTTGGGAACTTGTGTACTTGCAATTCCCATTGATGTAGTCGCCACAATAGGTCATAAGCTAGACGACTGAGCCATGAAGATTAGCTGAGGATCACCTGGCGTAGTTCAGGTATGATCAATGAGACAGAATTACATCAATGTATTCTGCAATGAGTACCGATCGATCCGCTCTGTATACTCGCATTCTCCTTCTCGATACTGCAGTGTGAAAGCTCTGTGTTCATGATATCCCCTCTCACCTCCGCCTAAACTTCGATTTCCCAATAACTGGTCTCTTAACCACCCCATCCACATCCGCCTCTTTCTTCTTCACAACGCTCGCTTTCTTAACCACAGGCCCATTCTCCTCCTCTGCAATCCTCCGGTCCTCATTCGCCTTGTCGACCGCCATCTGCGCTTCTAACTCGGCTTTCCGGTTGAATTCCGTTTCCATGATACGCTTATCCCTCGCCGAATACCCTTTCTCCTTGATGCTGTAGAAAACCGCGCCCATGTCTGCCAGCCAGTGTGGATCCACAGAAGTGACACACGACATGTACTCTTTACTCGTGAGGATAAGTTCGTGGTACACGACGTAGTCGGGCAAGTAGCCCAACCCGTACAAAGCAGACGTAGGATGGAGTTGGATAGTGACGCTAGTACGCAGGTTGATGTACTCGCCTATACCTTTCACCTTGGCAGCTTGGTGGTAATAGCCCGAGCAAATGCATTTACGTATCACGTCCCAATCAGTACCACACGAGACGAGCTTCATCTTCTGCTTAGACATGATGTCGTATATCTGGTCGCGAATTTCCTTTGCGCGGCGCAGCGCTTTGGGGTGCAGGAAGTGGCGGATACACCAGCCGTCGGAGTAGCCGTTGACTTTCCATTGCGTGTAGACGTGTAGGAGGGTGAGGTGGTCAGACTCCGGGACGAAGAATTTCTCGCGCGCGGCGTCGGATTCTTCTTGACGTTCTTTCGGGCGGTAGAAGACGGAGGGCACGGAGAGCATGGCGACAATTGTGAGCATTTCTTCGCTGCATTCCATTTCTGTGGCTGTGATGATGAGCTTTGCGAGTGAGGGGTCCATGGGGAAGGCGGTCATGGTGCGGCCGAGTTCGGTGAGGTTGCCGATGTTGTCGAGGGCGCCGAGGGCCCAGAGGTCGAAGAGGGAGGTTGTTATTGTGTCTTGGGGTGGTGGATCCATGAAATCGAAGTCTAGCAAGTCTCGCACGCCGAGGGATTTGAGGAGAAGGACCGTATTGGCGAGGTTTGTTCGTTGGATCTCTGGGATGGTTTGAATGTAGAATTCATCCCTGAAAGCTCTCTCGGTGTACAAATGGAAACACTTTCCAGGTCCAGTACGTCCAGCGCGACCAGCACGTTGAGAGGCATTGGCCTGTGAGATGGGTGTGATCTGGAGCGTGTCCATGCCCATCTTCGGGTTGTAAACCTTGAGCTTAGAAAATCCGGCATCCACCACATACATGATGCCGTCCACCGTCAAACTCGTTTCTGCAATGTTGGTGGCCACGATGACCTTGCGTACGCCGGGTGCTGCTCTGTCGAAGATCTTTGCTTGCAGATCAGCAGGCATCTGACTGTAGATTGGAAGAATACTGAGTTTTGGCGGGTCGTTGAGAAGTTTTAGCCTTTCGGCTACCAGCTCGCATGTGATTTCAATGTCTTCCTGACCCGTCATGAAGACCAGAATGTCGCCAGGCCCCTGCGAGACATGTATGGCGAGGACCTGCTTGACTGCGCTGTCGACGTAGTCCTCGCATGGGGACCGCGAGTATTGGATATCAACAGGGAATGTTCGCCCTGGAATTATGAACTCGGGAGCTCCTCCGTAGAAGCGTGAGAAACGTTCCGAGTTCATGGTAGCTGATGTGACGATTAACTTGAGGTCTCTTCTTCGTGCCAGCACTTTTTTGAGAAGCCCCATCAGTACGTCGGTGTTCAAAGCTCTCTCGTGGGCCTCGTCCATGATGATACAGGAGTATTTGTCCAGGTCTGGCTCCACCAATGACTCTCGGAGTAGCACACCATCTGTCATGTACTTGATCTTGGTCTCCTTGCTGGTGCAGTCTTCGAAACGAATAGCATATCCGACCTGTCCACCAAGTTTCACCTCCATCTCTTCACTCACACGTTTCGCAACACTCATGGCTGCGACACGACGAGGTTGCGTACATCCGATAAGCCCTTGCTTCGCGTACCCATCCTCAAAAAGGAACTGGGTCAGTTGAGTCGTCTTTCCAGAACCCGTCTGACCGACCACAATAACGACTTGGTTGTCTCGAATCACGCGTAGGAGGTCTTCCCGGACTGCGAAGGCGGGAAGGTATTGTCTCTGCTCTCGGAGAGTCTTGCTCTTACTGAAAGCACTCGCACCCTCTTGTTTACTGAGATGCTGAGCAAACTTGCTGCCGCCCTGCTTCTCCTCGTCTTCGGGGCCTGGGGCAGCACTATCCGTGTCTTCTTCTTTGACCCCCATGATATTCCCCAGCGTTGTTCCCTTCGCACTTGTAGCCTCCTGCGTCTGTTTCGCGCGCTCTTTCTGTTGGCGTTTCTCCTTGACAACACGACTACCACGCCGACTGAAAACAGCCATATCGCTCTGCGGGTCGCGTACTGCAGGTACAGGGTCGATTTGCTTGGTGAAGACAGTCTTTCCGTCTAAAAACGGAGGCTTCAAATCGTGCACAAGGATATGTACCCGCATCGCGTCCTCTTCGTCATCGAAGTCGTCGTCAAGATGTCTCCTCTGGGCCACTCCAGACTGCAACATGCGGTTGGTTTCCCAAGCATCTACATCCTTCTGCTTCTGTTGCGCGCGCATACTTGCTCGGTTGTTCTGTTTCTTCTCGGTCATAGCAGCTTCCCGTTGTGCATCCAGCCATGTGCTCTCGGCACCACCAAAGGGATTGTGGGTATCGTCTCCAAAGGTATGTCCGTTTTCCTCACCGCCGTACCAGTCGCGATCCAGCGCCATGGAATCGAAGTCCTCCACCAGAGGTTCTGATCCTTCCAAAGGCCGCTGCGATGGGGTTGCGCCATTATCGCGCGAGTTTGGCGTATGCCGGGCAGAGGCAGGTTGGTTGGGCTTGCGAAACTTGGGACGGGGCGCAATAGAGTATTCTTCCGGGTCGAGCTTGCGCCGTTTTGGGCTGTGACCGCGTTCCATAGTAATTGAGTTGCCAAAGATGCTTATAGACGAGACAGGGCGAGCGAGCGTATGGAGGGAGGGCGATGGCGGGTGAAGTAGCTATGAGGGTTGAGACGTCGAGAAAGTTGATGCTCTCGGGAGTCCGCAATTGTCGCTATCGATAACGACGAGCTTCAGCCAATCGTTGCGGGGCGCCCAAAATTATTTCCAACCTTTTGAAAAAAGTTCCCCACGCGACTTGCGCTCTCACTGCGCATTTTACTTCACATTACCAGCGCAATGTCTATGATTACAGCGACGACATGGGTGCCGCGCGGCTTTGCGGCGCCCTTTCCTTCCCGGTACCAGTTCGACGAGGACGAGTACGAGCGCATATCCAAGCTGGCAAACCTCCAACTCGAGGATGCCAAGGAAGATCTCGAGGAAGCGCAAGCTGAGGAAAGGAGTAAGAACGGAACTTCGACCAAGGCCTCCAAGAAGGACGATGAGTGCGTGCACTCAATAAACAGAATACCTCAAAGACTAACGACTGGAAAGGGACGATGATGACGACCTCAAGGAATACGACCTCGAGCACTACGATGACGATGTTGCTGAAGACCAGGGCGACACCATGGCCATGTTCGGCAACGCGAAGAACCTGGTTTTCCACGAGAACGACGAGGACGACCCGTACATCACTATGAAAGGCGGCGAGGAAGAGGATGAGGAAGATCGTGAGGAGCTTCAAATCCTGGCTACAGACAATTTGGTTCTGGCTGGTCGCATAGAAGACGAAGTCGCGCATCTTGAAGTCTATGTATACGAAGATGAGGACGATAATCTCTACGTGCACCACGACATCATGCTGCCCGCAATCCCACTTGCCGTCGAATGGTTAGATCTGCCCGTAGGCAAGTCGGTAGGCACAAGTGAAGGCAGGGGAAACTACGTCGCGGTTGGAACCATGGATCCTGATATCGAGATCTGGAACTTGGATGTGGTGGACAGCATGTACCCCGATGCTGTACTTGGACAAGGCGCCGAAGATGCGATGAAGGCAGACAAGCCCAAAAAGAAGAAGAAGAAGTCGAAGAAGGCCAACGACGAGTTCCACGTCGATTCAGTCCTCTCACTCGCAGCCAACCGACAACACCGAAACTTCCTCGCTTCGTCATCAGCAGACAAGACTATCAAGCTGTGGGACTTGAATACGACAAAGTGTGCCAAGTCATACACGTACCACACAGACAAGGTCTGCTCCGTAGCCTGGCATCCCGTCGAGGCCACTGCTCTTCTCAGTGGTAGTTACGACAGGACTGTGGTGGCAGCCGATGTGCGCGCACCCGATGCAAAGGCGCCACGATGGGGTGTTGAGAGTGATGTCGAGACTGTGCGGTGGAATCCTCACGACCCCAATTACTTCTACGTAAGTGTGGCAGCACCAGCTTGATCACGTCGTACTAACAACTTCAGGTCTCTACTGAGAATGGTATGATACACTACCACGACGTTCGCAACGCGCCAAAAGACCCCTCTGCCTCAAAACCAGTCTGGGTACTACAAGCTCATGACGAATCCATCTCTTCATTCGATATTAACCCAGTGATACCCGGTTACCTGGTCACAGGCTCCACAGACAAGCAAGTAAAACTGTGGAACATTCAAGACAACGGTCCCAGCATGGTTGTATCGCGAGATCTAGGTGTGGGTCGAGTATTCTCAACATCTTTTGCACCCGACAAAGAAGTGGGTTTCCGCCTCGCCGTCGCAGGTAGCAAAGGTGCAGTCCAGATCTGGGACACAAGCACCAATGCGGCCGTGCGTGCGGCTTTCGCGACCAAGGTCCCCGCTATCAGAGGAGATGGCAAGGAGAGGCTCGTGGGTCTGGAGGAACAGGACACAGACTCCGATACCGAGGAGGGCGAGAGCGACGAGGAGGGCGCCGAAAACGGTGACGAGAAGGGTTGGGAGTCGATGGAGGAGGACTAGACGATGATACCCTGGGCATGTAGGACCTAAGAAGCGTCGCGAATGTACCAAGATCTATGCTATGAGTACGGTGTTCTATATTCTGCACAATCAAGCCATCTGTGAAGCTTGTCCCCGCAACACTCGAGGCCGTGTTTCGCGGGTCGCAATCGCGAGTCATGTCCCGCACACGTTTCGAAAATTGTCCGAACCAGCTCGCCCTTACTTTTTAGCTCCTTTCATCTCATCTGAATCGAGTAGCCTCACCATGGCGCAGCATGATTCATAGTGGACTATTGTAATGACATCACTATCACCACGAGCAACCAAAATCAATAAACGATGTTCGATAAACTCACATTCGTTTTCTCAGCCATGGCATGAGCGTGACAAAGCAAAGTAGGAACGAGCGGGCGAACTCACAGCACTGGGCAGTCAGCAAGCGGCCGGCTGATCTGCGTTCGCAGCTCACATCGACACCAAGTGGACCACGCTGCCTCAGGTTGCGATCTCGCGAGATGACGGCCAGATCGTTACTCCCAGGTTACCCGGCCTCGGCGCTTTGCAGTTTCGAAACCACCAAGGCCACGCAAGGCAGAAACGCCAAACCATTTCCCCTTTGATGATGCCCATGGCCAGCACACTGACATCCTCGGAGGATGCGAGACAGCTGTCTATTCGTGCGTCTGCAAGGCACGCGTGGCGTCGAGTGAGCGGCCTGCTTTGGGCGCTTCTGCATAAGGTTCTAGAGTGCCATGTGACCGGATTGGGAGGGGGTTGACAGAAACGCCGTCCCCAACGCAACCACGGTACCGTTTGCGCAGGCATCGGTGCTTATCCATAATGACATGCTATGCGTGCGCTGTCGGGGCTGAATGAAAGCTGTGCCTCCGACGTCCGACTGCACCTATTCGTCGCATATTTCTCCGTCATCTCACATGTCAATGCCGCGCGACAGGAAAGGGAAGGCCCTTGATTCAGCTCGGCAGCAGACCTCTCTTGTGGGAAGTGTTGAAACAGCGGGCCTTTGCAGCCCCAACCAAAGGCGTGCGGATCAGCTAAACAGGCCAACGAGTCCCGGCTCAATCTGAGACGAATGGGCGGTAGATGCACTCTGTGCGAAGCGATCCCATTCGCCCGCTATAGAAAACGTATCACTCACTAAACTTAGCCGGGCTGTGTCGACGCCACTAACTCAGCATCCCAGGAACCAATAGATCCTGATTCGCTGCTTTTTGCTTGGTTCTGGCCTCCCCCCCGGTCATTCCTACCAATCTTCGAGAGACATGTCGACGCGGCTTGGTTAGCCTGCCGCCCCGGGGATGCTGGTTTTTCAACCCATTGAGTCGCTCTATCGCGCGCCGCCCTCATCTTCAGGCTTCCTCCCTTCCTTTGCCTTACGCGCTCTCATTGCCTTCCACAGCAGCCATCATTCCCTCATTTCGCGGCCCGGTGTTCGCTCCTTACGACACAGCTGGTCTCTACGCTCTTTGACAGACGAACTTACTTCACATCCACCATTCATTCTTCACCCCATCGCTAAACGCCGCGATATCAGTATCAGAAAACCGAAAATCAAACAAAGAACCCAGGACCCAAGGACTCGACTGGATCACTTGACGCAACCGTGCCGGTCTCTCAAGCCAACATCTTAGCCGCATCTGTACTACAATTACGACTCCGAAATCCACAGAAATCCAGTGCACTGTTACACTGCAAAGGGGCACGCGTCCAAATACACAACCGATAGCACAGCGTGATCTTTTCCAGATCCTTTCTAGAACACGGCGACAAACGCATTAGTGCAACTCTAGCTCGCGACTGTTTGGATCTCGTGCCGGCCTCAAGCGCAATCTATCTCAGGCAGTACCCCGCATATCTGCATTGCACCAAAGTAGCGACCAACTACAGTCACCGCCAGAATTACCGGCCCCAGAACCGACAGCTGGACCCTTATCTGCAATATCGCACATCTACTTTGAATTAATCCATCAATATGTCTCTCGCTCGTGCCATGACAAGGCGCATTAAGCGGACGGAAGAGCCGAAGGACTCGACGGTGTCGCCAACTCGCAGCCAGAGTGTCAAAATGCCCATCAACAACTTTGACCGTTCGAAGATCTCTCTTCCTATCGCCTTGGTGTCGACTACCAACATGCTTTCGTACAACGCGCCTGACATCTCGACCCTCAGGAATGTCTCGTCTTCAACTTCCCTCAGCCACTCCTCGGCGGACGACTCGGACCACAGTGTGTCAACACGCTCCCGGGCATCCTCGCATGGTTCAAGAGACACCACTCTCACTGATGCCTCCTCTGTGGCGTCTTCACCCATCTCGCCCGCGCCCAACCACCTGTCCGGCTACTTTTCATCCTCTGGCAAGCAACTGAAGAAGTCCGCCTCAACTACCAGTCTTAAGCAAGTCAAAGAGGAGACTGTAGAAGCAGTGCCTGCCATTCCTCAGAGGGCTCTCTCGCACAGCAAAAAGGCACATGAGCGATTGGCGCACAAGCGATCGCTTCAGAATGTCAGCACTCGCGGCAGCATGAATTCGCGTGGGAGCGTAGGTTCTGCACGCCACTCGCGCGAACAGCGATCATCGCTCGACATGTTCAAGGGCACGATTGAAGAGGAGAACCACCCCTTTGGCCGAGAACTCGAGCAACTGAACGAAGTCGTAGAGGAGTTTGGCGGCGTAGTACGAGACGCAGAGACCGAAGCGGACATTTCCATCATGCGCTCGAAAAATCTCGCAGCTTTCTGCGCTGCCGACTACCTCTCGGAGATCCGCCCACTTTTCAGCCATCGATTCGCCATCAAACACCAAGCCGCACCCATGGCCTGGATTTGATCAAGTCTCCTTACTGCACTCCCTGGACGGTCTCCTTTGCTCTCAGCCCTATACCTTAGACAATGTCTTACGCTCTCGTTTCCGTGTACATACTTATAGGGACTGTGATCCCCACCACTCTTTGGTCTAATTCTAGTTTCTCATTGTTTTACTATCTATTTGCTGGCCTGGTTGGAAGGAACGCGGTACGGCGTTTCGGACTGCCAGCGTCAGGCTTGGGTACTAATCCCACACTATCTCTAACGATCTCTCATGTTTGTCTTGTACGATTTTATTGAAGAAGCGGTTAGCCGCAGGCGCTGTTGGAGGAATACGATGCATGGGTTTGGGTTGGCTGGACGTGGTGGTCACACTGCGCTCATGTCTTACTCCGATGAACGTGCTTCAAAATTGAAATGTACATATACATCTTATCTATCTTCCTGCCTGATTGTGATGTCTTCCGATTACCCTGTCGCCCAGCAGCGTCCATGGGACCTGACAAAACTGGAAGGTGCCATCTGGGGCGTAGCACCTGCCGAAACCACAACCACAACCATGACAACCACCACATGCCCACATGTGAGCCCTGAGGCCGTTCAGGAAGAAGCATGAGGGAGCCCATGCACCAAGCATGGTCCTCCTGAGCTCAAGCACACAGCGGGCGGCAGACAAGGATGCCCTCTAGCGCGACCCGGAATCGGCGAAACACCTCGGCAGCCCTCCGATTCCATCTCAAACTTTTGACCAGCAACAACCCCAAAGTCGAATTGAAAGCGCCCCCCACGCACGCCCAGGATGATATGTCGAACCTGTCTGCGCAGCGCCTCGCGCGCCCAAATAACCTCCTCCACACGCCCGCACCCCATGCGCTTCCTCACCACCACAACCCCCCTCCGCAACGCAACACCCATATCCGCCAGCACCGCAACGCAATCCGCCGGCCGTCAAGGCGACTCGACTTCCTCGCACACCCCGCCAACCGCGACTTCCACATCCGCCGCCCAGCCCTTCAGCGAGCCGTTAACACCAGCCGCGAGTCCGGATTTGAAAGCCACGGCAGCGGAAGCCGCGAAGAAGAAGGCTGCCCCGCTGGTGAAAAGCAGTATACCAGCTGGACAACCACTGAAGGGGTTGAATTTCCTGAAAGACAGGCAGGATCCCGTTGCGTTGGCTGACGACGAGTATCCGAGTTGGCTGTGGACGATATTGGATCGGCAGGAGAAGAAGGCGGATGCTGGGGCGGGAGATTTGTTCTGTATGTCTCCCTCACACTCATACTCTCACCCATACCCCTACCTCATAGCATGGAGAAGCAGAACAGTTTTACTAACTACTCCCCAGCGAAATCAAAGAAACAACGTCGTCTAGCCGCAAAACGCCTCCGCAAGGAACAAGCCATGAACCCGGAGATGCTGGTACCCAAAGTACCGCTATACGAACAGACGATTGATTTACCGGCTGGAGACGGTAGTTTGCAGGGGGCGGTCAAGGCACAGGATGCAAGAGAGGAGTTGACAAAGGCGATGAGGAATAAGCGTAGGGCGGGGATTAAGGAGGCTAACTTCTTGAAGGCTATGGGTTAGATTGTGGAAGAGCTTTTCTGCTGGTGGTGTGAAATATGGGAGCTGCACGACTATCACGACATGTATAAACATCTGTGGGGTTAGAGATATGTACCATGTAGAGTGGACATGTTGACTGGGGCGAAGCACACGCTTGGCTTGATTACTCTCAGCATGCATTGTAAAACAAGGATACCGAGAATAAGTGTTCGAAACGTGGACTCACAGTACACCATATAACTACTTTTAACACAGCCCAACGACCTAACAAAACGCCACGAATGCACTCTCATCCCCATCAATCTACGCAACATCCACAAACCCCCTCTTCTTCCTATTCTCCTCCCCATCCATCTTATCCACATCCTCCCACCTCACCAATTTGGCTTCATCCACCCTCTCACCCACAAACCTCAACGCCGCAACGTTAAACCCAATCAAGTCCTTGTTGCCCATGAGCGTACTCCGCAAATCACTGCGCATACCCTCTAGCACAGTCTTGAGTTCGCGACTCGACACAATCTGCTTCTGATGCGTTTTGAGCATGAAGAAGAGGACGCGGCATGTCAGTGTTACGTTCCACTGTTTGCGCACCCAGATAGCGAGGAAGGTGAAGAGAGCAGGGAGGGAGGAGAAGGGCAGGACGAGGAGCGCGTCGTGCAGTTGTGCAGCGGGGATCTTGGAGAGGGTGTTGAGGACGTGGCGCTCGGCGGAGATGTTGCCTAGAGCGAGGAAAAGGGGGTTACGCTGTGGCGGCGCGATTTTAGGGTTGTTTCTGCGTTGGGCTTCCCAGTCTCGGACGACTTCGAGGTCGGCGATGCCTAGATCCAGCGCTTCTTGGATGCGCTCTCCAGCGGTGAGGGTCGTGATGGTTTGTTTGCTTGCGTCGACGGCTTCGGCGCGGGCGCCCGTGGGGTCTTCGTCGTCTTCGAGGTTGGTTGCGAGAGTCTTTTCGTACATTTCTTCCAATTCGCGTTCACGCTCTTCTTCGAGGAAGATGGGTTCGTCAGAGCGGGTCCAGATTCGTATGCTCTTGTCGTGACTGGCTGTCACAATGAAGTCGCCTGTTCGCGCGACGGTCATGGCCCAGATCTCGCCGTGGTGGCCTCTGAACTTCTGAACTTGCTGGAATTTGTCACCGTCCCAGCTCTTGATTGTGCGGTCCTTGGAGGCGCTGAAGAAGATGTGGCGTTCGTCGTTGTCGACGGGGTGCGGGATGAAGGATATTTGCATGATGCTGTCTTCGTGGCCGAAAAGCGCTTTGTGGCAGTCACCAAAGTCGAGACCCCAGATGCGGACGTTCTTGTCGGCAGAACAGGTCGCGATGAGTTTGCTGTCGCTGGAAATCGACATGTTGAGTACAGGCAGCTTGTGGCCGTACAGGTTGAGGAAGAGCTTTAATGAGTCTACGAAGAAGACTTTCACTGTGTTGTCGAGCGTTGCTACGGCAAGTAACTTGGAGTCGGGCGAGAACTGCACGCTTAGAACGTCGTCGTTGACCTTGAGTATACGCGATTGGGACAGCTTCAAACGAGGTGTTGTGCGTTTTGTTCCCGGTATTTCTTCCTGGACAATGTCGAAATTCCAGAACTTGATGGACTTGTCGGCACTGCCAGTGGCGAGTGACTTTCCGTCGGGATGTACTTGCATAGTCCAAACAGCTCCCTCGTGTGCGTCGATCTTGTCCAGCAATGTGGATGCCGCTATGTCGTACAATTCGATATCGCCATCCTTGGTTCCTACAACAACAATCTTGTCTCCTGGTAAGAACGCGCAGCAAAGTGCATAGCCGCATTCTAGAGTGCGCAAGCAGTTTTGTGTCTTGACATTCCAAATCTTGAGTCCTCCACTTGACGCAGATGCCAGCATGCGATCATCGGAGCTGAGTGCAAGTGCTCGTACATCGTTTCGGTGGCCAGAGAGTTCAACAGATAGTGTGCGGCTGTAGTCGGGTGCCTCATCGCTCTTCGTCTTGCTTCTTTGGGGTATCTCGTAAACGTCGATGAGGTTGTTGTTTGTGCCAACCAGTAGCTGTAGCTTCTTCGTTCCTTTGATGTGCATCCAGGCGACTGATCTCACTTTCCCGGCTGTTCGTACGGTCACATAGGGCACAAAGACTTCGCCAATCTCAGCATCCGCAGCGTTGACCTTGTCGTCAGCATCAGCGTCGTCCTGCATGTCTCCGTTTGTCTCGATCTTAGCCTTTTCTCGCCTCCTCTTCCTCTTCCTGATCAAGGCTTTGCGGACCTCTTCTGGCGTTTTTATCCGCCATATCTCAACGGCCTTCTCTGCGCCATGTACCGCAATGTAATCTGCTTTGGCGTAAAAAGAGATTCCTTGTGTCCTGTCCTTGCCCGACCGGTATAGTATGCCTCTGGATGTAAGGTATTCCTGTTCAAATCCTTCACCAATTGCTGAACCTGCTCTTCGAAGACCTGCTTGGTCGATAGCCCAGACTTTGAGTTCTCCGTCGTTACCGGCAGTTATGCAACCGCTACCATCCGGTGAAACACCAAGAGCCCAGCATTCTCCGTTGGTTTGTGCAATGTGCGTCTCGATGCAGTGCTGAGTGGTGACATCCCAAATCTTGATCAAGGCGTCTTTGCTGGTAGATAGCAAAAAGGCCTGGTCCGCGTCTACGTCCATCTCCTCGTCCTCCGCACCATCTTCCTGTGGTGCACTACCGGGATGGAGGAATTGCAGGCCGGTAATTTGGCCCTTGTGCCCTCTCAGCTTGAACAAGCCGGTTTCCGAGACCAGATCCCACACAACGATGTCCGTATCCTTGGCACCACTCGCCAGCCTTACTCCACTCTGGTCAAAAGTCAAAACTGTGACTGCGGATTTGTGTCCGTTGAAGCTGATGATGACTGTCGATGTTCGCGCATCCCATATGCGTATGCTTCCGTCGGCGTAGCCCACGGCGAAGACGTCTGGATCGATATCGCTCCGGCAGATTACGGTGACTTCCTCGGTACAGGTGTTATCGCGCCACCTGCTCATGAGTTCACCCTTCTTTACATCCCAGCATAGCACTTCTTCGTTGGCGGCAGCGTATGCGCGTCCGGCGCCTGCGACTCGACTCGAACCGGGCTGCGTAAGGCCTTCGGGGGTCCATATGATGTTGGAAGTGGCAGTCGCGACCACGCCGAAAGCATCGGACTGCTCATACTTGCTATGAATTAGTTAGTACGAGCTCTATTCGAGTTGCGCTGCATATGCGCATTACCTGTATGATTTGACCATTTTGCGCCGCCTCTATAAAAATCCGGATACTAGGTGAGGGGAGGATTCAAAGGATCTCAGAGTCAGTCTCTTCAGGTCATTGCGCTCCTCAGACAATGTTCGCGGGTATGCGCCACTGGTAACGGTCGGGTTGGGAGTTGGTTACCTCCTCGAAACTTTTTAGACAAGGGCCAACCCCACGGATTGCGCTAGACCCACCTTCCAGCATCACAGCACACCTCCGTCCTCCGCATCACCGCCCTCGAATAGCTCCCCGCCCGACGACGCCCACCCGCCTACGAGGAGCTGAACCGCCAACATGCTTCTTCTCGACTATCAAAACGTCCTTATCGAATCTCTCCTAAGGGAACGAATCAATGGGTGCGCCATACCCCGCTGCCTTCCGCTCCGCAGCACCAACAGCCAGGTAGCTAACAGTACATAGAGGAGCTACCGCCAACATTGACCAGGTCGTCTCCGACTTCGACGGCGTCACCTTCCACATATCAACCCCGGAGAGCAAGACCAAGATACTAGTGTCGCTGCACATCAAGTGCTTCAAGGAGCTGGTCCAATACGGCGCGCAGGCAGTGCTGGAGCGAGAGTATGGGCCGTATATCGTGGAGCCAGAGTCTGGCTACGACTTCTCGGTGCTGGTAGACTTGGAAAACTTGCCAGAAGAGCAAGGTATGATCTGTCGTCGGACTGTTGAGACAAGATGCTGACGGTGTCCAGATGCCAAAGAAGATCTGGTCAGGCGTGTGTCCCTCCTCAAGCGCAATGCCATGGCTGCACCCTTCGAGCAAGCCTTCGACGAGTTCCATGAGTTGCAAGAGGAAGCTTCCAAGTACACATCCGAGTCGGCGCCACAGGGTGTAGCAGAGGGCGGTGCCGTGCGCGCGATCCACTACCGAGAGGAGGAAGCCATCTACATCAAGGCCAGCCACGACCGTGTCACCGTCATCTTCTCGACCGTATTCAGGGAAGAGACGGACAGGATATTCGGAAAGGTGTTCCTTCAGGAATTTGTTGACGCCAGGCGGAGAGCTATTCAGAACGCACCACAAGTGCTGTTCAGGAATGACCCGCCGCTTGAGCTACAAGGCATCCCCGGAGTTGACAACTCTGGCTCAGCCGAGATTGGTTACATCACATTTGGTAGGAAGCCCAACATCATTGCTCTACGTCCAGCTGACCTCTGCAGTGCTCTTCCCTCGTCATCTCGCCAAGCAACGGCGCGATGAGGTTATTTCGCACATCCAAACCTTCCGCGATTACTTCCATTACCACATCAAGGCTTCCAAGGCCTTCATCCACACAAGAATGCGCAAGCGGACCGCAGACTTCCTCCAAGGTATGTTGTGCCATGTTGCCTGCGCCAGGTTTATACTGATAAACTATAGTTCTTCGCAGAGCCCGACCCGAGACGGAGGAGAAGGAGAAGAAGACAGCCAGTGGCCGTACTTTCAAGGTCCAGGCATAAATGGAAGCGAGAAACTGTTTCGAAGAGAAGCCGGCATGTGCTGAACATGTCCAGTCAATTGAGGAAGGCCGTTCGTGGCCAATGCGAGATGAAGTGTCAGGGAGAGAGCACCATGTAGATAGCAATGATTGAACCCACCTGAGATGTAGGCAAGAGCAAGTCTACCATCACATTCATGCCTGCCTTTCGGTGTATGCCACCAGTCCATACCCAAGTCACTATGCCGTGCGGGGACTAGCGCAAGTCGCGACTGCCACTTTGGACGCGTCCCCTGGCACACACCCACCTTGCGCCAAACCAGCGTTACCCCTCCCTGCAGCCAACCACCATGTCCGAAGGAACCAGGCCAAAATACGACAACCTCCCCGGCATTGATACCGCCCCAGACATCTACGAGACCCCCGAACTTGCCGAAGATGTGTCTACAATCCAAGCCTCTACCGCCGTCTCCGAATCTGACGGCGAAGGCGACGATGACGACCCGGGAGACTCTGCAGTGCGTCACCAGCGACTCCAACCAGATCAAGCTCGCAATCGCTTCCAGCCTTCACGGATAGACGCCCGCGGGGTCGATTTCTCGGACAACATCACCGCACAACGCCAATCCTACCGCACATCAACACGGCGCCAGCGAAGACGAGGCGAGATAATAGGAGATGATAGCGATGAAGAAGAGGAAGGCTTCGCGAAGAAGCTATTACGGATTAAGCGAGAGTTAGCCGGGCTGGAAGAGGAGTACGAACGAAGAGTGGAGAGCGGGGACAAGTCCAAGATTGAGGAGCAAGACCCTAGGGAGTTGATGGAGACCATAGCAAGTAAAGTCGACACAATATACACAGCACACAAGGGCGGGGCGCGGGGCGCACAAGCTATACTGGACCGGACGGTACAAAAGTTTGAGAGCTACAAGCCCTTTGAACCTAGCCCGAAGCTCAGCGAAGCCATCGCAAACAAGCCGCCGCTACCAGGCACCCAGATTCAGAGGGGCCAGCTCGAAATAGTCCTGAACCACGCGGCAGAGTTTGATAAGCGCATAACGCAGATTGAGAACAATCTGGGCCTCAACGGGAACACAATGCCGGAGCTTAGTGATCAAACGCCTTTCCCTGTTGCCTCTACTCTGACGAGGTTGGAGCAGACACTCAGCTTGATCGGGGATGCTTCTAGCAACAGCTTGGACACCGTCACGCAGAACGTCAAGAAGCTCACAGCAGAAGCGGAGCATCTAAAGGAAGTTCGGCAGGAAGCTGCACAGGCCGGTTCAAACTCTGGCGATAACAAGGTAGCAACCTATCCAGACCAGGAGGCCAAGATCAATGCGCTGTATGGCACATTGCCTTCCATCGATAAGCTATCGCCCGTTCTCCCTCTGGTCCTCGAGCGTCTGCGCACATTGCGACTCGTGCACACAAGTGCTTGGCAAGCCGATCAAGTATTGACTCAGCTAGAGAGCCGACAATCAAAGCAGGAGCAAGAAATCAAACGGTGGGAGCGTCAACTTGAGGTTCTGGAGAGGGACTACAAGAAGGCCGAGACCACCACGGTCAACAATGTCAAGACTGTTGGAAATGATGTCAAGATGCTAGAGGAAAAGATGGCCAAGCTGCTTGCAGGAGGCCAGGAGGAGTAAGTGTGCCGTGCGGACTACGACCTCGCGGTCACCACTGCCTTGATCCAGCTCAGCTGTACTGAAGTCACGCGGATATCAATACCCCCGAGATGCTTGCAACAATCCTGTATCGAGACGCCCAGCGCATTCGGTAGGCGTACCCGGTTATAGCATGCCGATCATTTTCGAGATACCCAATAGACAGTTGCTACTCATAATCAATCAAACCAACACCGTGTTCATCTGTGGTTGTCGTCATCTTTCACATGAAGACTGGGAATGGATCATCGTGATACTAAACTTAAACGCCGTCAACGCCACCGGACACATGTTCCCCGGGGGATCAGCCAACCGGAGTGGTTGGCTCTCCGCACGTTAGCGAGTGCCTATCCTGCAAGCTGTGTACGAGGTCGTGGACGCATCTGAGCATAGTTTCGCAAGCACTAGCTGCTATCGCGCCGAAGCATGATCGGTCAACATGAGGAGAACATGGCCACGCTGGGAAGTAATCTTCGCGATGATGCTGCAGTTGGCTAGGTGGAGCAATCGTGGTGTGAGGCAGGCGATAGCATCGGCGATTTCAACGCCCAAGGCCGACCAAATTTATGTTCGAGCTTCCCTTGATTGCTCCTCCGCAACAGCTGAACTTTCTCCCAACCTACCGGAAATCATCGCTAAATCTCCGCAATGGCTAAGCGCAAGAACGAGGCGCCTGCGCATGGCAAGGCGAAAAAGAAGAGAGCCATCTCCGACGACGAGGCGCATAACAATTTCCGCAGTGGTCTCTTCGATAGCAAAGTACTCGAGGGATATACGAGCGAATACGCGGACTCGCAGCCGTATGCATCAATCTCCGCAGCCTCAACCCATGACGTTCTAACTGAACCACAGCTACAAGCACGCCGTAATCCATAACCTCGTCGACGATACTCTTCTACGTAATGTCCGCAACGAAATCCGCGAGCACATCCACTTTACGCCCAAAGAGACCGACATTTACAAGATTCACCAATCCGGCGATCTCGCAAACCTCGATGGCCTCCACGACTCTGCGCTCAAGCGCCTACCGTCCCTACTCACCCTCCGCGACTCGCTGTACTCGTCTGCCTTTCGCAAGTACCTATCTTCGATAACAGGATCTGGGCCATTGAGTGGAGTAAAGACGGACATGGCAGTGGTAGGTTGCGCGACACATTGTCTGAGGAATTGCACTGACTGCGGCGCAGAATGTGTACACACCAGGATGTCACTTGCTTTGCCACGACGACGTCATCGGAAGTCGGCGTGTAAGTTGGATTCTGTATCTGCTGGACCCTGACATTCCTTGGAAACCGGAATGGGGAGGCGCATTACGACTGTACCCAACCGAGCACCTCGAGACACCAGACGGCGATAAGGTTAGGGTGCCACAACCAGACTTTTCGCTATCGATACCGCCGGCATGGAACCAGCTCTCCTTCTTCACCGTTCAGCCTGGCGAGAGTTTCCACGACGTCGAGGAGGTCTACAGGAGAGGGTTGGAGGAGAAGGCAGAAGAAGACGGTGGGCGCGTTCGCATGGCCATCAGCGGGTGGTTCCACATTCCGCAAGAGGGCGAGGAAGGCTACGAAGAGGGTCTCGAAGAGAAGCTGGCAGAGAAGAGCTCGCTTGCTCAACTGCAGGGAGGCAAGGCGGATGTTTTCGATGAGCCGCAATCGCAATGGGTTGACAACCCAGACTGGGAAGAGCAAGCGAAACAAGAGGACGACGAGTTGACCGAGAACGACATTGACTTCCTGATTAAGTTCATGAACCCGAACTACCTGGTACCGGACACAGTAGAGGAGCTGTCCAACATGTTTGGCGACGAGTCATCGTTGCGACTTGCACAGTTCCTATCTAACAAGTTCTCCGCGCGGCTACGGGAGTACCTTGAGTCGAAAGACCACGAGGCGAACCCAAGCCTACCCAACAACCCGCACTCCAAGCAATCGATGGTCGGTGTTGCACGACCGCCACACAAGCAGCGCTATCTCTACCGAAAAGCCATTCAGCCCATACCAACGACACCGTACCCCGAGAACGACGGCATGACACCGTACGACGACCTCGTCGACATTCTCTTCCCGCATCCAGCATTCATGAAGTGGATCTCACTTGTCACCGGTATCACACTCACCAAGAGCAACATCTTTGCGCGTCGTTTCCGGCGAGGTCTCGACTACACGCTCGCAACCGCCTACGAGGAAGAGGACCCCCAGCTAGAAGTCTGCCTCGGCATCACGCCCTCCCGCGGCTGGGGCGACGAAGATGAAGAGCCCGAAGAAGCCGCCGAGGAAGAAACCAAGCAAAACGGCAGTAGCAGCAGCAAAAAGAGCAAAAAGAAGGGCAAAGCTAAGGAACCCGAACCCAAGCCTGAAGAGGAGGTAGGCGGCTACGAAATGTACATGGCCGGCGAAGACGATACCGATCACCCCAGCGTGCCTACCGGTGAAGCCTCAACGTCTACTGGTGCAGGTCAGCGCCGCAAAGCAAAGGCTGATCCTGCTATCTACAAGTCTGCGGCTGATGACGAGGACGATGGTATCTTATTCAGTCAGCCCGCTGCGTGGAACAACCTCGCTATCGTGCTGAGAGATCGGGGTGTATTGCGGTTCACCAAGTATGTTAGTAAGAGCGCGAAGGGGGATCGGTGGGATGTCTGCGCTGAGTATGGGGTTGAGTTTGGGGAGGACGAGGATGATGAGGATGATGAATAGTAGGTAGGTTTGCAGCTTACATCAAGATGAGAACACGCAAAGTAGATGACCCAACGACAATGCAGGCTCGTGGCTTCCATTTTGCCCTCACCTGCGCTCACCAGGTTCATCACTTGTACATCAAATCAGCAATACGTATTTCGGTTCTACAGCATGTCGGCCAACGAGAAGCTGACAAAGCATCTGCTCATCCATATTGAGATTCCACGGCGAAAGACTACTCGAACTAATGACTCTTTCCTCGATTCTAGCCATCAATTCCAAGACTCAATGAAAATGTAGATCTCTTATCGGCTGAGGCAATGTTCTCGAACGATCCGGCGCTCACACGAAGTACCTCACCAGAAAGACATTCGAAATGCAGTTCAAGCTCTGTTGCTCCTATATATCCAAGTGGGACCGAAGCATGACCCCGTACCCCATGACGCGACGTTGACGCGTCACTGTAGGTTGACTTCACACCTGTACAGTGTCCAGACGGGGGCGTAACTCCTTACTAGTGCAAGACTAGCAAGCGGACTCATCCTCCGAAGTGGCCGTTATATCACGAGCGATGAAGTGCGCGTTCGATTCTGTATACCTTTTACGTGTCACCAGATCTACGCGGAGACAGCGGCCATGCCCTATCGTTCCGCTGTTTACGAGTTCCTGGGTCCAGCGGAGCTTACGGTCTAAACGAGGACCTTGCCGCCGAGGATTAGGGGCAACTTGAGGGAGATTTCTTTCTATACAAGCAGTGTTGATTGTCTGCTATCGCGAGGTACATGCAATGACGGTAGTCTGGGCTCCCGGCAACACGACTGGCTTATTGAGGCTTGTAAGAGGCTCCAAGGAGCTGTTGAACAGGAAGGTACTAAACTCATATATGGATGCTTTCCAATCTCCCCAAACTTTATACACCCCTCTCAAACCAGACATTCATCGCCTGCACCGCCGCATCTTCACTCCCGTATAGCTTTGTGAGCTTCTTGACTAATATAGGCTCATCCCCGCTGTTAATCATGTGGCGGAACCTGTCTTCTCCAAAGGCGAGCGTGCCGGGGAAGAACCTCAGATTTGGTAAATCAAGGTCTTCTTTTGCCTTTCCGTCAATCCAGCTTGCAAAGGCCTTCTTGCAACTTTTAAAACTCCTCTTTTTGCCCGATAGCGTCTTTTCCATTACCCATCCAAGGGAGACGAAGTATTGAAGTGGCATAATCGCCGAAGCGATTTTCCAATTGGTGGTCCGCACCACAGTCTCGACCTCGGGGCTGCTCTTGGCATATGCGAAGATGACGCGTTGTCGATGCCGTTCCAACGCGAAATCAGGCTACCTTTGATCTGCCCCAGACGGATGTCGTCACCTTTGTGCATTACAAGAAAAATCATGCTTTCCACTTTGATCTTGTTCATCTTTATCTCTAGCCAGCTTGTCTCCGCTCGTAGTATCTTGCAAACGGGTTTCAAAGGTTTCGCAGAAGTCGTCTCCAATCGATTGGAAGATGTTACAAGATGCTGACGGTGACCGAGAAACCATACGTGACCGAAATTTGTCTCGCAAGCGAGTTTGGCGATGCGATCGCGTATCTCTGCTGGGAGCTCCAATAGCGGAGACTGCGCGTCGTTTCATTCAACGCTATGTTGATGTTAATACTGTAGTTAAATTGGTTGCAGTCATGTATTTACACCTTCTTGATCTCAGCGGGCGTATCCTTCAGGCTCACAACGCCGTTCTCTTAAAGCTTCGATGACGCCATTGTAGTTGGCAGATGGTGGTATGGTATTGATCGAATTGAGTGGAGGATGCGATGTCTGTTCTTGGGTGCGACAGAACAGTAAGTGACTGTGGCAAATAATGTGATGTCACTGCAAACCGGCGGTGGGCAAACAGCCACACTGAAACGATATAGTTCACCGCTCACTTATCATCGCCAATTCGATAGCGAGTACCTCCAACATACTCTCAAGCACTATGAATTTTGTGATGCTTTGAGTTGTACTTCCACGTAAGAAGATGTGTTCATTCGACCAGCACAAAACCACCTTGAGGCTTACGAAGTGACTTGATTTTCTCATTTTGTACATCCCCGCGATGATATCTGCTGCTATACGGGGTTTACGCTTTGGAGATACCAGTAAGAATGCATACGTATTCTCTAAAAACAGTAATAACATCCCGAGCCACCTAGGTAGTTACGAAAGCGCCTCATCGCCTTCAGACCACCATCTCCCAAATCTGACCACCACCCATCAAGCGCCAAAGGCCACCCTGGCGATCGCCAGCCACCTCGCCTCTGGAAGCCCTCTGGTCGATCGTCTCCCAAACCATTGGTGTTCCTGAGTACCGCGAGTAACTTCCGTCCAGAAGCTCAACGTACAGATAGTCTCCGACCGCATAGATATTGTTGAGTACTCTGTCGCTGCCGATCAGAGTCCACCCTCCTGTGGTGTTCATCTTGAAAACCGAGTTTGCGCTACTATCCCACCTGTAAACGTTGTTACCTCCAACGGCTAACTTGGCACAGTAGGTGTTATCGACAATTTTCCATTGACCGACGTTGTAGGGCGACGGTGTGCGTACGATGGTACCGTTGTAGAGACGACTCCACATTGTTAGATCATCGTCGAAGAGGATTTGAGTTGAGCTGGAACCATCTGTGATGGGTGGCTGGTCGATGGTAACCCAAGCGCCGTCGAACAAGCGTGCGACGGAGCCGTCTTTTCGTTGTGCGAAGAGCTGATCACCCGCGGCAACAATGTTGTAGACACTCGTGTCCGTACCACTCGTCGACTCCCACTCTCCAGGTTGACCTAGCCAACGGAAAGTACCACCATCGAGGTGCCTCTGCCAAAGGTTACCGTTAGCGCCGGCGATCTGGTAGGTCTGCACGTAATTGTCGACGGTTGTCCAAGCGTTGTTGATGTAACGCTGGATCTGACCGCTTGGGCGCACGATGTAAAGACCATCGTTGGCGGCTGAAACACCCGAAGATGATGTTACAGTGATGACGTTGTTGATCCTCGCGGTATCATCAATTTTGATCCATTTTGGCGCAGCCTTCGATGCTACGGCGCTGGTCTCCCCTCCGATCTTTGGATGGGGCGATGCAAGGCAAGTAGAGAAGGCTCCGAGGAGCAGTTGGATGTAAGACGACTTCATGCTTGAACGATACGTGCGGTTGATGAGCTTTGGAGAAGGATGTTGAAAGCTGCAGCGGGAAGACTGCCTGAGGCTTTATACATATTCCAGCAGTGGGATATAGAGCCTTCATGATTAGTTTGTAAATCCAGGCTGGTTTGTCACATACATGGTATGCAGGAATTTGGCGAAGCATCGTGGACCGTTCCTTCGCTTCATCCCGCTGGGTTGTACTCGACCCTGGACTAGATCGGGGCGTATGTCTTGGCATTATTGTGAGGCTTGATAGCGTTTTTTGTAATTTGCAGGATCGCAAGCGAAGTATACAGCTTCTGGCAGATGGGAGGAATTTGGGATATGGTTGGTGGATGCGGTGGATGCACCTTGTACAAGAAAGAAACTAAACAGCTCTAGAGACTACATTAAGATAAAGACATGCAAAGTGAGTGACCTAAAGTTGATGTAGGCTCCAGGGTGTTCAGTTCTTTTCCTAGGTTGACGTAGATGTACGAATGAGGCGCGGACCGACCCGGCAATGTCAGCCTCGGTGTCGAACCTCAAGTAAACGACCCACATGTAGAGCGATTCGTTCTGCACACTTGCTCATTATGCATTTGATTTCTGAATGTTTTCGGCCCTTTGAGAGGCATTTGATCGAGTCGTTGGCACCCTAGAACCTCAGCAAGACACGTCGCATGTCTCGCGTGGTTATCCGGCTATATTGAGAGTTTAAAGCACCAAGCGAGCTTTCCGGGATGAAGAGGATGGGAGGCCTTTCAACAAATTCCTTCACGGCGGATCCGGATGCTAGTTAGATCATGCATATTGCATGCAATGTTAAAGTGTCGACACGCTCTCGTGCTAACGAGAAAGTTGGAAATAGATGCGGCTCTATAGTTCGTGGCGGTGTCAGGGTTCAATTAGAGCGCCCTCCTGGGGGTCGAGACATTGGAGCCTGCATGCATCTACGAAGGATTCCGGAAGCCACCAAGTTTCGCCTAGCTCGGGGCGTATTGAAATGTAAGCTTCACGAAACAGGAAGGTACTAAACGCCTGGACGGACACGCGGAGGGTCGTCCAAAGGATGTTGGCGAGAGAGTAAAAGACGGGCAAGTGGCACATCGCTTCGAGACGCTAATCTTGGGTAAATGCGTTATCGGGAGCGGCAAATCCACGTGACCTAACTATGAATCGAGCGACGACGTTTAGATGGTGATAGGCCAAAATAACGGTCGCATTGTGACTCCTGTAGTATTGCAGAAGATGGAAATAGGTTTGGCGAAGTCGCTCGTTGGGCGTGATGACGCAGCGCGGTGCACAAATGGTTCAAATGCCCCGCCACACCGCTTGGGCCTTAGCGTCACCGCCAGCCCGCCTTGTCACCAGTTCCATTGTTGACTTCGAGGCCGCGATACTACGTCCGAGTCCGCCAGTCCCCGTCAGACCGCGATGAGCTTCTGGAGCGGAGCGAAGTTGGGACCCCCCTCTTTCCCGCCGCCAGTGGGCTTGAGGCCGCCCAAGGACTGTGGAAATACGACATATAAAGGCGACAATCATGTCAATGTCTGAAGTCCATTACAAGCTTCTACTCTTGCATGCTGTAACCTTAGTCAGGAATCTACCAAGAACTCTCCCAAAGCCTTCCATCTTCTGCAATGGCTCACCTGAATCGTCTCGCAAACGCCCACGTCCTCGTCTTCGGCGGCACTTCAGGGATCGGCTATGCCATTGCCAACATGGCCCTCGCATCCGGCGCGGTCGTAACTATCTCTGGATCTGGCCAAACCAAAGTCGACAAAAAAGTCGAGATGCTGCAATCTCTGTACCCAAGCACACCAGCCTCCAATGTAGCAGGCTTCGCTGTCGACCTTATGGATAAAGAGAACTTGGAGTCCAACTTGAAGGCTATGCTGGATAAAGTGACCGAGGGCGGCAAGAAGAAGATCGATCATATAGCTTTCACAGCCGGCGATGCGCTCTCGCTGCCCAAAGTTGCGGAGATGGACGTTAACACCCTGATGAACGGCTTCATAGTTCGCTTCCTCGCTCCTTGTGCCTTGGCCAAGCTTATTACGACGGGCGATTATATGCCCAAAAGCTCCAATAGCTCCATTACGCTCACGGGTGGCACAAATACGCATCGCCCAATGCCGAACTGGACCCTAGGCGCAGCGGTCGGCGCCTCGGTCGAGGGTTTGACGCGCGGTCTGGCTGTGGATATGGCTCCCATCCGCACGAACATCGTCAACCCCGGTGCGATCCATACGGAGTTATTCCAAGATTTCTTGGGAAGCTCTTCCCCTGAGACGATTGAGAAGATGAAGAAAGGGTTCAGCCTGACGGGTGAATTTGGGCGGCCAGAAGATATTGCGGAGGCTTATGGCTGGATTATGAAGGATCGGTTCGCGAATGGAACGCAGGTGAATAGTGATGGCGGACGATTGTTGGTCGGTACTAAGTAAAAGATATGAGTCCAGCTGTATACAGCATAATTCATGATAAATCGAGGTCCATACCCCTTCTCTCGACTTCTTCTCTGACATGAGTCCACTTGGTGCAATCAGCCAACATACCCTTAAAGCCCCGCTTCCGCAGACTTTGTAGGTCTTCAAGGCTTTTTTGCACATCATGCTCAAGCGCAATCTTGAACTTCAAACCCAGAAAGCTGAACACTTCATCCATGCGTCCGAATAGAAGTGCGATCAAGTCTACGTCCTCTTTAAAGCTACTGTCGCCGGTAAGACGCCACTGAATAACGAGTACGCAGGCTGCAATATATAGCGACGACGCGATATGTGCAGAGAGTAGAAGATCGATGGAAATGCGCGATGCATCTTTGACGATTTGCGCAACATTCCGAGCCGCTATCACAGCAAGCGTGAACTGCGAAGCCGATTCCTCGACTGATACATTTTTATTACGTCGGTAATGAAGTAGAATAGTCATAGTGTTCAGGATAATGTGTAGCCATGCGACATGACCGCGGTCAGCCGGTGACGCTTCCAGGATCGAACTCGCTGTGCGCGGGAGGCTGAGATGAAATTTGACAATCATGTCGTCTAATTCCGTGCAATCTTCAGCGTATTCAAGGCTGTCTGGAGAGGTGTGGAGAGAGTGCACCAGTTCGGAGACTCGGCCAAGCAGGACGTGTGCTACAATCACATAGTGGAAAACGTTCGGTGAGTCCTTGGAAACCGATACGGCGTTTACGAGACGCGACATGTTCCTCGTAAACGGTACGTTGACGAAGGGGCTATCCCTCAGATCAAGGTTCATGCCCTGGAAAATCGCTTCGGCAACCGGTATATCGACCTTGAATTGTATCTCTGGTATAGCATTGGGCCAACCCGTTGGCCATGCATGCATTCGATCCATGATGAAGAGTAGCCAAAGTGCTCGTCGGGATTCTTCTCGCTCGAGTGCTGACTCAATGTCGATTTTACCAGAAGCACATGAGTATTCGCTAATGGCTCTTGTCTCAGAGAGGTGGTCGCTAGCATCCATGCGGTTCAAGCCGAGCACGACAGCCTGTCTCCAGGCTTTCCCCAAGAAAAGCCAACTAGTAGAGTAGTCGCCAATGGTCCAAGCATGAAAGACAAGAAGTAGTACGGCCTGTATCGTGCGCACAGCCGGGTCTGGTCTTCGCCTGGTCAAATCGTAGGAAAAGCGTGCTTGTTCGTACCATTCTTTCGAGCGCTTTCGAATCGAGGTTTCTGGGTGATATCTGGCTGTTACACTGCACATGGCATATAGGAGAAGCGGTGCATCTTTCTCCAAGTCGCCACATTCAAGCTTCGCTAGAAAGCTCTTCTTGTGGAAGCAAGGGAATATATGGTACAGATGTTCGAAGAAGAGCTCTCCAAGTTGGAGAATGATAGGTCGTGGAGGTAGCTGAAGGCTCTCTAATATTTCCAAACCTAGCGTACTACCCGAATGCTCTGCGGTAAATCCTGGAGTAGGGTATTGTGCACTAGGAGCTACAGATTCTGAGAGAGTGAAGCCGGGAAGATCGAAGCTCATGCCCGAGAACTGCATGAAGTCCAGTGACTCAGCCAGCATCGTGTCGAAGCCTTGCGTTCGAACCGGTGATGCCGAAACATGATGCTCTGTTCGGCTCGTTGATGACGTATCATCATCTCGGACTGAAGCCGTGACAGTGTAGTCGCATCTGAGATTCAACTTTTTGCATAACGAGCAACTCGGGTGTTCTGCCTGTAGTAAGCAACCTATCATCAGCCCTTAGCCGATTGTGCGTGGACGGTTGTGCACGTACATCGCATCTCTTCTTGCGCTGCCGGCAGCTTTTACAGGCCTGCTTACGTTTACTGACAGAGGCAGGAATGGTTAGTGTCTGCATTGCGATACGGTAGCGGACGAGTAGGGTACCGGACGGAATGAGAGGAGCCCTGGAGTGAGGATGGTGCCGTCGTCGCACTAGTCGGTTCCGAGCGGATGTCGCCGGATATAGCTCGGACCTAAGCCTTGCAAAGGTTGCACCTTGTTTAAGCAAAAGAGTAAACAGGTCTGCAGCCTACATTAAGATAAAAGTGAATAAAACAGGTAATGTGAAGTTAATGTAGGCCCTAGGGTGTTTGGTTTAGTCCTTGAACAGGGTAGTTGAACGCAGAGTGGCGGTGCTACAGTATATAACGGTCAAGCAGGCACGAGCTTTGCAGTAAATTCTCAACTGTGTGCTTTGATATTATACCCTAATCATTACTATCATCTCCATCTCATCTACCCCAAGACTTCTCATAGCTAGCCGCTAATGTTGGATCCACAAGCCCAACTACTCTGATACTGCGTTTAAGCTTATCTTGCCTAGTGTCTCTCTGATGCCTTCGCCAGGTGTCGCGCACATCTCGTGCTCTTTTCACCAGACCATTACTATTTCTATTACCCTCTTCATCAGGTAGTCCTTCGTCATGTGTCTCTTCAACCCATGTTTTGCTAGCCAGATATGGTGAAGAAGCCCCCGATTGAGACCTCGGGATTTGCGACGCGTATACTGGAAGCGGAGGTGGAAACTCGAGCGCGGTCGGAGATGTCGGCAGAGATGAATTGTACCAGGATGACCTCCGCCAGGGGTAGTCAGATACTGCGCTCGACTTTTGTCGTTCATGCTCACTTGGAAGAGCATCGCAGCTACTTGTCGTTTCGGAATGCGATGTTGTAGCAGAAGACAGTCGAACCAGAGCAAAACCTCTTGGGAGTCGGAACAGAACGCTGCGGTATCCTTGGGAAGAAGAATCAGAGGCTGTTCCCTGCGAGATATGAGAAGGCTTTTCGGTCTCTGTATGTTTGATAGATCCAGCGCGTGACTTGTTGATTCCCTGGCCTTTAGCTTGGGACGGAACGCTGGAAACGCATTTCTGATGGGAAGCCGTAGATCCTTTGGTAAAGCGCGGAGGTATCCCTTCATCAAGGGACGGTTGTCGGTCTCCTCGGCTGATGTGCTGGAGTGGTGTCCAAAGGCTTCTCTTTTTACTTTTCTTTCGCAGGTTCGAAGTTTTTCTTCCCGCCGGATGCTCTGACATCGACTTGTGGGTTCTCGATCGGAACCTTGGAATTGGTATGCAGCCGCACAAAGACAATCCCGTTGAGGTGACAGTCCGAACGCTGCTTCGAGGCCGAAGAGCTCTGCATTCATAGTATTGGTCCGCCAGCACACCATGATAATCTTGCGAGAAGCTTAGAAGTTGCAACCTATCGCTCAGCTCCTCATCTTCGCATTCGTCGTCCAAAAATGGGCTCGTACGGTACAATGGTGGTAGTTTCTTCCCTCGTAATGCTGGAGATATTCGCGTAGTGCTGTCTTCATCTGGGGTGGCAGACCAGTATTCGCATCCAGTCTTCATCTCTCTCGGCCACATTATGCCCAACGATACGTAGGCCTTTGCTCTGCGCAAATCATTTGATGTTTGGTATATGACATCTGCGCACGGTGTTGAAAAGGTAGGAGAAATAAGAGTGTCTAGGCCCTTTCTATGTGACGAAGATCTCGACAGTTTGCGTGTTGGTTGGTTAGATGCAGGGTCCGAACATCCATATACAGGTCGCAATGGTGCAGGCTCGAATTCGCTTGTTTCAGCCGGCCAAGACCAAGACTCTGTCCGTATGCTGCCGACACTGGGAGAAGGTTCTGGTATTAGTGGGGAGCATTCGCGGGGCGCAGAGACCGGAACCGGCTGAGCAGATGGGGTGGTATTCCATTCAGTGGGTGCCATCCATGGAGTGAAGTTAACATCAGTGTCCATTTGCTTCGGCGGCGATGGTATGATCAGGGGGTATAATGTCTGACTACCTGGAGTCAATGGCGAGACGTCGCTCAAGGTGCTTGGATTTGGCGGTACTGTCCGGATGAAGGACTTGAAGGATTCCACGGTTCGGTCCATGCTCTTGAGCGGTGATGACTCCAAGGAATGATGCGCAAGGAAGAAGATAGATGTGTTGCTCCCTCCTCGACCGTCGTAAGTAGCCGCAGATCGTTGGAACACACACTCCAATTACGCACGCTGAGGTGATTCCAGAAGATTTACAAACAAAGAAGAGCGCCATCAAGAGTTGCACGTGGCGATCAACAGGAACGGATCGCTTAGGGGTGCCCTATCGCAAAACAAAAGTCAACAATATTTCTATTTTGGAGCTTACGGAATGAATGCGGCCCCGCATTGGCCCAAGCAAGATCTGTACACAGCTGCTAGTAGAGCAGCTCATTGCGAACATCCACTTTGTTTCTTCTCAGTGAAGTGCTTAAGCATCTGGAGGCCGGGTTTCCCAAGTTCACGATTCCACTTGTCGGCACCTGGGGGACAGACAGTCACAGCTAGGCGCTAGCTCCCAAAGTGGACAATGTGTTGTGCAAGCGCCAGTTCAGGTCAATGAATGGCATGATGGGTGATGTTGCATGAAAGCAGTCTGTTGATTGAAGACCATGGGACGCATGCATCGTGTCAATTCGCGTATTCGAGCAACGCCAAGCCTCTTCGCCAGATTCGTAATTAGCGATCCACCCATCTTCAGGGCTCAGGCCATTTGATCGATACCTGTAAGCTGCACGACATCTCAATCAACAACTATACTCTAATCATGAGCGATTTCCCCACTCATACCGCGATGATTGATAATATGGGACTTATCTTTCAGGCAATAACGTCATCATTGCCCTCGTCGGAGAGACTCGAAAACGCGCCAGTTCACATTGGCCTAGAGCCGGATGAACAACTCCCCGCCCAGCGTTGGGTGTGGCAGCCCATCAGCATCGCATGCACGCTACACATACTTGCGCCAAAACGCCATATCGCATTTTGTGCCCGATCTGAAGAGGTTTCTGTGTAGCCTGATTAGTTCCGACAGCGATTTCCCTGATTTCGGCCGCGCCTTTGAGTGCGACCGTAAGCCAAAGTCTTGCTGCACCGACCACGTTTTCGCGGTGTTATAAGGTGATGGAACAATGTGGTTAGTACGATGGCTTGAGGCTGAAGTAAGATGTCCGGTCGAAAGATGCTACACTGCAATGTTGTCCCGAGGGGTGTATGTGAATACTCCTGCGCTCTGATTCTACGCCGGTCAAATGGCATCTTCGTCCGTTATGTCGTATAAACACGGCTGGCAGCAAGTATATCTAGACTGACGGTCGTGCCAAAAGTGACGATCAGCCAGACAACATCTGATTAACATCATCACTAGCCTTCAACTCTCAGCTGTCTCAGCCTCGCATCTATCATATAGTTGCGTCGGCCTCATTCGCAGCACAGCCCAGTTTCCAGCATACCATGGCGACACCTTCATCACTGTCCGTCCAGGACGAACTAAAACCCGATATAATTCACACAGAGCCCTTGAGCAATTCAGCGTCTGATACGCTCAAAGCTCCTGAGCCTGAGAAATTCAAGCCTGGATGGCGCTTTCTGGCTGCCTTTGGCAGTCTCTGTATCATCACACTTATGGCCGCACTGGATGCTACTTCGATATCAGTCGCGCTACCAGTATGTTTATGATATCCACTGCGCGGTACTGTACTAACACACAGCAGATTATGGCCAAAGCGCTACACGGATCTGCCATTGAAGCTTTTTGGAGCGGAACGTCTTTCTTGTTAACGTCAACCGTCTTCCAGCCTGTTCTCGGATCATTTTCACACATCTTTGGTCGCAAAGCACTGATCTACGTCAGTCTGGGTTTCTTTCTAGCTGGCTCAATTATCCCCGCCGTGGCCGACAACTTCACCGTCATCTTAGTCGGTCGATCCATTCAGGGAATCGGCGGTGGCGGTATTATCTGCTTGACAGAAATGGTCGTAGTCGATACTGTACCGCTCCGTGAGCGGGGAAAGTGGTTCAGCTTCTTCGGAGCCATGTGGTCAGTCGGCACGGTGGCAGGACCTCTTCTCGGTAAGTGGCACACTGCAGATCTAAGTAGTCTGTGCTAATAACATCTAGGCGGCGGCTTCGCCCAGAATGTGTCCTGGCGATGGATATTCTGGATCAACTTGCCATTCCTCGGGCTTGGTGCTGCGTTGATTACGGTTTTCCTCAAGCTCAACCAGAAACACGGCTCCTTCCTGGCGAAGCTTCGAGAGGTCGACTGGGTTGGTATGGTGCTATTTCTTGCCTCAACGACTGGCTTCCTCATTCCAGTCACCTGGGGTGGAGTGCAGTATGCCTGGGACTCGTGGCGTACTCTCGTTCCCATGATCGTCTGTGCCATCGGTATGATCGCCTTCGTTGTGTACATTGAGTACTTCGCCGCCAACCCGCTCATCCGCACCTCGGTATTCAAGAACATGTCCGCTGCCATTCTTTACGTCTCGACAGTCATTCACGGCATCATACTGTGGGCCCTCCTTTACTACATGCCACTCTACTTCGAAGCTGTCAAAGGCTTCGGTCCGATCCTTGCCGGAGTGGCCATGTTTCCATGGACATTCACTGTGGCGCCAGCTTCAGTCGCAACGGGCATCGCAATCGCAGTCACAGGACAATATCGATGGGCAAACCGCGCCGGATGGTTCCTCGCCACACTCGGCATGGGCCTCCTCATCATTCTCAAGCCAAACACGTCTACAGTGTCTTGGATCTTTCTCAATCTTGTTGGTGGTGTGGGAACGGGCATTTTGTTCCCTGCCATGGCTCTGGCCGTACAGGCTTCAGCGACGGCCAAAGACCAGGCCTACGCCGCGAACATGTTCTCCTTCTTCCGTGCGTTTGGGCAGACGCTCGGTGTTGCCATTGGGGGCGTCATCTTCCAGAACCAGATGAAGAAGAAAATGCTTGCGTTCCCTCTACTTGCTGATCTGGCAGCCGAGTATTCACGCGATGCCGCTGGACTAGTCGAGATCATCAAGGAGATGCCTGCGGGGGAGATGAGAGAGCAACTCAGGGAAAGTTACACGGACGCACTCAAGTACATCTGGATCGTCATGTTGGCATTCAGTGCATTGGCCTTGCTCGGCAGTTGGTTCATCAAGGCTTACGACATGAATGGTGCCATGGACACGGAGAGGGGTTTCGTGGACAAGGACAAGGTTGGGGACGTTGAGATGGAGCGGTCCGTCATATAAGAGGCCACATGCGGATATGAAGATTCTTGTTTTTTTCCAAAGCATCAGCGTGGCGTTGGAGTTTGTTTGGTTAGACAGACACATAATGATAACCTCGAGATTCAATAATGTATAGTGTGCCTGGCTACAGACACTGATGTTGTCTCATATTCAGATGCGCCTCACACCTTGTACAAGGGAAAAACTGAACACCCTAGAGCCTACGTTGACGTTGGGCCCTCAAGTTTGCATGTTTTTATCTTGATGTAGGCTCTAGGGTGTTCGGATTTTCCCTTGTATAAGGTGCTCACATGTAAACTCGCCTCACGATCGAAGTCGACGAAGGCCTTATGTGTATTTTTGGTACACAGACGGGTGAGACTTTGCTCGACCGGGTCAAGCATCAACGGTTGGGTCTCAGGAGCGGCCGGGACAGGACGTGAAACACGCCGTCGTGTGTCGTGACCGTTAACACCTGGGCAGCGATCCGGGCAAGGGTCTGGATGGCAGACGTGCGTCATCACCAGAACAACTCATCGCGATCATGCCGTCTACCTATCTTATCAACTGAGTTTGACGCAAGTGGCGAGTCAAGTGCCAGAGTATAACATGGTGGTAGTAAGATGTGACGCAGCAGAAATTACAAATGCCGTTGCATTCACGATGTTGGAGGTCGAGGTCTGGCCACCTCAGGCATCAATGCCAAACGCCTAGCAGTCTCGGATGTAATAAGAAAAGGCGCCGAAGAGGAATATTAGTGAACAAAGCTGTTGTTGAGGACAGTGAAAGACATGCGCGACGATGGTCGCACAAAGGTGATTAAGGATTTGGGTAGCGGACAAGAACATGGTGCTACCCCAGCCACGATGACGGGAGAGTGCGTCGTCAAGTTGTTAGTTGCACCGCCCTGCAGCGGCTATATAGCGGGCGTTGTGCGGTGCGTCTGCTGGGATAAAGGGGCAGGTCAGATGACGACTGCGCAGCGAGTTACGCGTTTCTTTGCTTCGGCTCCCAACAACAACAACCACGGTCGTCCAGGACACTCTCGTGAATGCGACGGCGAACACCCTGCAAGCTCGAATTTGAACGTGTTTGTCGCACCGAATCGATATTCAATCGTCGCGGTTCGCACATGCACGCTACTGCAGGCTCAATCTTAGGACCCACTAGCGCACACGGCCTGCCAATCACGCCAGCACTTGGCGGCCTCTCATCAGCGCACAAGCTCCAGCCCCGGGCGCCCCTTCCCTTCGACGCGATTGACGGCTCTTCTGACAACTCTCCCAAAAAGCAGTGCCACAACGGGAAGCCGGCTCCCAGACACCTCCAAGCACGCGCAACCCTCACCTCAGTCATTCGTTTCAGACAACAAACCAGCAAAGACAGCACACAGCAGCAACCTGCACCTAATACACCCCCCCGTACCATCACCGTCACATTCACCGTGCGCCAAGCAACGCTTCTCCCGGCACTTCCTCATCCGCAAACGCCTGCATCGCAAGAGCGACCGACTCTCGCCCACCTCGTTTCTGCCGTCCGTAATCGATTCCGGAGACCATTGCGCGCCCTTGCGAGGCTAATTGGCAGCTTCACTGGAACCAGCCTACCGGATCCAGCGATCGCGACGACGCTGAGCAAACCGCACCTGCCTCCCCGCCCACCGACATCCGCTCTCATGCCTATCGTGGCCACCCCTTCTTCATAACAGTCGCCTCCGACACTCGCATCCCCAACACTATTCTTCCCATCGACCTCGCTACCCACCGCTGCCATGAAGGAGTCATTCGCTGCCCTTCTGCGCACGGCGGCCGGCAAGCTCACCCTTTCGCTGCTCGTGGCTTCGCAAGCCACGGCCTATAATTTTAAACCTGTCCCAAACCCCAATCTCAACCTCAACGATTTAGGCCGGATAGCCTTCGCTGGAGATTTCGACTCGATATCGCTATACCAGTATGAAGGCCAAAATCAAAATACTCCCGATATTGGAGGAGCTCTCCTTGCACGCTACCCCAACGGCGTCTTTGCGACGATCAATACCACAGATGCCGACATCAAGGCCATGTGTGCGCTCCAGGTCAACGGCGCAGAACGAGTCGTGTTCGCAGGCAACTTTACCAGTGTTGGCGAGCTGGCCACACCTGGAGGCATCGCGCTGCTCGACCCCAACAACGGCAATGTCACTCCACTCGAAGGACTTACTGGATCGGTCAACGCGCTCTACTGCGATAGAGATGGCGGTCAGGTCTACGTGGGAGGAAGCCTGGAAGGTGCGAACTCGTCCAACGCTCTAATATGGAAGAACGGCTGGGAAGACCTATCGTTCAATGGCTTCAATGGCCCCATCCACTCCATCATCCGGTCCAACGACAACATAATATTCGGAGGAGAGTTCAACGGTCTCGGAGGAGGCAATGCATCGATCGTGTCTAGCGAAAACAACACGCAGGTCATCCCCATCGCCACTGCAGACATATCCGCCCAGACAAGCTCCGGCCAAACCGGCTTCTCAGACCCCAAGAACATCGCATGCAAAGCCGAATTTTCCACGCAAGGCGCCGACTCAACATGGCTGCTTGCAGATCAATCACCCGGATTCTGGAAGGCCGACTTTGGCTTCGGTTTCGAGCCGACAAGTATGAAGCTCTACAACACGGACTTCGAGGGCCGTGGTAGCAAGACTTTCCGCTTTACTGCACTTCCAGACGGCGGTATCTTGAACCTGACCTTCACCGACCCCGGAACCGGACAAAAGCGCTTTTGCGACGCCACATGCCCCCTGCCTGAGGGCAACACCACTGCGCAGGACTTCTCTTTCGTCAATGTCGTTGGTATGAACGCTTTCAGGATCGACATCTCAGAATGGTACGGTCAGGGTGGTGGTCTTAACGGTATCCAGTTATTCCAGGACGCCATGTACTCCTATGCAGTCAACGACTTCAACGAGCCCAAGAACTGTGGTTCAACCACGTCAGGATCAGAATCAACCTCCACCGGCTCTTGGCAGGTCTCGCCATCACACGATAGCTCCTCTAGGTATCTCACCACATCTCTGCAGGGCACACCCATCAACACCGAGTCGACCAGCGTCACCTTCCTGCCCGACATCAAACAGTCTGGCAACTACTCTGTCACCATTTACACGCCTGGATGCCAGGGTGACGGCACTTGCGGCACCCGCGGTCGGGTCAACGTCACAGCACAATTGGGCGGCGAGCCCAATAGCGTTGAGCTTTGGCAGACCAACAACTTTGACAAGTACGACGAGGTCTACAACGGCTTTATCGATGTCACCGATGGCTCTCGTCCACAGGTAATCCTTCAACCCGCAAGTGGACAAGGCCCTGGTCCCTTGACTGTCGTTGCACAGAGGGTACGCTTCACGCTCCTGAAGGCTACATCTGGTAACCTGAACGGACTCTTCGAGTACAAGCCTGGTCAGACCGTAGACGCGGATGACGATTCAGTCATCAATGCCGCCGGAGCCAGCCTCATTCCTAGAGAGAAGGCATTCATTACCACTGTCACAACAGGTGATAAGACACTGTATGTCGGCGGATCCTTCAACAGCAGCGACGACCGCAACAACATTTTTGAAGTTCGACAGGGAGCGAAAGAACCCAGCGCACTTCCCGGCAAAGGACTCAACAACCAGGTCATGACTATGTTCCACAACGCTAGTACGCTGTACGTCGGCGGTAACTTCACCAACACGGCGGAGAACAACGTAGCAGGCCTTGGTGGAGTTGCTGCCTTGAACAACAACCAGTGGCAACCCCTCGGAGCCGGTGTAGATGGTGTCGTCCTGTACTTGGTACCGTTCTCGCTCAACATCACGGCCAATACTCCTGAAGACGTGCTCGCTGTCAGCGGATTCTTCAGCCGGGTCAACGCCTTCGGTGACAACCCCAGCACCAGCGTCAACGACTTTGCAGTCTGGGTGCCATCTCGTGGCAACTGGCTGCACAACCTGGATTTCTACTCTCTCGCCATGTCCGGCAGACTCATGACTTTCGCTGATGTTCCCGGAAGTGAACGCTGGTATGGCGGATCTGTGTCATCTGGTGCCCTTCTTGCGAGCGGTACTGCTGAGCTTGAAAGCGGAGACGACTTGTCACTGAGTGCTTTCCCTATCAAGATCCAAGCGCAACAGCAGCAGCAGACTCCTTCTCGTAAGCGAGCCATTGTTCAGGGACAGAACCTCAACACCACTGGAGTCCGTACTGGTACTTTCTACAAGGAAAACGGCATGAACAAGACCATTCTCGCTGGGCACTTTGCCACCAAGGGCGCAGAGGATCGCAACATCACCAATCTCCTCATCATCGATGGAAACGACTCTGACAAAGTAACTGGCTTTGACGACGAGCTGGATGCCAACTCCACCTTTGCGGCTGTTGCTGTCTTGGACAGTGTCTTGTATGCCGGTGGCATGATCAGCGGACAGCTCGACAACAATCGTGTTGCTGGTGTTGTCGCCTATGACCTTAACAGCAACTCGTTCACCAAGGCTCAGCCTCCACCGCTTCAGGGTGTGAACGTCACAGTCAACGCCATCGCTCCACGACCGAAATCCAAGGACATCTTCGTCGCAGGTCAATTCCAGTCCGCTGGCGCCTTGAGCTGTGCTGCGGTGTGCATCTGGAATACCGAGCGTAGTCAGTGGACTGCGCCAGGCAATGGCCTTTCCGGTGACGTTTCTTCGCTCACGTGGGTTGGCGACAACAGTCTACTCATTGCCGGCAACCTCACTTCTGGCACCAACCAGACCAAGATCCTGACCTACGACTCATCAAGCAGACAATTCGCAGTCGTCCCCGGTGCCAACGACCTCCCTGGTCCGGTCACTGCTCTGACCATTGCCAATCGTAACGGAGATCAATTTTGGGCCGCTGGCACAGCAAGCGATGGCACTGCTTACCTGCAGCGATTCGACGGTACCAAGTGGGTGCCTGCTGATGGGGCCATGTTTGGTAGCTCGACCGAGATTCGTGGTATTCAGGTTCTTTCTCTGTCCGAAGACCATGGCGAATCCGATATCATCGACCGCAACCAAGATCTCCTGCTCATGGGTCAGCTCAACATTACTTCGTTTGCGGGTAAAACAGCATCTGCCGCACTTTTCAACGGTACTACACTCATGCCTTTCCTCCTTGCCACCAAGGGCCAAGATGGTTCAACGCAGGCTGGAAGCCTGTCCTCTGTGTTTGTAGAGAACCCCAACTCATTCTTCAGACAGTCAAGTAAGTCGCAGAAACCATTCCCACTATCAGTCTGTATGCTAATGAATCTCAGACAAGCATCTCGCGCTATGGGCCATTGTTCTCATTGGGCTCGCCATCGCTCTCGTCCTCACATTCCTCCTCGTCGTTATCGGCATCGTTATCGAATGGTTCCGCAAAAAGCAACAGGGCTATTCCCCTGCCCCGACGTCTTACCCCGATCGGTTAGGCAATGTAGGACGTCTGCCGCCGGAACAGCTGTTCGGAACGCTCTCGGGACCTCGAGCCCCAGCAATCTAAGCGGTTCTGCCATCCCTGCGATTTTGAGTGCCGATAGCGATAGCGTTGCTTTACAAAACCCATCCAGTGGCCCTGTAGCTGTCACGACTGCGGACAGGGTGACACAAATCCCTGAAATTCGCATTGTAGCCCCCTCCACACCACTTGGGGAAGTTGTACGGTCGAACGAGCCAGGCGATAACCCGGACACTTCCATGGCGGACTTGCTACCGGCGATGTTTCGTATCTCTGATTTCATCAGTACGAGGACGAAGGCCTAGTGGGCTGATTGATATGTTTAAAGTTGGACCAGGATTGATTTGATACCACGCGGCTAGCGCATTGCGCAGCCCACCATTATTTCCATTGCTTATTTCCTTTCTTCCTACACTTTCTCTTGCATTGGTGTTTACTTTGAATACTCCTGTGGAAGAGTTCACGAACAAACGCTTTTCTTTTCTTTATGTATTGGCGAGCGTGAAGGGCGCGTTAGAGAGATATGGAGCTGTAATGTGTACTTCTTCGATGGGATTGAAATCGTAATCAGGGCGGCGGTAGTGGCGGAAGGAATGACGTTGGATGCGTGCTAGTTCGCGCTCTAGGAGAGCTAGGCTGATGTGGGAAGGGCGGGAAACCGGTGTATATGGACAAAGCTTGTAGTCTTCTGGGATGTACGCATCCCGGTGCTATAATATACTCATACTTTAGAGATCCACCGTGCCCTGAGCTTCATTCATTCACCTTTGGCTATACAGAAGGTTTACCTAATTACAACGAAACGCTACGAGAGCTCCACGTCCTCGAAAAGATTCAGATGATCTCTCATTGTCTTGTCTAAGCAGCAGTGAGCTAGACCACCTCTACCTTCCAGCGCGTTACAATCCTGCGCCAGCTAGTAGCCTTAGAGACCACCTCGGTATCAGCCACGCGTAGGTATACCGAAATTTCCAGCTCCAAATCCACTTCAGTATGCGGCAACTCCAGATTGACACGACTGGATGTGCTTTCAAGACTTGGGGATAAACCCCCTCTCAGCGTACATCTGCCGACAGACTCGCAACAATTGATACCTGGAGGGCGAGTGTACAACATCTCCTGTACTACCAGGAGTAACAGCCCATTCATCACTACCCGCCATGGCATACTGATAGATCACTCACCTCAACTCTCACGGCAGACCAAGAAACGCAGAATCCCTCGCGTTCCG